GTTAATTACCTGTACATGTGTCGGAGTTGCTTGCTATGGAGGCGACGATACTGAGTAGAGACAAACTTGAGATCATCAGCAGAGAGAAGAAAGCCTTCGACTTCTGTAAGAGCTTGAACGGTTCTACTAGAGATAGGGAAGTGAGGAGTGTTCGGATCTAGTGCCCAAGTGAGAAGATCTCCACAGGAATCACCAGCTTTTAACATAACAGAGTTGAAGAATCCAGTTTTGCCACCATAAGTCGTTGCGCTAATTAGGTTTCCTCTCATTATGAACAACATGTCTTCCACTGGTTCACCTTCACGCACAATGTAACTGTTCTCTGTGTAAAGAACCGTTTTCAAACGTGCACATACTGCGTCCAGTAACCGATCATCCATGGCTTTAAACCAAGGCACCTGAAAACATAATAGGGCTTGGTTAAAACTTCAGTTAAAGACTCTGATGAGGGAAAGAAGTATATAAATGGTTACCCTTTTGAGCAGATTCAAGCAAAGATGGCGTTTAATGTCCTTTCTGAGATCTTTAGGAAGACTAGAGAGAAGAGCTTCTTCCTCAACTCCTCTGGTTTCTTGCCATTTATACTGTTCGTATTGCCGTATACGCTTCTTCAGATCATCTGGCAACATACGGTGAGACATCCATTGCTCTGCGTCTCTCCTTTTCACTCTCATTTCCTCCACTCTTACTGTAGTTGATTGCAAATATTTCTACACAATAACAGAATCAGTTTTTTTTCTTTTTTGTAAGAAATATGAATTTGAGCTCAAAGAAGAAACTACCTGCATATTTCCAATGAGAAGAGCAAACAAGACAAGTCCAGAGACACAAATGATAATGGCAAAGATGATCTCTCCTTCAAAGGCACTTGTCTTCAAGTTTTGGCCCAAAGCACTATACATAAAAGATAAGATTAGTCTAGCTAGACTACAACTACATTTACCAGATAAGGTAACACAATGTAGCTGAGAGTTAAAATGTAACAAACCTAAGATTGCGGAGACCCCACCAGAAACAAAAGAAGAACTTCTTGGGGAAATCTCCAGACTCGACAACTCTAGATTGCAATGCCTCAGTAAATATACCAAAGTTGAAAAAGGTCGAGTTCGTGATCTCCTCTGGATCGATCAAAGGGCAAGAACCGTTTAAAAACCGCCTATTGTCTTCCCCTGGTGTTGGTGAACAATAAAGGTTCGCATGAACACATTCTTTTATCTTCTCACACGCTTCACGCCAACATCTATCTTTCCTTTCTATCGAAATCAAGTACCAAAATGACCCAAAAACCTGTCCATTAAAACCGTTATTTTCCCTCCAAAACGAGACAACTCTAAGTAGAAAAAAAATGAAAGAAAAAGCAAACTCTTGCTTACATGGCTAGCTAACATGTAGAGGAAGAGGTTTAAAGCAGCACCAGCCCAAGCAGTCTCAGTCACCAAACCAGAAGTTCTTGTTACTTCTTTAAAAAGAGGATAGATCCTCGCAATCCTCGGAACATATTGACAAAAGATTGCCCATTTCAGTAGCTCTTTCGTTACCAGCGACGCGGGTCTTCCCATCCTTGGAACAACAGCTAGAACAACCACCTGAGGAATAGGGAGGATCGAGAGAAGATCGATTAAAAAGTACGAGCGGAGGTATCTTAAAGCAATGGCTTTATGATTCTCGACAAGCTCTCCTCTTCCGAATCCACGTGAGGAAGGAGCGATGAAACCGGTGTGAAACTGGAAGAGCATGTGAACCACGTAGAACGCGTCGATGAAAGTTCGGAAAACGCATGCGACGGCCTCGAGTTTCTTGTCTAGGTTAAGACAGAACCTGTCCGGATTCACCACGGGGATGTAGAAGAACAGAGGGTCGAAGGCTAATGCCACAACGGATAGCAGCAAGAAAATCTTGTTCCAGTTTTGGAGATAGGAGTCGTTTGGATTCATCACTGCTAGTGTCGTCTTTTTCTTCTTATGCTTCTTCTCTTTGTTATTCAGAGAATGGAAGGTTAATGGCTGCTTAAAGGTTCTGATTTTCTCTGAGCCTATTTCGAAGCTTCGTCTAACGGTTTTCATAACTGACGTTACTGATGGTCTTGTAGTTTTCGTCAAGTATTCGCTATTTTCATTAAACCTGGCTCAGAGAAAAATATAGATCAAGATCATCACTACATAAACATTGTTATCAGATAACTTCTGAAGAAGAACAGTTTATACAAACCTTACGAACTTGTTTCTTTGGGGATTCATCATCTCTGCTTGTTTTCTTCCACAGAATTTCAAACCTGCGAAAACAAAACAAGACTCGGTGTTAATTTTATTATTCTTACGCGTATGAACTCCAGTAACCACTCTCATCTTCTCTACAGAGAAAAAAAGGAGTAGTTTGACAAAACAGAGTAATTTGGTAAAACAGAGTAATTTGACAAAACAGAGTAATTTGACGAAACAGAGCAAATTTTATACTGAAGTTCGGACAAAGAGGCTTTACGAGAGAAGCAGACCTTGATTCAAGTGGTAGAATCTAGATTAATCAAATGAATAAATTTCTCTGTGGTTCTTGGATTAAAAACAAAAATCCGGGAAGAAAATGGAGCTCCCTTGTGAGTATCGCCGACAGAAAGATTAAAAAAGGGAGATAATATGAGAAAATTCCTGAAATGGAATGAAGAAAAGAGAAAGGATCGAGGATGGTGTCGCTCTAATTTAATCAAGCTCGTGATGGTAGTAGTGGTACTACTTTGAATTGATGCAGTTAGGTGAAGTACTGAAGAATTAACAAAGTCTGGTACTCACGAAAACACAAGTGTATCATAATAAATAATTTTAGAGAAAAAAAAAAGATGATGAGCTGACTTTTTGACGAAGACTGAGTCAGTCAACCCAAAAAACTACAATTCAAGTTTTTGGTTTTTCTTGAGACGAAATATAATTCTTACTTTGAGAGCAAATTCCATGCTACATTTTGGCAATCTAAGTTTTGTACGTATATAAGATGTTCATTGTCTTTCTTTTTCTTGGATATATGTAATTATTATGTTTGGAGGTACACACACGAACTCATTATTTTTTTGTCTGTGGCGGTACAACACTCATGACTCATGTGCTCTCTGAATGTAATTTTATTTTCATTTCATGGACCTAATTTGTCATGCATTTACGGTCTTGGTCGTTTAATTTCAGGAACACTATGTATCTGAATTTCTGAATCCACAAAGTGTTGATTAGTCTACCCTATAGAAGAAGCTTCAATGATACTTCCATTCCAATCACAAATTCTAAATTTTCTAGTTTGGAGTTTTGTGGTTTTAGTCTTGAGGAGACTTTTCTGTGGTACGTCATTTTCTCCACAAAAGTATTTTAAATAGAATTTAACAAGATAGGAGAAAGAATTGATATACTCATCAAGAAAGTTGATTATTGAAAATATTATACAATGATATGGTCTCTGCATGCTTACACATACCTAAAAACTAAAGGTACAATAAATAACTTTGAATTGACCACTAAGCAATTAATCTAAGCCTACTTTATTACCCTTAGAAGAGGAACAAAGAGATCATTAAACCTTCCAATCCATGTGGAGGTTTAATCTGTGATAATAAACAACACAATGCTTGCTTCCTTGCTTGGTAGGTAGATAATAACAAGACAAGTGTTTCTGATGATCAAATATCATATAGCTTTGATTAAAAGTCTTGAGATTTTTATATGGAAAGTAATCTTACATTAAGGCTTCTCTTCGTCTGACTGAGAACATGGAGGCCCTGGGACCGAATCCACGAAGAATTCCTCTACGTGACACGGAAAAATACAAAGAAGAAGATTGGTTAGTGATGGTATATAAAGGATCATAGAACTTTAAACTGTATCAAACACTTCATGTTTCTTTGAAAGAGTAATACTTGTAGATGCAGGCTGAGATTTAATGTTTACCTATGTCCTCTTGTTCAGGTGAATCGAGTAAAATGTCTGAATCAGATGGAAGAAATGGAGAGCCTGGATAGTTTCCTAAGGCCCCTAAATCTGAGTATTAAACAACAAGTATCATTCATCAGAATCATTACCTTCAATGATATGCAAACATTATATGGAGAATGGATCGTTGTAAATAAAGAGAACTTACCTCCCAGATTTGACAAATCTGCAGTGAGATCAGAGAGGCTAAAGTTCCACGGAATCTGATCAAAAGGCCTGAGAGAGTCTCTTGAACTTCCAGCTCCTCCATCTGGTCCAAGTTGTAACCCCACCGAAGTAGCCACATCAGAAGTGAAAGCAGAATCAAGAGCTGACGTGTCCATCCCCATGCCTGACATGTCTGAAGCAGCAAACGGGAAGTGTCCGCTCGACGCCACGGAAGTTGGACTCACTGGCATCTCCGACATACCATTGGTTGGTGGAACCATTGGAGCTGGATCAGCCGCGGTTGGATCTATTCCCACACTACATTAAGCACCAGAAAACAACATTGAGAGTCAAGAAAAATAACTTCTTGATTTTGGCAAAACAGATCAAGAACATAAGTCAATAGTTCTTACTCATTCCCTGAGCTCATCCTCATTGGTTGGTGGTAATTCCCAGGTGCAGGGACTCCATTGACCACGTGGCAGCTTGACATTCCACAACCCATTGGATCAAGATGGGGATGATGACCTGGAGCATGCATGTGTGGATGCTGTAGTACTGGGTATCCCATGGGCATGTTGTTACCTGAATCATAGTCAAACACATATATATATATATAAAGCTCTGCAAATCATTAAACCATATACTATAAAGTTCAAAGATATCAAGATACTAGACATTTCATAAGATAAGACTTTAAAATCCACAGCAAGTGAATATAAGGAGTGAAACTTACCAGGTGGCATGGGATGAATTCCGTTCTGCAACGGGACAAGAGGAACTTTAGGATGAACAGGATACTTCATGAGATGGTACTGGTGCTCAAGCAAATGATTGAATACAATTATCTGCTTCTTCAGTTTCAGTCTGATGTAATATGCTCTGAAAAACTCTGCGTTTTCTTCTTCCAGTTTCTGCCATACTAAATAAATTCACAAGAAAGTTTTCAGAAATGGAAAGTGACTACACAGTGTTACTTTGATCAAAAATAGCAAAAGAGAAACATCAAGACCTTACCTAGAGTTGTGAATCCAGGGTCTATCCTTGCACGGGTCAAGAGGGTCTTCACGACCTCATCTCTGTTCATGTACAACTGAAGACATCTTTCTATCAAATTCTGGACCTGCAACAATCATTATTTTTATCAAATGAGGTAAACAAAGACGCACACACACCAGTATATATAGAGAGAAGAAAGTGGCATAGTATACTTACAAGTTCAATATCTTGCCTTGAAACTTTCCTGCCGTCATTACTTGAGGCAGAGACAGAACCAGAATCTTGTATAGGAGCTTCTATTTGTTGCTTAATTTTCAGCTCACCTTTGGACTCATGTGAAACTTGTGTAGATGGCTGCAACTCCTGTGTGCTCTATTATCCAATATAAAAAAAAAAAAAACTTCCTTACATATTCCACTTCTTGGTAAATCTAAGTATATCAATAACTATGAAAGTTGCAAAATTACTCAATACACTAAAGCAACTTAATAACAAGAAGAAAAAGTTGGTAGACTTTGGTTATGGGCTAACCTGTCCGTTCTTCATTAGAGCTGAATATAAAAACCACGCATCCTCCTTCAGCAACAAATATTCTCCTTAACAATGTCTAACAACAACATCTGAGAATGCATGTTGATGATGTTTGACCAAATACAAACCTGGATTCAACATAAATCAATTGTTAATTCACCATGTACGAGAAGAATGATTTTAAAAAGAAAAGAGAGAAAGCATCTTTGATACGGCTAATGATAAGAAGCATGTAAAGTAAGCTCTTTAACATTGTTTAACACACCAGAATCCAAATATTAATATAATAATTCATATAGTTTCCACTTACCACAACTAAACCTAATTAGCTTCAAACTAAGGGCACACAAAACAAAAACAGTATCTCTTGTTTCACAATCATATATAAGATGAGCTATTCAGATAGTAATACAAACAATATGTAGTCAATGTGAAATAAATGAACTAAATCTCGAAATTTTTTACCATTTCTGGAAGACAAATCATGTGCGACGAAGCATGATGTTCAAATCGGAAAATCGTTAATACAGATCTAGCAAGAGTTCCTGATTTAGCTGATTTTCTCGCGTTTTTGTTTTTTGTTCGTTTTGGTACACGTCTTCAGAATCCTAGCAGAGAAAAAGCAACAGGAAAAATAAAAATTCCATGAGATTGTGTGCAATCATTATCAAACAATAAAAGAATATCGTGAAGAACAAAGTCGTCTCACCTTAATTTTAAGCTTCAAGTCACTAAAGTTCTACAGTGAATCCAAACGAAGATGGTACACTTTCAACACAGGTTTATTCGACGAATTTTTTGAGGACTAAAATCTAAAGGAACAGTTCTCTCGAAGATTCAGAGGATATAGTAAAATTGGAACCAGATTCAGAACAAAATGAAAGGAGAGGAGTCGAAGAAGTTGGTTCAAGCAAGATCTGGCGATGTTTACAGAGGGGGAGAAGAAAAAAACACTAAAGAGAAAGAGAAAGCGAGAGTTTTCGCTACGCCATTACTGAGAATCGGAAATTAAAGAGTAGGAAAGTTAAAGATGGCAAAGGAGAAGCAGACGAAGAAGAGAAGAGACGACCGGGAGAGGAGGGGGAAAGAGAATCTCTCCAGAATAAAATTTATATTACTACTACTACTAGTTACAGTCTAGGAGGGATTAATTCCTCACACAAAAAAAAATAATAATAATAGTTTATATATAAATTCAGCTTTTAAGGTAAAACATAAATTAGTTTGGTGTTTTGTCTTCGTTTAATTTTTTGTCAACTAGGTTGATTTTATTTATTCTCATTTATTACAAGTTTATGTAAAGACATTGAAATGTTTATGGATTCTTCTTCTTTTTCTAAACAAATCAGTTTCGGTTACAAAACATTTTTGGATTTTTACGTGCTTACTTTTGTGTTGTTGATACAAGTTAATCGGAAAAGAGAATCTCTCTTCAAAGAGAGTGAAATTGTTACTAGGAAAATTACAGCTTGGCTCGGCTTCACTCACGACTAGAAGTGGTAAACATAAATTTACCGTTGTGACGGAGTACTCTATATGTTTCAAAAAAATATAATAAAATTAGTAGTGAAACAGAGTAAATGCATTTAATTTTATTTGTATCTGGGTTATGATGTTAAAAAAAAACATAGCGTATTTCTGATATTCCAATTTAAATTAAGAAAAACTATAGAAAGACATGTATACGTAAAACAGCTAGTGAAAGCTAATGCCAAGTTGTTCAGTGTTGGGTTTTAAGAGATGGCATGGACCTCCACTGTACTTGCAGTTCCGGGAATAGCATCTCTCTTTTTTCTGTATTTTTGTTACATTTCTCTAGGACCACTTTCAATTATTTTTCTGTGATAAAAGAAATTAAACTGTCTTTAAAAAATAGATAATACTTCATACAATCAAGATCTACAGATTGCGAGCTTACGATCTCCTCTTTTCTTTTTGTACACATAAATATGCATGTGCATGTGCATGTTTTGTTGATTTACATCATTATACTCTCTCTACCTAAACATGTTTTCTTCCCAACGCTATAATTATTTTGTATACACTACTTATTTCCCTTTTCACTTCTGTTTATTACAATTATGGTCTTTTTTTTACCTAGTTATGACTTCTTTTGGTTATTTTGTAGCTTTAAGTCGGTATTAATTGTTTTTGGCAATTATTACTCTTTCTTTCTAATAATTTTGTAGAAAGCTGATTAATGCAAGTATACAACTGAAGCCGGCTCACGAGCTACGCACTTGACCACGTGAACCCAATAAAAAACTACGACTTCTTTAATAAAACGCATGAATTTAATGAAACAGACACATTCATTCACCAATAACAATACGTTAGTTCCATTAATCCGTTGGACCCACCAATTAAAACAAAAACGCTGAATTTAATAAAACCAAAACTAAAAAAGTCCATAAAATAAGGTCGTCACGGAAAAGGTTTTAGCTTGCGGTGATGCTCCAATAGTAACACGACACGTTTATACGTTGCCGGAGAAGTTAACGTCAGGAAGCTAGCCGCCGCGTGGCATACAGATGCTGACAATTTCGGAAGAGAGCGGTCACAGCACACGTGGCAATAAAAGAGAGGAATAGCGTGGAGGGTGCTTGACCATTTATCGCCTTGGAGTTTGAGACCTTTTAGAGGGCAAAACTGGTAAGACAAGTCAACACTTTGTAATTTTTTTCCTTTTCTTAAACCAAATCTATGCTAATTTTTCTAACCACGTAAACACTGCTTTGAAACCGACCTAAATACATTAATTAAAACATTGATTGATAAGTTTTGGTGTTTTAAACTTGGTTGATGTTATTATGAAGACTGTCTTTTCAAACTTTAGGATATATACGAAAAGAAAAGGAGGGCTTGGCATGAAAACTCAAAAATAATGGAGTGAAAAAAGAAGACGCAAATAGGACCTTCCAGCAAGGACAAAAAGTTTTGTCCTGTCTACATAGAGTTTACCTTAATAAAGACACTTCAATTTAATATTGCATATCGCAATGGACAAACAGGCCTCAATTACTCCTAATTTTTGTTCAAAGCAAAATCTAATTGACAATAGCTTAATGTATGTGTTTAAGTACTGTGTGATTGGGCTCAGGCCTACATATAACTTGCAACTTTTGATCGAACAAAAGGCCATGGCTTGCTTATTAGGCCGACATATAAGAGAAAACCCAAATAACATGACATGCAACATTCGGCACATGTATACGACATACAGAAATCACAACTTTGACATTTTTAAAGTGTTTTTGGTTGTTCTGGTTATTATTTCTGTTATCTGCTCGATCATGTAGTCACGAACGTTTTCAGTTTCATTACATCTACCCTAAAATTTAAGTAGATCTGATATATAGCACTGCAAATCTTACACGCATCTGAACAAAACAGAGTAATTTTGATTTTTTTTTTTTCTTAAACTAAGCTCATATATACTTCATTAGTAGTATCTTTAAGCCTTTAACCAACACATGTCATAAATGATTGTTGTTAGATACTTGTCTTATTCATGCCTTTTTCGAGTCAAAGCTTTACATAAAACAAATGTATTCTTATCTGCTCTTCATCTCACTCCATTTGGTTTAATTTCATACTATGTGAAACATAAAAATAAAGAGATACATCCCTTGAAATATGTAACTAATCTTGACTCGAGATGCGGTTAAGGCATATTTGTAATCAAACTATTAATTAATTACCAAAATAACTACATTTTCGGACCACATCGGACCACTGGACGCACAAGCGTAAGGTGTTGTGCCCACTTTTCACGACATTATCATCAGACCAAAAGAATATATGAAAAATGCATAGAGATATGTTCTCGAACTAACTATATTTCTCCTTTTCTTTTCCTCTCTTGTCTGAGTATAATACTATTATTTATTTTGGATTTCTCTTCTACCAAACTTTCCGCTTATATCAAACTTTCAAATAGAATGTGTGAAATACGAATTACTTGTCTTCTTGCAAAAAAATCACTACAATTGATTGTAACTATTTATTCTCGTATTGTTAAATTTTCAGAAACAATTAAAATATATTAAATAATTATTATACAGCTTTCATAGAGTGTTATTTTCAATTTTTAAAGTTTTCTATTTAATGCATAATGTTTTCTCACATTTTCAAACAAAAATCAACAATATGTACATGCGTTATGCATAAGAACATGCAGCCCAAGAGGGATATTTTCGTCATTTTAAGAGTCAAACCGAGAGAAGAAGCTGTGTTCCTCCCACCAACTGTCTGTAAACGAGGGAATTTACAACCGCAAGTCAAAGGTTTAAATTGTATTAAATTAAAATAAATTACAAGTAGTTATGGTTGTATCTGTCGTTCTTCTTCTTATAAGAACAAGGCCGTTGAAGCAAATGCACAGTGAAACTCACACAGTCTACAGATTCGTTTTCATCACTCACCTATTAAATTATTGGTAACTGAGTATGATAATATAAATAAACACTTTTATTTTAGGAATTTAATCAGACACGCGCAGTTATAAAATAATCTGTTTGATTTTCTTCTCTTTTTCGAGCCCCTCTCTCACTCTTTCTCTCGAGAAAAAAATACTATTAATCCCTCGTCAAAAAATATTTTCTCAAGATTTCTTCTCTCTCTCTGTTCGTGTCGACGACGACGATAGATTAGTTGTTTTTTGTTTTTCCGATAAGACGGAAATATGGATAGACGACGCCGGAGACAGAGCAAAGCAAAGGCTTCTTGTTCCGAAGGTCAGATTTCTCTCTAACTCTCTATCTATGATCTCTCTCTCTCTTCGGATTGAGTCTGAGTTTGTATTGTTATCAGAAGTGAGTAGCATCGAATGGGAAGCTGTGAAGATGTCGGAAGAAGAAGAAGATCTCATTTCTCGGATGTATAAACTCGTTGGGGACAGGTGAGACTCTCTTGATCCATCCGATTTGCTATTTGGTTGAATTATATTTGGTTAAAATATTTGGTTTGGATTTGTGTTATGTTCGTTTTATTTATTGTTTAGCTATCTTCATTAGAGATTTCAGAAACTGTTTATACTTTATACGATTTTGTTTTGGTTCAGTTCTGTAAGATAAGAAACAAAACGTGAAAAAAAACGAAATTACATTTTTGGTTCGGTTCATAAAATTTTGACCGGATTATAAGGTAACGTTTACTCGGTTTTTAATCTGAAGAAAGGGGCATTTGTGTAATTTTAGCTAATACTAACGGTTAGTCTATCGTACGTGGCGCGTAGGTGGGAGTTGATCGCCGGGAGGATCCCGGGACGGACGCCGGAGGAGATAGAAAGATATTGGCTTATGAAACACGGCGTCGTTTTTGCCAACAGACGAAGAGAATTTTTTAGGAAATGATTTTTTTGTTTGTTTATGTTGGAAAAAAATCTTCTCCTTAATCACAAAACAAGACAACGGAAAAGTATGTGTCCTTGGATTACTATTTTGGAATGTAAAATTATCTCTATATATATATAAAAAAAAAAATTGTTTAGGTCTTTTAATTCCTTAATCATCATCTGCATCTCTATAAATTATCCCTATTATCCGATCTACTCTCAGTAACCTCAGATCTTTGGGTATTTTGCAAATTAATCCTGTGCATAGGAGAAATATTTTAATTGAACCAGCTTTCAAAATATGGCCGGAAATTTGCGTTTCAAGTAATAAAAAGATGGGCTAATAAGAAAGCCCATTACTCCAGATCAAAGAAGAAGCCCATCATGATGTTAGGTGCCACGCGTTCCACAGCAGTATACATGCATGTCGTCTGGATATTTGATTCATAACAATCATGCCGTTCTAGGTTGGCCTTAAAAGAAAACAAATAGTAAGTTTCAGTACTCACTAGCCACGTCGAATATAATATGTAAGATTACTTTTGATCAAACAAGATTTTAATATCAACTCAAATATACATACATCTCTTTTAAAGCCATCCTTTTTCACTCGTTGGGTATAATTGTCAAAAGATTCAAAACTGTATTAGTACGTAGTAATTAACGAATTATCTTCGATCTCCCATTTTGTTTTCCCATGTAAAAATCTGTATAATTATTTGGCTATGGAGATTTTTTTTTGTGTGGGCGCATACGCTGAAAATTCGGACAACTTCAATCTAAAAGACAAATCCAATGGAAATCTTTATATGTTTTCCCACGTGCTTATCATCTAACGTGACTTTGTGCGTTCACACTTGGCGTGACTTACGGGAATTTTTGGTACGACAGACATCAATTTTGATTGTCGTTTTTGCTATTAATAATTGTAATTACTTGTACACTAGAATTATATATATATATATGAGCTAAATTTCAATTTGTTCCAATTTACTACCTTTGCCCGTAGTCTAACTCTCTAACACCCAACAGTTTTGATTTGTAGTATATTTGATAAATTATGTGTTGTGACAATTATACATCAGATCATGAAAAAAAAAATTGTTTCGTAACAGTTCTACACATGTGATTCATCAAACTTGAAAAAACGTAAGTATTTTCATTTGCAAAACTAAAACGAAAATTAATATTAACAATGCGTAGCTTAAAAAAACACTATAAAATCATCCATTAACAAGCAAATTCAAACTCTTATGCCGTTTGGTCTCAATGTTTTATTAGGATCCGGTGAAACCTGTCTGACAAAAAAACCGGTTCAATAAAATTCAGAACTATTAATTTCAGGAGATTCAAATGTAGATGTATGTTTACTACAGTAGTACGAGTAATATTTGATCGGCATGACGTGATATGTTGCCCTTTAGGAAGCGATCTTTTTCTACGCGCACCCAAGGGGCCTTTCGTGGAAATTACCTGATACTTTCTTAAAGTTCACTGAAATTTCATATTTGTATATTTAGGTGGATTTATCTAACCCGAAATTCAAATTCCAATGGTTCTTATCCACCCGCATTGGGCTATTGATAATGAAAGATTATGTATGGAGTTTTCTTTTCTATTTCAAAAAGGTTTCCTCATTTAGAGAGACCATCACTAGTATTACTTGTCTGGTGGTTCACATTCTTATTAGTTTAAAGATTTGGTTTGGAGGGTTTTCGTCTTCGGGTCATTATTCTCTGAATCTTTTAGACTTTTACCATATCATATCATTACTACTCGAATGTTTTCTTCATCAAATCTCAAGTTGAAGATGGATTAATTTTGTTTTTAAAATGATTTATGGTTAATGTTCTTAAAAAGGTGTGGCTTCTAGTCAATTTTACAATCATATAGTTCCGATGTTAACTAAGCTATAATAAGAATTAAGAAATCATATAAGTTACAACCATTATGGTTCGGTGGATGGTTGCATTAAAAAGTTTATGTCCTGTAAATAAACACAAACATATAATAAGGAATCAGTAATTTGAGAAAAAAGTGTCTTGCTATTTATAATCGTTAGCTGTTACCATTTCAAAGCAATAACAACCCACAGATTAAGTTAAACCACTTATCATATCGTCGTCCATTCGTGTTTGATCAATAATTTGATATTTATAGTTAAAGTTACCAACTTATCAAAGGCCATGTGCACGTAAATGCTACTCCTCGGTCACTTTACTTAATTTAGTTAATCATAAACTATTCGTTTGATCTGGACGCGTTAAATGAAGAAGTAGTCGACGCGTAGAGAATAAACATCCATTGAAAATTGAAAATTTATTCTCTAGTTTAAGTTCAGCAGCAGCCTCTAGCTAGGACACATACTTCCAAAACAAAACAAAAAAACTAGTTTGGGACTCAAAAAGCTACAAACCTGATTGATAACCGAGAAACATAGAATTTAAAGTGACACATGCATATATATCAATATTATCTACTTTTCATAGTGTGCACGATATTATACTGACGCATTCAGTACGATGAACATGCCAAATGTATAAACCCATAAGGCATCATCTTATATATACTAACTGTTTTAAAATAAAATAAAAATTATCACCTGTTTTGAATCCTTTTGTTCAAATCCTATACATTTGGTGAATACATATAAAAGATAGATCATCGTGGTATCGAATTTGACCACATTGATATTATTACGTCGCTGTCAATTGTGAGATAGGGAAAGGTGCATTAGTCTATATCCTCTCACCCACACCTGCATGTTTTGATTTGATCCATAGATTCTCGATCGATTTACTTTTAGGGATACTATAATCTCGATATTTGACCACCCTACCATACTTAATTATATAATCAGCAGCATATATATACAATGGCTAATATATGTAAATCGATTAACGAAGATGTAACAGGATAAGTGAATTAATAGGCATGACATCACAATCCTCACGTCAGCGGAAATAAAAAAGCATTCAACCGGATCTATAACGCGGTAGGAGGACTATGGGGTCACTTTGAAGATGATTGTTTATTGGTTTACTCGGTTGAATTATTATAGCCATAAACAAATTTCATGTGAAATACAATAAGATTAGAATCAGCTAAACTGACTGAGTGAGAGAGACTTTGCCAAATATGGGTTCTACTGTGATTGTGGAGAAATAGTTGACGCTTTATAGATGTGTGTATTTGATAATATGATCAATAGTTGATCTTATCTAGAACATTTATAGATCGAAAATATAAATCTTATTCATAAAATATCAAAATAATAACCACATGAAATTATATAATATTGTGTTTTCTTATAGCAGAAACAAGTAACCATTAGAATTTAGACTAAACTAAAATTTCTTTATTTTGCTCAAGCTTTTCAAGAAATCTAAGAAGAGAAACAGTGACAAATAATAAAAATCGGTGGGAAATAAAAGTAGTAGTCGGAATTTGTCAATTTCTCGACAAGATCCTTCTCTTTTCCACACAACTTCTGGTCCAAGCTTAAAACAAAATAAAAATTAATAAAATAAACTTATTGTATAAGCACAAGGACATGGTACCATCATAGATTCTCATCCATCACTCATGAATATAAATACAAAGAGATGCAAACACACGAAAACTCACATCTCATCCCAACCCTCAAAAGAGACAGAGAATTCTTAAAAAAGATTCTTAAAATTTTGTTGGTGGGTTTTTAGTGAGTGAATGCAGAGATGACCATGGAAGATAAACTAGTGATCAACGAGCTGGAGCAAGGGAGAGAGCTTGCGAAACGATTGATGAGCAATCTCAAACACACTTCTTCAACCGAATCCAGCAAAGCCTTGATAGATGAAATTCTCCGTATTTACCATAACGCCATTTTCATCTTGAGCTTCAAAGACGACGACAAGAACAAGCAAAGCCTTCAGATCATCGATGACAAGGATTCAAAACACGTGTCTAAAAAGAGGTAAAATTTGGAGTTAAAAAGAGTATTGTTAAGTTCCGACTTAGAATCTCATGTGTCTGACTCTGTTTTCTTTCTGTCATTTCCAGGAAAATATCTGAGAAGAAGAACGAGAAAGTTCGGGTTTTTGTTGGAGCAGGACAAGAAAAGGGTCCTAATGATGATGGTCATTGCTGGAGAAAATACGGACAGAAAGAGATTCACGGATCTAAGAATCCAAGGTAATTAATCAATTCTCGTAATCATCTGCTTAATTTAATTTTTGCTTTTTGTTTGATTTGCTAAATTTTGATTGCTCTGTTTTCTGTTATTACAGAGGATACTACAGATGCACGCATCGATTCACGAAGAACTGTTTAGCAGTGAAGCAAGTCCAGAAATCAGACACAGATCCTTCGATTTTCGAAGTGAAGTATCTCGGAAACCATTCTTGCAACAACAACACATCGTCCACGAACAAGACGAACTTCTCTGTTACGATGTTCGAAGAAGGAAACAGAGCATTATATGAAACAGAGAAGCCAGCAGATGTTGTTAAGCCGGAGAAAACCGAAGAAACGAGGGTAAGTCTTGAGGATCTGGAGAGCAAGAAGAACATTTTCAGGACGTTTTCTTTCGCTAACCATGAGATTGAGAATGGTGGTGGTGTTGGTGGTGATGGCTGGAGAAGTAACATTTTCCCGGAAAATCTGGTGGAGAAACTGTCTCCTTCAACGTCAGGGTCTGGAATTACGACCGAGATTGCGACTGCTCCTGCTTCCGTTGAGATTTCGGAAACTGCAGATTCGTATTTCTCGTGTTTGGACAATATTATCGATTTTGGACAGGATTGGTTGTGGTCGTAGCTCTTTTTTTTACTTGTGAATGTAATTTCTCGTTGCAGTAAGTAATTATTATAGTCTATAGATGGTGAGTTTAATTTCAGGTTAGATAAACTATTTTTGCCGATCAATAATAAGATTGGCTTTTAGGATATGATTTTTTGCCCTTTTTTGTTCAGTAAAGTTAGTCAATTCCCTATGAAGTTGGATGATACTTGATGACAATCAATAAAGGAAAGATTTTATAAGGTTTTGTTATTTTTAAAATTAAATGGAACGTTCTTGGAAGTTGGAAGGAATGGTGGTAGGGATATGGTTAAACTGATAGCATGACATTTGTTGGAAAAACTTGAATGATTAAAGTGTGAAAATGCTTTATAAACTAATGCAATTATTCGGATACATCTAAACAGTAGAATGTTCATTTCTTACATTTTCCAAATGAAATCGAAAAACAAAAACAAAGGGAACTCCAGATAGTAAAAAAATGTAATGTAAATTTAATTTAGCAGAATTTAAGCTGAGGTTTCAAATCAATCTTTCTCGTTTATAATTTTTGCTAAGAAGGAATCGATGGGTCTAATGGGCCTAAAGCCCAATACCAAATTATCAGCCTAATCTCGAACAGAAACTTTAGTCGATTGCATCGAAAGAATCCTGCAGATACTCGAAGAAGACCACAGCGAAATTTCTGTAGAGGAAGAAGAAGAAGAGGAAGAGGGAAGAAGATGATATACCGAAAGTGGAGTCTGCTTTCCGGTCCACCGGTAATCCTCGGCGGAGCCGTAGTTGCCGCAGTTGCCGTCGGCTTCTTGATACAGAACGTAATTTCCTTCTTCATCTCCTGTTTTGAATCATTTTTAATTTTAATCAACCCTAGATCGTTAGATCCATCTCTTGATTGGATCGTCTTTACCTCCTTCCATTTGCTACTTCGCTATTTCCATTTGTTTCGATTCTCATTTGATCTTACTTGGATCGCAAATCCTATTGACGAATCAGTAATTGGCCATTTCGAACCTTAAAGCGTGAAAGGAACGTCCTTTAATTGAAATTTCTGTGTTCTTCGTATGCTCAATTTTACAGATTAGAATTGGCTTCATTCGCTATAAATGTTTTGATCCGTATTTCAGATATTCATCAACGTTGTATTGCTGATCCAAAGATTTAATTTGGAGTGGACATTTTTGTTTATGTCTCACATGATCAGGTTACGAAAGGGGAGACGAAGAAGAATGACTCACCAAACAAGTGAAAAGGCAAATTGGGAAGATGCTACGAAATGCTGTGCGAGTCATGTGTTAAGCTCAATAATGCTTTTGTAAGCTTTCAAATATACAACAGATCCTTTTTGTGTTTTAGTTTCTTGTTTGCGAATAAATGAGATTTCATTTTTTTTGCACATTTTCGTTCCTTCTTTACATTGATCAGAAGGCTCTCTAGAGTCTAGAGTAAGAACAAAGCTTTAACTTAGAGAATGTTAGGATAATCTAAAACGGATGTTCAGAGAATATAGGCTCATGAACATTTCTTGAGATTTCTTCATGCACTTCTCCTTGGAACTCTCATCCCAAACCCACGCTTCAGCTTATCGACCCTGACCATGTAGTAGCATCAAACTCAGTTACATGAATGAACTCGAAAGGTAAGGCAAAATAGATAGATGTTTAGGCTTTGTGAAAAAAGCTTACGTTGGGGCGAGTTTGCCAAGACTAGCTAGCTCTTCACCGGTGTCTTCGTCTATGACTCTACCTGAGATGTAAACCGTGTAGGACCGTTCTCTCTCCCTCGGGAGACCTCTTGCATTGAGCAATCTCAGGTCTTTCTGGTGAAGCTCTCTTCCGTTCACATAGACTCTTGTGGTTCCGCCAGCGCAATCCTCTGGCATTGGGTAATTCAGCTCTTCAATGAAAGGCTGTAAGAGAGAAATCACCAGCTTTTAGTACACATTCATAAGAAAATGAAGAATATGTCTCAGTGACTGATCTTTACCGGTAAGATTCCAAGACATTGACCTCCCATTACTCCCCAGAATCCAGCTCTATAGTCGTACCTGGTAACAAGGAAAAGAACAGAAGTGAGCCATTAGGGCTAAGTTAATGAAAAGAAGGATTTAAGAGATTGAAGAAGCCTCGCGTACCAGTAGCTTCCTGGCCGGATTGGTCCAGCTTGCTTCTCTGCCATTTTCACCAGACGTTCAGCTACAGATTGCCCATTTACCGAAACATCACTACTTCTGCTTTCATTCTTGATTGATTTCTTTAGATCCTTGAAGCTGTTCTTCACGATACTCGCAAACCCGCCCTTCTTGTTTCTTCCCTGGTCATCTCACTTAATTTGTTATATTGATATTATACTTCCACGTCATGCAGGTTTTACGGGCTTATAGTCACTTAGACAGAAAAGACATCTTGTAGTTATCAACATATCATCTGGCACGTATGATGAAGTCTAAGTACCTATGAGTAAATGTGGCCATCTCAACTAGAGCAAAGGAGCAGAGCCTCTTTCTTGCATATAGAGATTCAGCTCAGATCTATTTATGTTCTATGTGTTTAATCTCCCGGAATGAAGTGTCTCTCTTCCTTTGACATGCGAAGAAGCCTTGAGGAGCTCATTGGCCCAGACCGGTCCCTTACATTGATTGAAGAGTATTCAAACTGTTTGTGAAGAGGCAGAGGACTATCTGAACTTAGGTCGTCTTCAGACACTTCAGGAGAAGTAGAATCCGCAATGTGCACTTCTTCAGGTTTGTCGGAGATCAAAGCCGTATCCACTGCATGGAATTCGTAAGGAGCATTATCGTAGTCATCAGAAGAGAAAGTAGCAGCAGTTGACCAATGCAGCCTTCTATGAGTTTGTGGTCTTCTCTCTGAAGCAGGATCCGTAGAGAGAAGGACTAGTTTCTTATCAAGAAAGGAAAATTCTATCAAGTAAGAGCACGCTCCGCAGCGAAGTCTCTGTCGCTTTCTTGTAGAGGAATCTGTTTTGTCTGGCAAATTCAGAATCTTGAAGCAGTTTCTACAGGTTATAAACGGTGCACCACCAGCCACAGGGTTGATTAAGCGAGAACAACCTGAAGCTGATCCAGCTTTAGGGTGATGATGCAACAGAGAAAGATCATTCGGACGTCTTCCTAGACCACGAGATTGAGAAGGAGGAGGAGGAGGAGGAACAAAGGTTCGTGGACTATGCAATGGAGCAAAACCAAAACTTGTCTCATGAGTGTAAAAACCAGGATTACGCAGAGCATCAGGCAAGCCTGATGGAGGAAACACTGAGCCTGAAGCTCTATGATATGGATCATAGCAGTGGACACAAGAGCAACTTGACTGGTGAAGCATCCCGTTTCGCTGGTATGTATCGAACAAACCATCGTCATACTTTGTGGAATGGAGCGGATGAGATGGATGCAGAGCTCTTTCATGCATCATGAGCCTGTGAGGGTCTCCATAAGCTGAGTTATGCATCTGACCGTGCAGAGAAGCATCAGGGTTTTGGTTATAGTGACATGGAGGATAAATATGGTTATAGGAAGGTCCTGCAATGTGTTTCCCGGAACTTGGAAACCGCAGAGGAGCCTTTTCTTTTAGCCTATCCAACTTTTTCACCAGCCCGGCTCTGTCTTGCCGGATTGCTTCATCACTATACACGGAATCTTGAAAGTAGTTTGAAGCAGAGAATCTGAAGCCCTCGGAGTCGTATCTCTTGATTGCTCTTTTCAGTTTCCTAAACCGATCCAAACCCGATTGAGAATCGTTAACATTCACTTTCGAGCAAGGATCATCATCAGTGTGAACATCAAAAGTCTCTGTTTGACCAATTTGTTGGTGTCTTAATGAAGCATCATCCAAATCTAATTCTTCTTCACTTGAACTAAGGTTAACTTGAGTTTCTTTGGCTCTATTATCCACGGACTTATCAGACACTGGATCTGCTTCACGGTCCTTGTTTTTGGCTTCACATACAAAACAAACAAAAACTCTTTTGGGTCAGAAACAAAAAAAATTACCATTTTTACCCAATCGACGTCATCGAAATGGAAAACCAGAAACAGAAATTTATGAGTGGTTGAAAGTTGAAACATTAAAGCAAGAACATATCTCGAAATTATTCATTTTTTTTTAATTGGTTGAAACTTTCGTCATCCGAAGAGAAGATGGAAATGGAAACTAACCGCAAAGAATGGTTCCACAACCACCGCACTGGAAAAAGGAGCAATCCTTAGGCTCTGGTAAGAGATTTTTGCACTTTGGACAACGAACTAGCCTTACTTCGATCGTCGACGACTCGGCCATTAGTACCAAAAACACAGAAAAAAAATTTGTCACTGAGTTGAGAAGAAGAATACTCAACAACCTAAATATGAAGACGACTTCTTGTTGAAGAAAAGAAGAGAGCTTGGAAGTTTTTTGCTTTTTCTTTATGGGATTTTTGAGGTCTCTAGAGAAATGAAGAAGATGCAATCTAGCAAGAACCTCTTGTTTGTATTCGATCCTCTTTTAGCTTTTCCTAACTTTCATTTTCCCGGAAAAAGAAGAGAAAATTAGAGAGAGAGAGGAGGACGAGGAGGGGGAGAGAGAGAGAGAGACTCTGGGTTTATGCTATAGACTCTGCATTTTCCCTCCTCACACGGCAGAAGAAAGCAAGAAAACTAAACAGAATTGGAAATGATGAACGACGAAGTTTCAGCCTTTTTGGACAGCGAAAACGGTATCGTTTGAGAGTTAACGTAGTACTGTATTATGCTTCCGTGTGTGCTGTGACGCACGTAACGCAATAATCAGATGGTTCGAACCGTCTTGGAACGTTTACATACATAAAGCGTTTAGATTTGTTATCTCAAGTCCAAATTACAATATTTGATTTTGTTTTTTCTCTACGTTAAAGAATAATAAGACTGACAAAAGTGAGCTCATAGTCGATTTATTATGGGCGGGACAATCTACAGAGTGGGCCATTGCTTTCTTCTAATTCTATTTATTTTTATTTTTTTTATCGGAGTAAATTTTAAAGAGTACTTTTACCTTTTTTCAATATTCTGGTTGGAAATCCAGACTAATTTAAAACTTTACTTGTTACACATAGAAGAGAAACTGGTGGTGAATTGCATTATTTGCATTCAAATTTATCGAACCGTACTCTATACCAACAAAAGAGTGCATTATATTCTGAAAGCAGTAAAACATTGTTAGAATACAATACTATATGGAAGTGGAGCTCACAAAAATAAAATCAATGAGAGTGAGAAATGGTCAAAAGCCAATCTGGATTTGGGACAGTAGAGGAAACATTAAATTGATGACCGTGTTGAAGAAAGTAGTTAGTTGTCGATTTCTCATTTATTTTTTCTAATTTAATTGAACTGATGATTTTGACCTTTTTAGTGGTATATTTTTTCAAATGTAGTTTGAAACTTTGGGGTCCTTGTTGTGCATTTTTATAACATTTTGTACTGTTAAAGAAATGAAATTTAAAAACGTTCAACTAGTAATATTGAAAAATATTACGAAGAGTTTTCAAAAGATCGAACGAGGGAAAGGAACCAAACTTATTTCAATCTATTCCAGAAGAATAACTAAAGCAATAGAAAACAAACAAAAGATGTGGTCGACGGCTATGCATACTTTATACATAGGATTTGAAGTACAAAACAAAAGGTAAAGCCAAAATAGCTTTTGATATTCGACGCATGCAATTCAAATCAATTGGGTTTTATAGTTGCACTAGGAAATTTCCACCCTGAATATGGGCCTATATGGGATTAACTGTAAGCCCACTCGTAACATAATTTACTTTTTGTACGGTAATTTGTTTTCTGCAAGTAGTCAAGTAACTATATTTTCATGCTAATGTAATCCTTTTACAATTTCTGTTTTTGCTTGGAAACAAATGTCAATTATGTGAAAAAAAAATCCCAACAAAAATAAATTATATAGGAGCCGAATGAATTTTTATTTCTTAGACCACACAAAAATAAAAATAATTTTAACATACAATAGGAAAACCTTTTAAACACAACAATTTTTCATCACATAAACAACTTTGGAAAAAACTTGTTAACAAATTAGACAAACAATTTCTTGTACCACGAATTCCACCAAAAAATACTACCAAACGTTTTGTTTGTCTTGTCTTCTTCATGTGTTTCTTCATTCTTCTTTCTGCTCCACCAATGTCTCCTCCCAGAACGGGTCGTCGTCTCGTTAGCAGTAGAGTAGTCGTCTTTATCCTTATCCATCAGAGCTCGCAGACTCAAACCTGCTGGCCGAGTGTGAGGAGTGAAAGGCAGTAATTTGCGTTCGATGATGTGAGCAAAAGAGACGAGTTCGCACGCATCGTAGAGTGGACTCTCGCAGTCCCAGATTTTGTGATCACGACCATCACTGATATCATCTGTTACTCTGTCTTGTGAGTTATAACTTGCATGAGATCTTCTTGTGTTTGTCATAACTGAAAGACTGAAGAGTTTCTGTGTTGATTTCTTAATATCTTTGAAGAGTTTATGTTTTTCTTTTTGCTTTGTCTCTGGATGAAAAGTTTGTTGTTATATAGGGGTGTATGGAAAATGTGAGCTGGCCAGATATAATTTTGTGTCTGAGTGTCTTTATATGTATAATCTATTTTTAGTTAAGAAAAATGACACACATTTATTGTTCATGCATTAAAATAATATCAAATTCCCTACTCAACATATCATCAATGCATGAATGTGCAATTTGTCACACTATTACCGTTTCCTTAGCCCAACAATTTCCAGCTATCAATGTCCTTTTACAATTTGAAACTGGGAAATATCAATACGCCAGATTGCAAGATTTATTTCTCTATTTAGGGAGGTTTTCTAAAATATAATATTTTATTTCCTTGATATAAAGATATAATCATCACCTAATAATATTCGTGAAAAGACAAAAAGTTGGCATGCAATGAACCTGCGTGTGTGGTATACTGGTATGCTGTCCAGCAAAGAAAAGAGTCACACATACATCATTTTTATGTATACGGCCGAAAATAACATGTATGACAAAATTTTACCAAAAAAACATATATGACAAAACAACTATTTACTTTATAGTTAAGAAAATCGTTGAAAACTTGATTATGACTTGAAATCTACATATTTTTATAACGTACGGGAGTATAGACATTTTGTCCACTAAACTACAACAATTCACATCCGACATGGTGGACATAAATAGATTGGAAGAAAATACATCAATGTAACTGTATACTTAGCCTTAGTTCAAAAAACATACTTCCGACGTTGAAATATACTTCCGACGTATGTCGTTTGATACCTTTTATGTAATACAAATTGTTAAGAGCTTGTGGTCCGAAAGCAAATTTGTATACTATTCGGTTTTCAAGTAGTTCAATTGTATTTCTGTCTCGTAATCGCCTGTGAACTTTACTATGTGGATTACCACTCTTGATCGCCTGCCAGTTAGATCAAGATTGGTCTCTTGGGGCTTGCAAGTATCTCCTTTGTGTGTCTTGTGCTCATCCGAAACTGAATCCAGAGACCATCTAATGTTGTCTTGCGATTTCAGCTCTACTATTTGGCTAGAGGTCTTGGCAAGGATAGGCACTAATCGTCCAAGCTTCACCTCATGGACAGATCTCCTCACATGGACCTGTGGAAACAGCAACAGCTCACCATCGGTACTCCGAAAACTGGTGACACAAGCAGTGGTTAACGGTATTTGGAAACAGAGGAATAACCTCTTACACAACTCTGTTTCCATTTCTCCTTTATCCATTTTCAGGGACCTGGACAGACAAATCATCAACACGATCAATGCAAGACGTAATCAACGTAACTTTGGAAACCTTATGAGCCATTGGCTGAGATAGAATTATCATCAGAAATCACTATTTTGCTTCCTTGTTTTTTACCCCTTTTTTTTGCCAAGGAACCATATGCTTAGGTTTGCTATTGTAAATCCTACTTTCATTAATATGATATTTACAGTTTTAGCAGAAAAAAAAAAAAATTATTATGCCACAACCAACTTGTCAGCATGATCATGCATACATGTTATAAAAAAACATACGTACGCGGTACGTCTCTTGAGACGATAACGTTACTTAGAGAGTCCTGAGTCCTGATTATGAAAAGTTACTTTAAGATTCACATTAGTGCTTCGTTTTATTTGATAAAGGATTTACATTAGTGTTAGTCCACTCATTATCAACAATTCGCTTGAGAATCTATACATAGACATTACTAGGTCCCACCAATAATGTCATAGTCACGTATAGCTTCTAAGACAAAATCACACCACTATGGCCCCATATATTTTTCTCTTCACTAACTCTAAGGTTTAATTGATTATTGTTCTTAAAAAAAAAACACCAAAAGGTTGTATTAGATATTTAGATGTCTAGATTCATTCAAGTAGAAAAATGAAACAATACAAAGACCTAACTACATTTAAATTCGGTTTCTATGTCAATTAATATCTTAATTCGGTTCAGGTTTCATCTGTACGACTTAGCGATTATCCGGATTTCAGTTTCCGTATCTTCAATCAAATTCGAATCTTGAGAATTTAACTATTTAAATATGTAAAACGTCACATCACCAAATCATCTATTTATCTCCCAAACATTAATTGCACAAAAAGCAAAGTAAAACCACTGTGATACTTTTTAAAAAGGTTTTGTCTTTACTCCTTACAAGTTACACCGAATTAAATAACAAAAGTAAAACTATATCTATTGACACAATAAAGACAAAAATAAACAACAAAAACCACTTTTTCTTGAACCACACAACTTTTCAGTCAAAAGCTGTGCTGAAGAAGCTCTTCTCAACATTCTCACACAGAATCTGCAGAACCTTAACATTACTTGGCTTCACACACCTCGGCATCTTAAACTGTCCAGCCGATGATCCAAGCCCTAGAAAATGTTCTTGAACCTTCCTAAACGTTCCTCTCTCCAACACTCTCAGCTCCAAAGCTCCAATCGTCTTGCATTTCCTCGAACTCATATAACCAGCATCGATGAATCCTCGGTCTAGATAGTCACAGCAATCCTGAAGAACATCTTCGCTTGTCTCACCTGAAATCTCCCAGAATATAACGTAATGTCCCGGATCCGTCGACACATCAACGTGGCTAGAGAAGTCTATCACTTCGATCTTCTCCTCCGAGAGTCTCTTCGCTGCAGACTCCACCGAAAGCTGAAGATCTCGCTCCGTGTTCTTGTCGATGTTGATCGAGAGGATCAAGTTTCTCCTGCAGATAAACTTGAGCTGTGGAGTTTCGTTGTAGAAGCCAGTGATCTTCACCACGTCTCCAAGCCTGTACCGATACAATCCCGCGTAGTTCGTGATGACAACCTCGTACTCTTGTCCGATCTTGACATCGGTTAAACCGACCGGTTCTTGATCTCCTCCTCCTTCCTCTGTTTCAGAAACAGAGAGAAACTCGAAGTAACCGAGATTCGGAATCACCGCGAACGTAGCTTCCTCCGGAGACAATCTCGGAGTCACATTAGCAGCGATCCATCCTTCGGAGCTTCCATAGTCATGGCTCACGAGCGGTAGATCCCCAGCGTAATGTCTCAGCTTCTTCACGTACGGCTCCATGGAGCCAGTCATGATCCCGTAAACATACTTCGCGTTCGGGAAAAGCGCGGGAATCAGTCCGTACCAGTTGCTCAAGCTCACGCATTTCTCACGGATCGTCTCAGCCAGCTCAGGATCAGGCTTCAGGAGCTTCGACATCGCGGCTCTGACCGATGGGACGGTGATTCGGCTGCTCAAGACGCCGTCTTTGATATCGGTGACGATCTCTTCCCAGAGCTGCTCAAAGGTTCTAAACGCGTGGACTAGGCCGTGAGCGAAGGAGGCAAAGACGTACTGGACTTGGTCTCTGAAGAGGATTCCTGATAAGAGATGGCAGTACAAGGCTTGATGGACGTCAGGACTGAAGATCACTTCGTCGGGACTGCAAGAGAGTGACTGTATTGATTTCATTCCGGCTTTGTAGTTAGGGTTCCGGTAGACGTTTGAGGTTGCGGTTCCTACTGGGACGCCGCCTTTTGAAATGTACTGCTTGCTGCTGAAGATGAATTGCAAAGCTTTCCCATTGTTATCAATTGGAAACTCTCTGTACACAAATGATCACAACAACAAATGTTAAAAACCATTCCTTTTTTAAAACAGAGCTTCCTCTGTACAAATGAAACTGTTAAAAACCAATCCTTTTCAAAGCAGAGCTTCCTCTGTACAAATGAAACTGTTAAAAACCAATCCTTTTTAAAGCAGAGCTTCCTCTGTACAAATGAAACTGATAAAAACCAATCCTTTTTAAGGCAGAGATTCTCTGTTCATTTCAATGGATAGAACAGAGGAGAGTATGGAATTTGGGGAAGATAATCATTTGTCAGTAATTCAAATGTACCTGTTTCTGAAGGCAAAGGCGGTGCGAAAGAGTTGTAAAGTGTTCTCCATCAATTCATCAGTGAAAGGAACAAACTTTGGACGGCCTTGACTGGTTCCAGAGCTGTGGAGGGTTTATAAATAACAGATTCATTCATTAGTATCTGAGAAAAAAGAACAAAATTGAAAGAAGAGATCTTGTAAGAACCTTAAGGAAATGGCGGGAACGGGGTGGCCAGTGAGGATAGGAGACGTGTCACCATCGACCATTCGTTTGATGTAAGGCTCTAAATCAGCGTCAGTGACTAACGGAACATTTGCTTTGAAAGCAGCTTCTGTGTCTGTGGTTGCGTTTCCGTTGAGTCCGCAGTTTTGCAAGTAAATGGCGGCTTTGTTCTTCTCAAGAATCTCTTTGAGGGTTTGTCTCTGGACTTGAGCTGCGTTTCTCGTCATTTCATCGAATTCGTCGATTACTCTGTTCATGTTGAAACTCTCTACCTTCTCCAACATCCTGAAATAGCAAAAAAAAAAGTAAAGTGAGTATTAACAAAGACGACAGTTCATCCGATAGTTGGATACAAAATCTCAGATTTAGGCAAAAAGCGGCAGATTTCGGACAGAATTGCAGAATAGAGACAATAATAGTAAGGAAGGAACTAAAAGCTCTTTATGTATCTGAGCATCCAGAAAGGGAAAGTTTTAAAATTTTCAATAGAAAAACAAAAGATTTTGGAAAAAATATTCGAACTTTTTAGCAGATTTTTCATAAAGGGGGAAAACGGTTTTCCGGAATCTAAGCGTATGGAAGCGGAGAAAAATATCAAAAACAGAAAGAACACGAAATGAAATTGATTTGAGGACGAGGGATCACGAAATCAACAGTTTTTCGAGGAACCCAATAGTTTTCAATCAGACCCATTAATCGGAATCTATGAGACTGGGAGAAGCAAGTAAGTAGGACTTTTGGAATCTATCTGGATAAAAGAGAAGGAAAAGTCAACGAGCTCGGAGGAATCAGAAACTGTTTGTTTTTCCCGATCAGAAGTAACAAATTACAGAAATTTGAATAGTTGCAACATAAATATCCCGATGAAGGAGTGAGAGAGAGAGAGTACCTGCTGCTGTTGCTGAGAGCTCTGTAGCTTGGTGGAGGACAGAGAGAGAGAAAGATTTTTAAGGAGTGAGAAAGAAGAAGAAGAAGAAGTTGAGTGATTTTTGGAAAGTCAGAGAAACTGTGCATTTATATAGATAGAAATTATAAAATGGATTATTAAAAAAAAAATAAAAGAGGACGGAGAAGAGGGAGTACTTTGTGAGGAAGGCGATTGATCAGTGAAAGCCGTTTCTTCTCTCTTTTCTCTTTTTCTGTGTCTCGCAATCCTCGCCGACGCTATTTCAGTTTCTTTTTTGTTCTCCGACCAGATATTTATTTTATTTTCTTCACAAGATGGTTTACATTAATTGTTGTTACTATTTCTTGATAATAGAACCCCATTTTTATATTTTTTTCAAAACCGTTTCTCTGCACACCAATTTTTTAATCATAGGCTTTGTTTGGACGCTTCATGTTACAACCAAACATGCACTTCGCATGTTGACACTTGACGAATTACATTGAGTGTTTTTCTGTCGATGAAACGTTACCACAGTGAGCACACTACAAGAATATTGGGTTTTAATAGCACTAAAAGATAGCGTTTGTTGCACTAGTGCTATGGTTAACTAATCCCTCACATTTCTATAGCGTTTGTTTATTGATAAACGCTATGATATATAATCTGACTAATTAATAATCTCACGTTTATGACAAACGCTATCATATGTAGAGTAAAATTAAAAAATTAAAAATCAAGAGTTGCGTGACACTTGCTAAAACATTTGTGTTGAAAGCTTAACCTAGAAAACTCAACACTTTTTTGTGTGTTTCTTTGGTCTAACTTCCTCTCCTTCTTATTTCCTTCGTCTTCGTTCTTTTTTTTTCTAGGTTTTCTGGGAAAATTGGCATTCCGTAGATCTGTGTAGCGGCTGGGAAGATATGGTGGCCGGAGTGCGGGTTCATGACGGGTTCGAGACGGTGCCGGATCTGTGTCGCTCTCACTCTCTCGTCGCTGTATTTATCTCTTCTTTCAATCTCCCACTCACTCTACGGATCTGGGTTACTTTCAATTGGTAATTGAAGTTGTGCTTCTTTCTTTTGGCTAACGATGAGGCTGCTCTTGATCCATCAGGTTGGGTCAACTCGGGAACGAAGCGCTTCAATTTTTGATCCATCAGGTTGGGTCAACTCGGGAACGAAGCGCTTCGATTTTTTGTCCGATAATATCCTCTGCTCCGACAACGAATTCACCAACCAGGACGCTTCTACTGGTTCTAACTCTGGTATTGCTTCCAACTCCAAGAAGGTTAACATAGATCCCAACTTCCAACTGTTTTAAGTTTTGGCTTTGATCCACGAATTTCATTATTATTTGGGATTCTAGGAGTATTGTGGTTTGGTATTGTCTCTGAGAATCTTCAGATTCACTTGATCGTGTAGCGCTCCAAGTGTTTGTAGAAAGGGTAGAATGATAAAAAACGAGACATTTGACTTCCAAGTTCTTGATTTTCAGGATATCTAAGGAGATATCATCTCTTGAAGGACAGCTTCTTTCCATGAGAAACCTCCTCTCTGCTCAAGCAGCTCTTGTTCACGGTTTTAGCTGATCACGTTCATATTACTTGAAGAAAATTGGGTTGTCGAGTTCTTTGACAGACTTTAAGTTCTTTTAGCTGAGAAGAGGTTTGGGAGACGGGTCTTGAGCACACACATTGCTTCTCAGGTCTTACGATAAGTTGAAGATGCTAGATTGCACCGTGAAGATGCCAAAACAGTTGTTGTGAAGACGGAGGAGCCTTGGTGATTGAGGTGGCTCAGCTAGCTTGAGGTGTTGAGAGCTTAGACTAGAAACTAGAGTAGATGTGAAAAACAAAATTTCCTTGTAAACTATTATTACTATGTCTGTGGTAAATAAATATATGATTTTCTGGAATTCAAAATCTAAATTATATAATCCAAAATTTAATATTGAAACCCAGATTTTTTAAAATAATAATATTTAAAACCAGAAATAATAATATTAACAAATAATAACATTAATAAAGTGTTATCATAGTTTATTTAATTGCACTTACTAAAACGCTATCGTATATGAAATTACAATAGCATCGATAAAAAGCGCTATCTAAAGTGTTTGACCTATTATCGCGGGACCAGACACAATGCTTCTAATAACGCTATGATATCTTTAGATAGCGTTTTACACTCGCTAAGAAAACCCCTTTTTCCTGTAGTGGCAGTTTAGGAGAAGTCAACTTTTGTTAAGAGGATAATTATATCTTCTTAAATGCTTGAGTTTTGGCTTAATGATAACTAAAATCGGATTACTATTTAGGCACCGGTGTGTACATTATGAAATACTAAGAAAACTAAGAATCAACATCGATCGCTAACAAAAGTAATACTCTAGTTAATGTGTTATTTATGATCTCTAGTTAATGTCATCTGATTACAAAACAATTAAAATGCACTCACCATTGTTTTAAAATATTTTAGATATGTACATGTAATTTGAAAGGGATTATTTTGTTCCACCGTTCATTTACTTTTTATGCATGTGTAGATACCTGAATTATTAAATGTTTTAACGTTATATATTGATTGCACTTTTACAAATCACATTTTCCTCCACCATTTTGGTTAATTCCACGACCAAGTAAATCACCGATTAAGGAAAACTTATTAGCTGGAAATAAATTTGACAATATCTGTCAGTGAAGTAACGAGGTAGACAGATTATCAGACGTAAGTCCCAAAATATAAATTCCAGCGATAGTGATTACCATAGGTCCATAGTAAAATAGTGACAGAATCAGGTGGTTATTAGCTTATACTATAATCTGATCATTTTTACACGTGGAGGATTACAATTAGTAAAACCAAAGTGCGTTCCCCTGTTACACGTGGCAGGTGCCGTCCAGTTATTTCGGCTCGTCTCTTATTATTTTTTCGGTCACAATCTTTTCGTTTTCCTTACTTTCGCCCCAAATGTTTCATGCAATTACGGGTAACGCCTGTTTTAACTTTAATTATCCTGTCCTGTTCTTGCCAACTTGCACTTTCCTATGTATTGCTGTATTCAGATATGTGTTGAATTCTTTACAAACAATACAGTATTTTAGCGTCCTCGCGTTACATACGGGATACAAGTGATTACAATAAGACGAACAAGTAAACGACACACATTTTCTTCGATTAGCATAGTTGTTTATTTAATAATCAGACATATTGTTGTCTCCATGCATTTGTCATTAGTTCATGGAATATTTTTTTACCATAATGTGGCCCTATATATGGATGTTATACTATGTTATCTCGTTTTACAAACGTCTCTTTTATATGTTGTTTAGCTTTGCAATAGCCAATGGAATCACACATTAGATATTAGACGCTTCCTGCAATACACTTCCTAACATGTTAAATATATTTAATGGAATAATGGTCAATATTTGTATACAGTAACGCGATCAAATAATTGAATCAAAAAGCGGTTATTAGCAAAAGTTATAAGCGATAAAGTGCATAATAAGAAAATAAAGCTCGTGAAGTTCACGAACGTATCAAATGATTGATCCCTAACTATATTTGACATTTTTTTAATCAGCTTTCCCCTTACTCTATCTATATAACCCGATCGATAATCTAGTGGTATGGTTAATGGTTTACATTACTCCTTTGAATATTTAAACCAATGACCAAAATATTCATCAGCTTCAAGTTATAAAATCTAGTTTTAAAAAGATGAAAACATACGTTGATTTAAAATTCTGTCTAACACGATGCGTTTCATTTTTTGTTTGTAAAGCTTACAAAGTTACAAGTTATATAACTCATCCATACATGATTTTTGTTTGGAAAACGGAACTGATTATACATTAGTGACCAAAAACAGATCTTGCGAAAACGACCCTTCATGTATCACGCAATTCCGCTTCCGGCCACTTTACATTAGGAAAAAAAAAAAAAAAAAAAAATCATAGCTTACCATCATTTTTTGTTTGCTTTCAGGTCAACTTCTCTATGCCAATGAAGACCAGTCGTGTGAACATCTTTCCCTTCGACGGCTAGCCGAAATTTTCAAAGTTTTTAACACTTTGTGCTCAACAAACTAATTAAAAACATTTAAATAGCACATTTTCGAAAACTCTAGTTACATTTACACGTCTTGTATAAATATATGTATATATGATACATGCTGTATCATGTATTTCAATATTCAGGATACTGAGGAATGTTGGACGGAGGGAATAAAATTAAATTTATTTTGAATTTTAACAATTTAAAGACTAGGATGGTGAGTTTCAGTTTTGTTCCTGAGTCAGCCTCAGGACTTGTGTCGAGCAAGGCCAGTGCTAAACTGCCGATCCGACATTTTCATGTGGGTGCTATTTATTTATTAGTATAAAACATAGTTTAATCAATCGTCTCATGTTGTGAGAAAGAAAAAGAGATTGTGAATTAGGTTGTGGACGTCAACTGATGATTTAATAATGATTGCTTAACCGAGAGATTAGGTAGAGGTTACTTGCTGTTAATCATGGTTACATAGTATTATTAGGTCACCTACCGACCATGGAGAATCAAAAATATGTTGTCGTTACTAAATTTGCAAAGGCTTAAATTTGTGTCGAATGTTTCGTTTTGTTTTGATTGGGCCTTATCAAGCTCATCGATGATATTTTCAAGAACGAATGTGGGATTTTATTGTAGTGATCCAAGATTTTAATATATCATCATTGCAAAGTGAGAACTATTTAATGTCTTTACATTCACGCAAAAAAATGGTTCATTTGTATATTGCTCAATAACAAAATTTGGACTGAAATATAACATAAGTATTTTCTGCTTCTAGGGAAATCACAGATCAGTCACGTGCTTTTCACATTTTCCTGGAATGCCTGCACATTTATAGACATAATAAAGGTATATATGAACCTAAGCATGAACATCTTCAAAGAATCTAAACAAATTAATTTTTGTTTTTCACCTGAATTCCTTAGCCATAGGTTGAAGCACGTGCGTCCTTTTCCCCATCAGCTTGGTTTCCTTCATAAACCTCTTGTTTGCACGTGCTCTTGATTCACGAACCTCGTGTGCAACACTTCTTTCGTTCTCAAAACTCTTCTCATCTTCGTTCGTCGTTGAAGAAAGCTGAGAGAGAAGCACCACCATGAGATTTACATCCACCAGAGAAGATGTCTCGTCTTCTCTTCTCTCCTCCTTATGGCGTTCGCGGTTAGCTTCACGAGACGAATCCATAAACCGAAAAATAAGATACAAAGGAGAAACAATTATTAGGAGCTCTTAGTCCCATAATTAGCCTGTCTTTCCGACATAAAAAAAAAAAGACAAAACTCCTTTTCAGACCATTCTTAGTAAACTACGTTTAGTAAACTCCTTTTCAGACCATTCTTAGTAAACTTCATAGATTTGCAATTTTTTTAGTGGTAACGGTAATTTAGTTGCCCCCTTGGAGATTTAACGGTAGCGAAGTAAGATTCTAAACTTTGTTCAAATGTATAGGTGAAACTTCTCGGGTCTTAGCTATAGCGAATTAGCCCATAAAGTCTCAAAAAGGCCCGGCCCATTAACTGTTATAGCTTTGGAGTGTAAATATAAAACTAATTGATTCGTGCATGTCGTGGCTTATTAATCTCCACAGCATTCACGTGACCCCTCCCTCGAATCGCGAATAGATTAAGCGACGTCGACGTGTTTTAATCTCCTCCTCTTAACAAATATCCTTAACAATCACTTCCTCCATGCAACATTCTTAATCCCCACGCCTTTCCTAATTATTTACCAATCCTGCCCCCTATTAGCCACACACAACGCCTTACCGAAGAGTGGCATTTTCGGTAAATAACACCGAAAACCAGCACCGTCTTGTTAAGCTGATGTCACTAATCAATAGATTATCAACGTAATCCCGTGTCGTAATCTTTTAATCTCTCTACTTACTTTAAACTAATTGGGCAGCCAGAGGAAAAAAATCTTTCTCTTTTTCCATAAAGTAATACGAAAAATTAAATAAAATAATGTTCGAAAAATTGTCCGCCAGAAAAAATAAGAAAAGCATATGGTTTTGATATGTGGCTTCAAGCCTTGAATTATTAAAATAAACAATTTTAAAGTAAAAAACAAATAAGGAATGAAGAACGAATGATTCCAGTATAGAGAGATTCATTGTGTTTCGAGCAGATATTTGTTTTCGTAATCATCAATATGGGAAGTTTATAGCCTCTCCTTTCTTCTTCTCCTTCTTCTTCTTCTTCGTCTGTGTGTGTGTTTGAATTGCTCTCTTCGCTTCTCCACATGCTCCACACCGTGTGGACTCACCGCCTCGCTGTATGATCTGATTGTGCGATCTCTCGGTATCTGGGATTTTCTGCGTGTAAGCGATTTGATTTTGTTTATTTATTAAATACTTTTCGTTTCGCGTAATTTTCATGATTGGTCATTCGTTTGCTGGATTCTCACTTAATCTTCGCTGTTCTCATTAGCTGCTTGAGATTACGTTTGAAATTTGCTCATAGGGACTAGAGATTTTTCATTTTGTGTGTGTTTTGACTAGTTTAGAATCTGAACATGCATACTTTTCGGAGAATTTTAGTAAGTAGGGTTTATTTTCTTCTTCTTCTTCTTCTTCCATTTCATTTCGTCTTCTTCTTCTTCGTTTCATCGGTTTGATTTCTGATATGCGATTCGATTGCTTTTGATTAGGGCATGGAGGGTGTAGATTGTTGATGCGATGAATGTGGATGCTGCCTGCTATGGAAAGAGCCGGTGAAGAAACAGTGGCGAGTAACAACAAGTTACAATTGAAGAGACGAGTGGACGATGTTCCTTGTAAGCTCGACGATGGTCATCATCAAACGGTGACGGAATCGGAAGCTGGAAACGATTCCATGAGGAGCGATTGTCCTGGAAGCTCAGCTCACAGGAATGTAGTAGACATAAACAAGTCTCCTGAGGAATCTGCAAAGGTGTCTGTTGAGGAGTTGACATTGGGAAACTATAGGAGTAATACTATAGATAGTTCTAGGGCTGGAAAGTTTGAGCATCTCTATCGTCTAGCTAGAGGTTCTTCTACGTTTAGGTCAGGAGATGGGGATGTTGATTCCCAGCCTCGGGATATGGATCAAATGCTGTCGAGAATCAGGCAGCAGCTCGCCGGAGCTCCTTCCGAGAGGCAAAACCTGAAACCGTTTGCGAGTAGGAGGAGCGATCAGAATCTTGAAGCGTTCTCTGAACGGTTGAGAGTAGCTGGGGAGAAGAGTATTATGAACGCTCCTGCATGGATCAACGATGGTGTCCAGCTGAAAACTCCGTTGAGCTCTTCGAGTTTCTCTCAGTTGATACTTAAAAGAGCTATGAAGGGGAAAGGTGTAGTAGGGAAACACCAGGAGGCTCCTCCTGAGTTTGTCAATGAGCAAGATACAGGAAGCAAGGACAAAAAGGTCGATAATAATGTGTCAACTGTAAAGTCAAGCCCGAAAGGAAATGGGATTGTTGTATCGCATGGTGATGGGAATCATACTAAAGCTTCTTGTGGAATCAGTTTGAGGGAGTTTCTTAGATCAAGTTATGCTAAACGAGAGAGAAGGCATGGCGTTTTTCTCTTTAGGCAGCTTGTGGAGCTGGTTGACTCAGCTCATTCACAAGGATTGTTCTTGCTGGACTTGAGACCGTCCCTTTTCACTTTGGTCCCATCGAAGAAACTTAGATATATTGGTACCTTTGGAAAGGACGATTTAGGCTCAGATGTTGACGAAGATTTGAATAGGAAGAGGCCATTGCTTCAGGAATCATCTGTAGTGGGTAGGGATTTGAAGAAAAGAAAAATGGACTTGCATGTGCATTCTCAAGGGAATCAACATCAGGCCAATTTTAAAAGGAAGAGCCCTGTGATTGATTTGAATGTGGTTGATGCACGTAATCCAGACAGTTGTGAGCTTCAACAGCAAAACTATATCAAAAATCTAGGCGTGTCTTCAGCGACGAAAAAACAGTCTATGTCCACATGGCTAGAAGAGCAGTGGTACACATGTCCAGAGGAGATTAATGGAGAAGATATCGGAGAAAAATCAAATATATATGCCCTTGGGGTTCTTCTGTTTGAGGTAAGGATTTATACTGCTTTTATAGTTCTGATAAGATTATTAGTTTACTTAGCTTGTTACTTAATACTACAAAGGATGCTTGCATTTAAAGTCCTTGTATATCGCCAGAAAAATGCTTATGTGTTTTTCTAGTCTTATAGTTGTATAGCAAAATTGCTTAGTCGAGTTTGACCTTTGAACCCCAGAGCTAGTATGTATAAGTTGTCAGTTTTTCGTTTACGTGTTTGGCCCTTTCATGTGAAGACGCGTACTGACATGTCTTGCTTGACAATGTTCGTTTCAGTTGCTATGCCATTGCGAGTCCAGTGAGATGCATGCTGCAATGATGGCAGATTTACGTCATCGGATTCTCCCACCTACATTTCTCTCAAGATATCCTAAGGAAGCTGGATTTTGTCTTTGGCTTCTACATCCTGAACCCTCCTCCCGACCAACAGCTAGGTATATAGCTGAGTGCTACTCTGAAATGAATAATGTGAAAGATGAAATGGCATGCCACTGTGTAAATTATCTTGTTGTTTCTTTTTTATGTTCTTAGTCTCCTCTTTTTTCTGTGACAGAGAAATACTGAAGTCTGAGTTGATATGCGACGATGATTCAGTTATATCGTCTGCTGTTGATGAGGAGATATCTGAGCTGTTACTTCATTTTTTGTCTTCACTACAAGAGCAGAAGCAGAAAAATGCATCTAAGCTATTGCAAGACATCCAGACCTTGGATGATGATATTAAGGAGGCTGAGCGAAGATATTCTTCAAGCAGTGCATCTCTTGTGAGATCTCACGGAGCTATTGAAAGAAGAGTGCAATCATCTCCCTTAGATGAGCGCTGTACAACTACTTCTGGCTCCTTGTTTGTACCAACCGCTAATACAGATAGGCTGATGAGTAATATCCGTCAACTCGAAGATGCATATTTCTTCATGAGATCACAAATGAAGTTATCCGATTCTTCTGCTGCTGGTTCTCGTTCTGACAAAAGCCTTCTAAAGGACAAGGACAAGTGGTCTGAAAGCCAAAATGAGAATCAGTATACGAGAACCAAAGGAAAATCTGGAGACCAACTGGAAGTGTTTTTTGAGGGGTTGTGCAAATTTGCTCGGTATAGCAAGTTTGAAACGTGTGGAACAATAAGAAGTGGAGACCTTTTAAACTCTGCAAGTGTGGTCTGCTCATTGAGTTTCGACCCTGATGAGGAACACATAGCAGCAGCTGGGATCTCAAAGAAAATCAAGATCTTTGACTTCAATGCGTTTATGGATGAATCTGTGGGTGTTCATTATCCACTAGTAGAGATGGTCAACAAATCCAAATTAAGCTGTGTTTGCTGGAATAGTTACATCAAAAACTACTTGGCCTCAACTGACTACGATGGTGTAGTTCAGGTGCGTATGGAAACTAACAGTTTCTCCTAACTTTCCTCAAGTTTAGAATCTTTCTTATTTACCATCCTCTGTTGAACGGTAGGATCTATAGCACCAGGCTCCTCTGCCTTTTCTTTCTTTATGAGATGATATATAGAGCCGTGTCTAAGTGACCTTGAAAATGCATCGGTCATGGCTTTAACTTGACATTTTCTTACTGTATGGTGTTTGGTGAGTGCAGATATGGGATGCCGGGACTGGACAAGGATTTTCGCAGTACACAGAACACCAGAAGAGAGCTTGGTCAGTTGATTTTTCTCCATCTGACCCGACAAAATTTGTCAGTGGAAGTGATGACTGTTCTGTAAAGCTTTGGAGCGTCAATGAGGCACGCCTCTCTTCCCCTTCTCTCATAATATTTCTAGAATTTTTAAATCAGCATATAGCTCTTTGAAAAGTTTAATTTTCTAACTTTCTTCTCTGGTGACTATGCAGAAACGGTCATTAGGAACAATCTGGAGTCCAGCAAACGTGTGTTGCGTGCAGTTCTCTGCTTATTCCAATCACTTATTGGCATTCGGTTCAGCTGATTACAAGGTCTATTGCTACGATCTTCGGTATGTCAAAACTCCTTGGTGCACATTGGCCGGCCACGAGAAAGCTGTTAGCTACGTTAAGTTTATGGATTCAGAGACCATTGTCTCTGCTTCCACTGATAACTCTCTCAAGCTTTGGAATCTTAACAAGACAAATTCCTCTGGTTTATCTCCTGGAGCTTGTTCGTTGACGTATAAAGGACATACAAATCAGAAGGTTAGTGCCTAAGCAGCTAAGCTTTACCCTTAACTTCTCATTCATGAGTTAACTCCAATGTCTAATATTCTACCTGAATACAGAATTTTGTTGGATTATCTGTCTTGGATGGATACATAGCCTGTGGTTCAGAGACCAATGAGGTATCTATTATATCATCATAAGTTATGATTCATAACACAAAGTTTAAGACTTTAGGATGCTAGTTAATTTAATTTTGCATTTCAGGTATATAGTTACTATAGATCATTACCGATGCCGATGACTTCATACAAGTTTGGATCGGTGGATCCAATTTCTGGAAACGAGTACTTTGATGAGAATGGACAGTTTGTGTCGAGCGTTTGTTGGAGGAAAAAAACAAATATGCTTGTAGCTGCAAATTCTACTGGAAACATGAAGCTATTAAAGCTTGTTTGAGTGCAAAAGTTTCGTGGACAAGAAGTCTCGAAACTGAAATCGAGGACAAAGAGTGTTTGACTTTGGAGCAACATTTTTGTCCTGGAAACAAACTATATGACCACAAATCTGGAGAAGTTGAAAGCAAACTGTCTGATAATATAATTTGATTCTTCTTCCTGTAATTCTATATATGATACAGTTTGAGAGAAAATTCTCAGATTCTTCGGAAGTGATTCACAGATTTGGTCTTCAACAAGAGGTATATAACTGTACAAGTGTGCTCCTATAGCTTTAATTATGTAATTCTTGTCAAAAAGATTCACTGTTACAGATGATTAGTAGAGAGAAAGAGGTATCTGGTTATTATTATTATTCTTTATTCTTTCCCAGCTGAGTATTCGTCATTCATTCATTCATTCATCATTGACCAACAATCTCAGCGCACGTTAGCTAATAGCCCGAATTGGAACCAAAAGAGGCAAGTTGGGTTCACAGGGCACATGGTTGCTTCAACAAGCCCACATCACTCCCTCCTGTTCATTGTCCCTCTGTTTCAGGCTTTTTGTACCAATCTCTTTTATATCTTTCTATAAACAAAATCTTATACCAAGATTTTTATAATTTTGGTCTTGAAGATGTCATGTCAGCATGAGTCTCATTCAGTCATTCGGGTTACTCAACTATTTGCCTCGCACATGTGTTTCTTTCCTTCTGGATTTACTTTCATTCTCAACCATTAATTTGGATTTACCTTTAAAAAAAAAAAACAAGTTTGGAACGTTTGTACGATTTTCAAATTCGAAAAGGTGACCCTGCATTATTACCAACTGCAGCATGCATGTGCTCGTTATGCTACAAGGCTAAAAGCTATTGATACAAGAAAAATGATTGATGTAGTAACTGATCCAACGGCTCATTCTTTTCGATATAGCCACCTAATAAAGATTTACATCAATCATTAAATAACAATTATAATTGTACAACAAACTATTCCTATTATCGTACACTACTACACTCAACAACCGAGGTACACTCCAAATTAAAACAAGTAAAGCATAATAATCATACATATATTTCTGATTATTTTCAGAAGAAAACCACCACATATGAGATAGGAAAATATTTTTTCAAAAATCAAAATCTTGGCTGATTAACCGATAATCACGCTGATTATACACCTACTAGCCGTTAAACTAATTGAAAGAAAGCCAAAAATAAAAAGATACATTGCCATAAAAAGATGAATGAATATCGTAATTAGGAAAACAAAACCGGGGAGACTCATGAGTGAGTCATGACGAATCAGTCCAGTTTGGCTGCCAGACTGTCAGCCCCCACCATTACACCCCCAATTTGTTTGTTTTCTCTTATTTAACAAAAAATGTTAAAATGCTAATAGCAAACGAATAAAATGCTATAAAAAGAGATAATTACATCACATGGCCTTCGTCGCTGTAACGCTAAACTAGCCGCCAATTTCAATTAAAGAATTTTTGTTTTTTGTTTTCTTTTGTTGGTTTACGTTATAAAGATTTATCTCTTTGGAAAAGTATCACATATGTTTACTGACAGGTATATTAAATTAAAATAAGTTTATCATTTTTTTTTTAAAGTAATTCATGCATTGGCAATCCATCATATCTTTTCGAAAGCCAAATTTGAATAAATTAGTCTATTTCTATTACCGTTAAAAGCAACAAATTTAAGTTTGTAATTTGTTTAGTTTTTTTAAAAAAAAATATTGTTATAAGAGGACATTTATCTAGAAACATATCAATTTGACCAAAGAAAATAAAAATCTAGAAACATATCAATGTCAATTTTGACAAGAAAACTAGAAAAAAGAAGAATCGAGGAAGGTAGGGTCAAACAAAGAAAATATAAAACTAGAGAGAATTCGAGGAAAATCATTGCTTCTTGGAACTTTTAGCTGACTAGTAAAATTGATTTGACCGGGTGAAAATCACCGGTTATTACCGGTAACCTTTAACCGGTCTTCTACTATAAGAACAGCTACACAATTCGTCTCTTCACACTTCCTCCTCCTCATAGGGTTTCTCTCTCCTCCGTCTTAACGTCGTCTCTGCAGATACTCTCGCCGGATATTTTACCTGCAGAGCTCAGATTTTTCGTTTTCTTCGCTTAAAAAACTAGAGAAATGGCGTCGAGGAATTCCGTTACCGGTTTCGCTTTATTCACTTTTGTTTTCGCCGTCATTTCATCTCTCGCCAACGCTCAAGCTCCTGCTCCTGCTCCCACCAGCGATGGTAAGTATCATCTTCTCTCTTCAACGACATCGTATTCCCTTTCTCTCTCTCCCTATCTCTCTCTGTCCATCCAGATCTGAATCCATTCATTTCTCCAGATTCCGCGTGAAATCTAGAAATCGATGTCGATTTCGATTCCGTTTCTGTCTCTCACATTGTAACTTGTAAACTTTAATTCCTCGATTGATGAACATCGAATTTGGTTTTGGTTATTGGTTTCTCAGGTACATCGATAGATCAAGGGATTGCGTATCTGCTAATGGTGGTGGCGCTAGTGCTGACGTACCTAATCCATCCTCTGGATGCATCTTCTTCCTACTCCTTCTTCTAATTTCTTCTCTTCATCAGATTTTTAACTCTTTTCCAAGTTTCTAGTTTCAATTTGCCTTTTTGTGGATAAATTCAGAGTCTGCCTTATTAAAATTTTCTCATGATTTGTGCTTCGTCTCGATTTATGATTTCTGGTATCGTTTTGATGTTTTCCCATCACTCTCATATTTGTTCCTTCTCTTCCATATTAATTTTATTCTTATTCGTATAATACCTGTGTAATGTTGGTTGCTTGAATTACTAGAACATTTGGCAATTATTACTTTTGAACGGGAACACAAGAAGAAAGAATCAATTCAGATTTTTGTTCAAATTTGGCCTCCCAGAAAAATCTGACAAATCTGGAAAATCAAAATACGAGTCCAGAAATATTCTGCCGTTATATTCGATTCTTTTGAATTATTCATGTGGTACATTTACCATTCTCAATCTAATCTTCAAAAGTATTTTTTGGCCAATTCAAATTATATGAAATAAAAATAACAATTTAACTGTCAATAATGTGAAAGAAAAAACAAATAATGCAAATGCACATGATAAAAAGCTACAGAATCACGGGATTATTTATGCCACTTCACATGTGATATCTATCAGAAAATCTGACTTTGGCATACCCTTGAGAGTTTGAGACCATGGAGTTATTATTATTCCTCCGACAAGAATCTCGTCTTGCAAAATAAATATATTCTTCTTACAAAGTAAAGATTAAGGAATAAAAAAATCTGAAATAAATCTCCGCTCTCAGAAGTGAGAAGACACTCTTTATTGAGTTAGATGCGGAAAATTTCTTTTAGCTTCGCATCGAAAAGGAATCTTTGTAGTAACTAAAAGTGTTTTTACTGTTGTTGTTGGTGAAAGTTGTGAAGTCCGTACTTGACCACTTCGTAAAAGGAAACGACAATGGCTACAGATGGTCCTGCACGTCCGACTCGAGCCCCTGCTCCACTAAACATCCCTCTCATTCCTCCGTCCCTATACAAATCAAAAACCAGACATGGAGATCTTAAGTTTAAACGAAACTCTCTAGTGGATCTCCATTTGCTAATAATTAACACATTTTGGTGGCATGGAAGAGACACGACTACTAACTTCATACCTCCAAATCTCTGCCAAGGTTTCTCTGGTGGTCATTCTCATGGCTCTGTCTGCATTCTTCTGCAAATACCACAAACGTTTCAATGCATAATGTATGCTTGTTATCCTAAAGATGGATGATGAAGTTTGGTATTTATTTCTTACCTCTATTTGTCGCCGAGTCTTGGCAACATCTAATGGACAAGTAACTGCAGCAGCAACCGCACCGGCAACAAAACCAGCAGTGAAGTTGGCACCTATTATACTGCCTGCCGTTGGCTTCTCACCCATGAACGAGAGAATGCTTCTCCGCGTCTACAGTCATAAGGAAACAGTCGTGACTCGTGAGTGAAGACCTCTACAACAATTGCAAGACAAACATGGATGTATATTGCAGAGATAGATTTTACTCACGGGCTCAAGTATCGACCAGCAGATAGCAGAGAAGGGAATATCCCGAGCAAGTTGAGCACCAAGACCAGTCCATAACATCCTGCAATTCTGTCCATTACTCGAGCCCTTGACTGGATATACTGCATCAGCTAATGTCTTCCACACCCCAGGCAGTTTCACACCTCTTTGCGTTCCTTTAAATGCCTGTTTGTCAAAACAAAAGAATCGATATAACCATCTCTCCACAAGGATCAAACCATCAGAAACCATTACATCTGCTTTACTTTTTCGTTCAACATAAACTAGTGTCATGGTTAATCAGCAATAAAGAGTACATCAGAATCCTCAAGAGTTACCTGCATACGTGTCCTAGCTAGCTCAACAGGGTAAATAGAGATACAAGCCAAGGAGCGTGCCATTGTCCCGGCAACTAATGGGACATAAGGTGTCAAAGATGGGGACCTTTCTGCTGTAAATTCCTCCATTGAATTGCGAAAATAATCATAACAGGGCATGTAGATCCCAACCTAGCAACACAAGTAGTAATAAGCCATGACGTTCCCCAATGAACAATAGATTGCAGAAGCTAAACATGACAGAGAACTCACAGTGGGAACAGCCAACGCTAAACTTGCGTTTGTACCTCTCCAGAGCCTAGAGAACCCTTCCTGCATAAAGTTGTTCCTGTGAAAATCTACAAATGAGTAAATAATGAACAATCCGTAGTTGATGTATCTACTAGATGATGCTACCATTTCTATTCCAAGACTAATTGCATTACAAAAACACTATAACAGAAGCCAGCAAGATGGAAAAATCATGAATTTCTCAAGAACACTAAGCGAATCACACTGAAACTCTTATTACCATCCTAATTTTGATATCTAAGATAATCCAGCCAAGGAAATTGTGCTAACCTGGCGGATGATTTTGTAGAACACATCAAGCGTTCCCTTGTACTGATTCTCTGAGCATACAGATGCAGAGCCAGTGATTCGACACATCCCTGGAGGATTACTTCTCAAATCCTGAACCACCTGCAACAAGCAGATGAGAACTAAGCTACAGAAAGAGGAATCAAAGCTTGAGCAATCGTAGATACGAATAATCAGATGAGACTACCGTGGGATTCAATTCGAAACAACCCAATCGACATGAGCCTTGATACGGAACTCCAGCAGCCTGCGCTTGTAATCTCGTCTGCTTATTCAAAACAAAGGAAGCTGAATCAGATCAATTCGCATTCGATTTCATACCCAAAAGGGAAGGCAAATGATTGTTTTTTTTTGCTCTCGAACCTTAACAACATCGAGAGGATTGACTATAACCGCCGATATAAAAGCAGCGCCGCCGGCAGACAAAGCCCTTTCTCCGACTCTCAGATTCTCATTCGGCATCGGTTTTGATTTCGAATCCGATTTTGCTTCTTCCACCATCAGGGAATACAAAAAAAGTCGATCTCAATCACTTCAATTCCGGAATTTTGATTCTGATGATATGCCGGAATTTTGACGTCGACGTTAATCCGATTGCGTATGGTTGGTACAAAGAGCTTTCCAATTTTGCATGGGGAAATCAAAAATGAAAGAAAGAAAAAAAGTTTCTGAACACGATTCGTTGCCGTTGATAAATCAAGCAGACAAAGTAACACACAACACGCCGTTTTCAAACCTTTGACCGCACTGCTCGCCGTTTTGGACTCAGCTCTATGGGCTTCAACCTCCTCTGGTCAACAAAGCTTAGTCCAAAACGGCGAGCAGTGCGGTCAAAAGGTTTGAAAACGGCGACGTATGCTTGTGTTACTTTGTCAGCTTGATTTATCAACGGCAACGAATCGTGTTCAGAAACTTTTTTCTTTCTTTCATTTTTTATTCTTCCCCATGCAAAATTGGAAAGCTCTGTATACCAATCATACTCAATCGGATTAACGTCGACGTCAACATTCCGGCAACTGCACCATGCTTAGTTATTTTATAAGCTTGTGCAGACCCTAACTCCTCTTCTTCGCCAAATGCAGTTACTCTAATCATTTCACCTAATTAATTTATAACAACATATCAAACGTTCCACGATTATACTTTCTCCATTTATACCATACGCATTATAATAACAGTATTTGGGTACGTATGTGTGATGTATGTTCATCATGTTTTGCTTATATAGGAAGATGGTGTGTTCAACTTTTAAATTATAAGATGTTCAGGTATTTGTTCTATACGACTTGTAGACATATGATAGATTATGTAAATCTACACACGATTGAGTTTATTATTTATGCAAGCAAAAGTCTTGGACCTGATTTGTATATAAAACGTTAGCTCAAACAAATGGTGAGTTAGCTGTTAATTAACAAATAAATCAGAGAAAACAATTCATACTCATCATACGTATATCCCATATGTAATACTCCATTTCATAATCTCTCACAATCTTTGAACCAAAAAAAAAAAAAAATAATCTCTCACAATCAGAAATCACACATTTAAACAAAAGCAAAACGATAAATTAAGAGTTTAGAGTGTGAAACATGACTCTCACAAACGACTTGAGCCACAAGACACATATTATCCGTTAAATATCTGCTTTCAGCAACTCTGAAGAATTTCCAGCAGCCTTCTTCCGATACTGAAAAAATACAGAGATGAGGATGATGAAAAAATCAAAATAATAGCAATGGTCACAAAGACAATCAATGGCTTATAGAGATAATTTTACCTTCCCCTGCTTAATCTCTTCCCTAATCGCATCGTTCGATTTCGCTGCGGGGCCGCTAATGGAAATGTAACCTTGCACAGAAAGAAAAAAACCAAAATTATATATATGTCATCGAGGAAAACTTAAAGGAATATTAAAACTCTCTGTATACTTACCTATTACAAATCCACCAAATATTTGGATGTATGGAGTCCATCGACCGAAGACACGATATCTAGATCCGTTCCGTCGTATCTCCGCTGCTCCCTTCGTCTCTACAATCACATATGGCAAAAAGATAAAAGACTCTTTTATGACCCCCAAGCAAAACAACAACAACAAATTGATCGACTTCATTCGGAGCCGACAAAAAGAAAAATCAAAACTTTTTGAAATTTCCATCCACGGATACATGAAACACCAAAACGTTACCTTTGCCAGAACAGAAGTTACGGCGAGACACAACACGTCTCCCTCCGCGCGTTGCCTGCGTGATAACAGATCGAAGACTCATCATGTCGGCACAATTAGGGTTCTCTCTGATTGATTTTGCGTGTGTTCTCTCTCTCTCTCTCTCTCGTTTTGATTTATATGGACCTCTAAACACATGTGCAATAACGGATAGACCCACCTCAAGTTTATTGGATTTGTTCTTGGGTTTTATATATAAATAGTCTGAAAGAGGACATAATAAATCGTAAAGATTCTTCGACTTTCCAATTCAATGATTAAACTACTTCTAATCACACTCATAATGCCCCAAAAATACTGAAATCCCAGTTTTATTATTCAATTTAACTTTCTCGTTCACCACCATTTGCACAATTAGTCTTTTTTATAGCCTTAGACAGCCAGGAAATAAGTTTTATAATTATAATCTTACCATACTAAACGATGTTTTACGGAACCAAAATGATCATATATCATAAAGAACAACTGCTTGATGTTCGATCATAAACCAAAAAAATCTAATCATCTTCAGATTCTGAAGGCGCCATTGCACTCCCTTGTGCCTGTCGAAGAATCATCACTGTCTCGGCACATTCTGAGACAAAAATTACAGATAAATCACATCAACAACTGTTTATCCAGTAGATACAAATAATAACATTCTTGGGACAATCAAGATATTACCCCAAGCACAGTAGGCCAGATAACCAGTAGTTAAATATCCGCAGGAAGGAAGAATGTTTTTCACCTGTTCCCAGCCAATTCTCTCCGCTGCTCCCTTTGTCTCTACAATCACATATGACAAAAAAAAAAAAAAAAAAAAAAAAAAAAAAGACCAAGACTTCAAAAACAAAATCCAAAGCAAATTCCACTTCCGAATACGAAATTCATGAGAACGAAAACAAGAGATGAAAAAAGGATTAACAACTCTCCCTAGCGAATTTGATCGATTTCATTCGGAGCCAGAGAACAGATGACAAAAGGAAAAACCAAAACTTTTTGAAATTTCCATCCACGGATACATGAAACACCAAAACGTTACCTTTGCCATAACAGAAGTTAGGGCGAGACACAACACATCTCCCTCCGCGCGTTGCCTGCGTGATAACAGATCGAAGACTCCTCATGTCGGCACAATTAGGGTTCTCTCTGATTGATTTTGCGAGATTCTCCGCGGAATACGCGGAAATAATTGTTTGAAGAAAACTAATAGAAAGAACTTAAACAAAGTATTGATCTTTTGGTTTCTCTTTTCTTTCTTTTTTTTTGGTGTGGTTTGACTGATATATTCATACTTTTTTTTGATGGGGATACAACATCGCCACAACGGTAAAGCGTTTTAAAAATATGCATTCTCATAATGCATATGAAGATGATTGGTTCATCAAGGTGACTATCATTCATGAGGGTTGTTGTGAGTACTACGAATATGATGATAATTGGGGTCAAATATAATTTTTATGCTAGAAGCCTAGAACTGAGTGAACAATAATCTGTAATTGAAATGGAAAGGATGGAGTGCTGATGTTCTCCATGTAATAGGTGCATGCAATGCAAGCAAACGTGTATAGAAGATTTTAACTCCCGGAAAGATGTACAAGACAAAAAGAACTCGTAACTCTGTCCTAATTCAATATCCATTTTACATGATTTCAGTTTAACAAGTTGAGAAAAACAATACTTTTGCTTTTGTTCTTTGTTCTTTGTTCTTTGCCTTGTTACCTATATTGATTGACAACACAATGCCAAAACACACAGATGGCAAACCATTTTTTACAGTACCAATAAATTTACCAGCTAACCGGGATTAAACCAGGTTAGATTAATTAACACTCAAAAGTGTAAAGTGTTTTAAGATGGTCTCACTTAAAAGATCTTATGGGACCCATAACAATCTCATTGGTACAGAGATTTTGTATGCAACTTGTATCCACCTCTCAATGGTGTTTGGGCCAACCTCTGTCTGAAAAAGACATTACCTTTTGCAACGTGGTTCGTTACATGGGCTTAGACCCACCTTTTTCTTTTCTTGCTCATCTATGCGAGATACTGAGATATTACAAATTAAAGTCTTCTGAAATTTACTGCAAACGATTGGTCGATATTTCTTCTCTGTTCGGCTTCATTTTCAGATTTTGTTTTTATAGATCTTCTCCAACCAGTACCACACGCATTAAATGATCCAAACCCTGCAGTAATGGGTCGATTTTTGTTTGTTTTCATTTGCATGTCTTAATCAAGTAGATCTTAGGATATGATTCTACCATATTATATAGAAATGCATTATAAGCAAAAGCACAATTGTACAAAAAGAACTTTGAGCAAATAAATTTCGCCTGTTGACACTCGACCACAACAATTAGAAGTAAGTTTTCACTGTTAAGATATAATTTTTGTTTTATAGAGTTAATTATGTAAAATCTCTCATAGGTGAATCGAATGAATGGAGCGGAGCGTTACTTGAGAGTGAAATGGAGGGTTTCCAGTTTCCAGAGTCTAGTCGCACTTCGGGAAGCCAAAACGGACTGGACCAGTTTTAAAAACACGAAAGAGACAAATCTATTCAATTGGTCAAATTAAACCTCGAACGGACCAAGACTGTTGCTATTTCTGTTTTTGGTGAGTGGTCCTTTTTTATTTCTAAAACATCACAGACCCCCCTTTCTCTATTCATTTAAGGGATTTCAGAAAAGACTTTGTATGTTTTTTTTGTTTTAACTTTTAACAACTTTTACTACTGCTTGTCCATTTGATTTTTATCTTCACAATTGGAAAGAGGTAAAACTAATTGTTAAAAGGAAGAAAAAAAACATAGTTAGTAGAAATGCAAGAAAAGTCTGCAATCAAATTTAAAACATTTCCAAAAGTGGACAGAGAGTGATAGGTTGAAAGTTGAAACCATGTGAATATATAAATGACAATTCCACAAGACATTTCTGTAAAATAGTAATTATATTAGGAAATGACCTGATCGAAAGATAGATAATTATAAAAATAATTATAGTGGAAGACTAATGTCAACGACAAGATCATGAAGAGTCTTCGTCCTCATTGGAAGACTCTTCCCTTTAAATTTCCATTCGCCAAACAGAGTCTGTGGTCTTTGACAGAAAGACATCTAAGTTCATGTCCCAATACATTGTCTTTCTCTTCTCTTCACTGTTTCATTGCTATCCACTGATTATATATCATCTCTATGTATAACCTGGCTTAGTTCATTGCTATCCACTGGTATTCTATATGCATTTCGTTTATAACAGTTGTGTATTGCTACCAAACAAAGCTGTAGTAGGTGTTGGAAAAAGGGATCAATTGTTCGTTTAATAGATTCTTAATACATCACATTCATTCCCGTGTGCAGTAAAACGACCCATTTAATAACAAAGAAACATTAGTTTTCTCCATTAAAGTGATGTATACCAAACTTTGTGATGCTCAGTTTTGCTGTTTGTATCGAATCAAATCAACTGTTTGCGTAGACATCGACCAAATTTTGAATACAAGCGTAGTAATTGATTTTATTTGAAATTGAGAAGGTTGTTAAAGAGGAGACAATTTGTAGGGCTACATCTGATACCATGAGTTGGTTCTCCACATTAATGGGCATTGCTGCTCTGACACTTAGTGCCAAAAAAGCAAAGAAAACACAACAAGATGGTTGTTTACACTTTATCTGTAAATCTTGTCTTTACAAAACGAGAATTCGAATTAGTTGATTTAGTATTAAGTATCTAGTATTTACTTTTAGGAGAAGATTTTTGATTCGATGTTTTCATGTATAAGAAAATGTCACATGTCACACAAACCCCACATGTGAGATTCATGCGAAGGAACAAAAGACAAAGATTTAACACATAATAAAATATTAATAATATATATACAGTCTATATACTGCTTCCTTACACAGTGACAGAATCAGAGACAAAATCAAAACAACAAAAACCTCCCAAAATCCCCAATTTTTCAAACCCCCTAAAATATCTCACATCTTAAAAGATCTAATTAATATATTCACTCGCAAATAAATTCAAAATCCGTTACGCTACCTCTTCAGCAGATCGGAGCCGTCCACCACGTTCGTCGAACGAGGAAATGGGAAAACGGACGGCCAAGATCTATCCCCGTCGTCATCATCAAACACTCATCCATCCCTCGGAAACAAAAACAACGAAACTTACTCACTCAATCCAACAAATGATCTTGAAAAAACTCATCAACATCCCATGAGCAAGAATTGAAATCGCCGATCACGCTTAACGGAAAACTCTCCGATAAACCAGAATCGTAATTAGAGATTTCGTCTAAAAACAAAGGGTCAGGGGCAATTTCGGAATTCCATAAACAATCCCCGGCGCGAAACAGCTCCGGCAAGAAAAACGGATCCGATAACGAACTCGCCGGAGTTTCCTCTTCAACGAGCTTTGACTCGGCCGACGAGAGCTTGAGGACGGGCTCTGCTCTGTACTCTGTTTCCTCGTTCCGATTAAACCGGAGAACGGAAGTCGGAGAACAGAGGCTGGTTTGAGAATCTCTCGCCGAATCGCAACCGGAGACCGTTTCAAGGTCGATCACCGGAGTTTCCGGCACCGGAGGAGGACTAGAAGGAGGAGTGAGAAAATTCGTCAACGCGTTACTTCCTTTGATTCGAATCGCGGCTCTGTCGTAACCAATAGCAGCTTCCTCCGCCGTCGCAAACGTCCCAAGCCAGATTCGTGTACGCGTCGAAGGATCACGAATCTCGGCGGCGAATTTCCCCCAAGGCCGTTGTCTCACTCCTCTGTACTTCACAGGCTTCACCGATCCATCATCGTCAACGTTCTCCACCGGCTTAACCGTCGCTCTTCTCGCCGGTTTTTCGCGTTTCGCAGATCCATCCCCGTCGCGAAACCTGATCTCTTCCACATAGCGTTTCACCCTCGCCGTCTTCGCCGGAGACACGTCGTTTTCCTCTTCGCTGGAGGAATCAGTGGCGCATGGGTCAGTCACTGTTATTTTCACAACCTTGGGGAAGCCGTTGAACGGTTTTTCCGTTAGGGAGGTGATTCGCCGGTGAACCGTGTACTTAACCTTTCTCTCTCGGCTTTTCATTTTTCACCGGGGAAAGAGAAGACGAACGAACAAGAAGGTAGAGAGAAAGAGAGAGAGTAGATTTTTGGATTTGCAAACAGAGAGCAAGCAGAGTCAAAAAGGCTACGAAGAAATCGCCGCTTCTGAGTAACATCCTTCTTAAATATAGTCACGGCCGCTTTATTGCTCTTTTCCATTTTTTTTATTTAATTTTTTGTTTTTTGCTTTTATTTATACTTTCCTTCTTGAATTTCGAAATTTCTTTATCGTTATGGAATTTCCGAGATTTGGTTAAGTCGTAAATTTATTAGTCTCGTCTCATAATTATGTGTTCTCTAAAAAAGGGAATAGATTTAAGTAGTAATTAAAGAGAGAGATTAGTGGCGATTCAAACGACTAGCCGCTTCTCTGATAAGAGAGCTAGCGTTTCGACACGTGGTGTAGTTCGGTAATAAGAGCTTTTGTTCCGGTCCTGTAATTGCTCCAAGCTTGGTATACAAGCAACTTTTGACGGTCCACACGCGCGATTTGTATTTGCGTGTTTCACGCGCTAGTGTGAAGATATGGGCCTTCTGTCACGTGAGACTGGACACGCTGCTGTCACTCACTGCTTTTGACCCACTTCCATAATTATGAATTTTACGGTAATGATGAAATTGGAATTCTTTTAAATAACTTTGGGAAAGAACGTTGTTGTTGTTACATGTTATGATCTTGTCTCAATTCGAAACTTTCTATAATATTTAAATTTAGGGAAATTATGATCTGTTTGCTTGGAGATCAAGTGATTGCAAGCCCTAAAATATTTTGTTTCCTCATCATAATTATACGCAGCTTTAACACTAGACATGAAAAAGGAAACAGATATTAAAAAAAAATCTTGAAATAATGGTTTCGTTACAATATTACGGCACTACATGATTACCAGTTTAGGCCTCAAAACCATTTTTCACTATATACTTTTATACTTACCAATTTACTCCACTGTATTGTTACCAGTTTAGACATAAAAACCGCATTAACGTACAAACACCATTCCGTCATTATATATTTGTTTGAGAAGCCTATTAGCCCAAATACCATACGAGCCCATTAGTGCTCCGAACTATGTGGAGCAGTCAAATGCTAGCACAAAAATGTCGAAAATTGAAATAATCATCCACATTACGGTACTTAGCAGTATGCTTTTATCCCCAGTAACAAAAAACTGACATAAACCATAACACAAAACGAAAAATCTATTACCCAAAAAGTTAAAAAGCTCTCTAGTTGTTCCACCTCAATGTATTTGTCAAGTGACCAAAAAATAAATAAAATTGAATAACATGTGTGGTAAAAAATAGTGTACATAAGGAAAAAATATCTACATTATAGTTACAGATATTCATACGAAGTTAGATCACCGTGTTGATCAAATCCAAGTTCTCCTATTCTTCCTTCCTCGTTACTGATGTATATTCACCCTGCAATGTATTAATTTCATTATTCAAACTATGGATATAATAAATAATTAACGTCAAAACCAATATTAGTTGTTAAATTTGTACCATTTGAGTGTATTAAGGGTGCATTTCGGTGAATCGGTATCGAGCTTGTTCATGCTAACCCCACCGCATCTCAAATTAACGGCGAGCATTCCGATCTTAATCCCGGCGACACCTAATCCAAATTTCGTCTTGGCAACAACACTGATCACCAAATCTTTGCTCTGAAATTTCCCCGCGAGTCTCTTAGCCAATCCTCTATCCACAAGCTGGTTCGTCACCGTCGTCTCCACTTTCACGCTCGTTGAATTCTTCGGTCCTTGCCGGAATCCCTTAATCGTCGTCTCTCCCATTCCGGTCTCGTCGTTTCCGCTCCCGACGCTTAATTCCACGGCGGTGTCGCCGTAGTAGAAAACGAGCTTGGAGTTGGGATTCCTCATCTCCACGCGGGCTACGGCGGTGGCGGAGAGAGACGCGCCGTCGGGATCGTCGGCGAGTTTGAATCCGTCGAGACGGAAAGAGGCGAGGCTGAATGTCGGGAGCTTAGGATCGAACCAGAGGTAGAAAACGGCGGTTCCGACAAGGAGGAGGAAGATGAAGAGGACCAGAGAAATGCAGACGCAACAGCAACAGAAACGACAACAGCTTCTGCGTTTTCTCTTTGGTCGGAAAGAAGAAGGCATCGCGGAGGTTTTTCGCATCGGCTGATGTTCTGGTCTGACTGCGATCGGAGGAGGTGTAGGAGGAGGAGGAGTCGCCGCGTTTGGATCTCTGTAACCAGGCGGTTTTTGAAGAACCGGTTTCATCGGATAATCTGACATTTGGCGATCTCCTGAAAATCGAATCAAAAGAAAGAAAAAAACGAAGCTCTCTCTGTTTTTATCTAATTGCTTAAGATAACAGAGAGGGAATCGAGGAAACGGATGATGAAAATGTTGATATATAACCAGAGGAGAAATCTTGAAATGGAGAGAAAGAGGCGATATGATTGCAGAGATCGAAACTTGGTTTGTAAGAGATTTTGAGTTTTTGGAAGAAAGAGAGAAAAGTTTGTGTTTGTAAGACGTGAGGACGAGAATTCGTTTGAGGCCTAGACTCACGCGCGCCGTTTTTTTCTTATTTATGCTGACGTGGTCCCTCGTTTTTCTCTTCTTCTCACATTGACACTATAACCCAATAAACCAATTGGATCCTAAACTCGACAAGGTTAGTCTTGCAATAAGAGGCTTTTTACTTGAAACCTGGAAAACATACAAGTGTGTATTGTTGTGAAAGGCCATTTTGGACCTATAAATGCTTTGGCATTCAATTCCATAAACGAACAATGTTTGTTTGATTTTGGTTGATACATTCTTAAAAAGAAAAAGAAAAAAGGCTTTAGCAAAGCAACATCACACTGATTTGAGAGCTATCTCTCACAGAGGTCTAAACGCAATGATGATGCTATTGGAGATAGAATGGGTTGTGGAAAAGAGCAAACTTGATAGTGTATTAAGCTTATCTGAAAGTTTCAGTCGAGCATACTAATCTGGCATGAAGAATTCGAAGCCCTGACCACAGATTCCAGCTCCTCAAGCAAATCAAGTCTGTCGTCCGAGCTAAGGCCTTCTATGTAAACCGTTGCTCTCTTCAAACATTTTGCATTTGTTAGGATGTATTTCGCCACCTCTTTCTCCTCTTCTGGCTCTGGTCGCTCTTTGTAGCTTTCCCACACAAATGTCTCGAGACTGAACAACAAACATTCAGCAACATTCTTCGGTTGGCTCCAAGCCACACGACCTCTGTTACTATTACGCAAAAGCTGAGACAAAAACGAGGGAGAAACATTAAAGTCATGAACCGAAACTGAGCTGGAAAAAAAGTTACTTGCGATGCTTACACCGTTGAGCTTGAGGACTTGTAATTCCGGAGACCTATCGAGCATGAGCACAAGTAGATTCCGCCAGTCGGCGGCTTTATGTGACTTTAGCTCCAAATATACCAACTGATAGAAGATACAACCCATAGGAAACGTAATCTGCATATATATATATATATATATATATATATTCATGAGGCAATATCAATACAAGAAGAGTGATCACAAGAATTAACAAGTGCAAGAAAACCTTACTTACTTTCTCGAGTGACAAATCCAAGCAAAGACGTTTGGCTGATGTGAGAGATCCCAGAATATTATCGTTAACTGTGTTGGAGACGTCACTAATTTGGGCCTCCACCAGCTCCGTTGCATTCTCGATCACGCAAAACTTAAGAGTGTTAAAGTAGTTAAGCTCCAAGTAGTTCAAACAAGGAGAATTAATCACATAGCCTCTAATAAAACCCTGATACGCAGACTCTCTAGCACGGGAGCTTCATGCGAAAGCAGAACCCTGCAGACCATCTCTGGGAATGTCTCGTCTCCACTCTGATCATCACTTTCGTAATCAAAGTCGAGCACAGGCACCATCTTCCAACGAGACCTCCATTGCTTAGCAAAAGCACTTGTGGCTACCGCATCTTTGGTTGGAAGGAAGGACAGAATATGCAGAATCACTTCTTCAGGCGAGCGACTGATCCTGTCCTCGTCTTTCACGAGACTTTCAAATACCCAAAGAAAGAAAAAGAAAAGAGTCTCAGAGGAACATCAAGGTGAGTTGGTTTCGGAGCTTCCAAAACCGAAGAACGATTCATAAAAAAGGGGAAATCAAAACATACACATTAAAACCAAAAGAAAATAGAAACATACCCTTGTTTCATTGTCTTTGGCAGAGGACAATTTGAAGTGCACTGTTCGGGAAACGAAAGTGATAACCTTGATTTGCTTCAAGCTTTCGGCCGGACCGTCGCCGGAGATTTAGCGGCGGAGGTGAATATGAATTCGAATTGGAAAGCGATTCCGAATTAGTTCGAGCAAAGCTCATTATTTAAACATACTCGAACCTCTCTAACCTAGGCAGAGGGTTCCCAATCGGTTCAACTCTTTCGGCTCAGTACGGTTTCAATTTTGGTTATTTGGATAAAAAACGGTTTGGGCATCTCTCCACCACACGCTGTAATTTATCTCTCATTCCGTTGGTGAAATGGTGATCAATTATCGATCGATCTTACAAGATGCAAAAAGGAAGCCATATATATTTATTAAAATAAAAAGCCAAAAAAAACCAAAAACCTCTTATATTAACAAGCAACACAACAACAAATTTTCATCTGGAGGAAAAGCTTATCTTTCTCCTTCTCTTGTGGAAATTTATGGATCAGTCATCTCTCTCTCTCTCTCTCTCTCTCTCTCTCTCTCTCTCTCTACTAGACTATCTATCAAGTTTTTGGGAATTAGCAACACATGTTTTCTTTGTTTATGTTGACAAATTAAGTAGTATTACCATACCCCTCATTGGTTAGCCTGCAGCTACAGCACCAGCTCGAGGCTTGGTATCAAGCAGTTGATGCAGTTTGCTGCTAGAGTTAGAATCATTGTCTCCTTGGTTCTTGTTCTTGTCTCCACTTCCTGAGTTCTTGACTCTCGACAACACATTCCCGGAGGCTCTCTTTTCAGGTTCCGTACTGTTCAGTTTTTCCTGCAACCCAAAATATAATAAACCGCCATTTTCATTTGAAAAAAAAACAAAGAACCATTGGTTGGTTGGTTAATGCTTTACTAACCTGCAAGGTTGCATTTGCTCCTCTGAGTTTGTCAGATTTCTCATTCAGCTGGTTTAGTTCAGATCTTAATGCCATGTTTTCGGCTGTCAAGGCTTCCACTTTCCGAGCAAGTTCTTCAGTCTCAGCCTTTCAAAACAAGCAAATACGAAACGCTTTAGCAACTTTTGAATAAGAAAATATTAAATTAGCTTCACTCTCTCTTTGATAAACCAAACCTGTTTCCTTAATCTTGATCTTCTAGCAGATTCTCGATTAGACTGTTTTCTTCGCTCCCGTTTCAGTTCTCTCTCGTTCTAAAGATAAAAAAAGAAATGGAAAAATGTGAGGGAAATGGAACAAACAAGCTCGAAAATCAGATAAGTGGGAAGATCAACAAAATAAAGTCACAGGGTACCTGAAGCCAAGTTTCAGGAGGAACCATGGCTAAAGATTGTGACATGAAGGGTTTCGAATTTGCACTTACACCAGGAGAGACTATAGCTCCACCTCCTTGACCAGGTTTCACGCCGTTATCACCACTCGACGGGGAAACAGAACGATATGAGACCAATTGCTTCCCATTAGTTGGAGTTCCCTCTCGACTTCTTTTAAGTTTGGGCTCATCTGCCTGCAAAAAGGTTTAGGCTTTAGAGACCATCACGGTTTGGTTTTGGTTTTGGACAAAAGACATAGTTGGGATTGAGAGAAACATTACCCCAGTTGTGTTCCCATCACTTCCATCACTAGAACCTTCAGTTTCCGAGCTGTTCCGTGATCGTTTGTTCTTATGTTCATCATTTCCATTTCCTAGAGACATAGCAAGGCCATCAAACTCTTTGAGCTTCTTCATCAGTCCATTGTCGGTGTTCCCTGTAGATTTAGTCGGAGTTGCGTCGATGCTTAAAGGCGTCCCCGGCTGCTGCCGTTTACAAAGTAACCATTAGCAAAATACCATTTTTTCTCAAATCCATGATGCAATCAAACTTAGCTACAACTATACTAACTTACAGTTGCTGCTAAAGGTGGAACATTTTGGCCTTGAGGCTGTGATGATCCCATGGGAATCCCGGGATGAGGATGGGCGTAGACTCCTCCTCCGTGAGAGTAAACCGCTGCGTATGGCCCTCCATATGGTGACATCATATGCTGAAAGATTCAACACCAATAACAAAAACCAATTATCTTCAAAATCAATATCTTTACTGTATATATGATCACAAGATGATTAAGTCTTTGGGTTGACTAATATACCTGAGGACTCCACATGTAAGGAGGAGGAGGAGGATGACCAGATGCAGCCATAGCTGAATTGTAGTAAGGAGGCATTGCAACTCTTGGACCATAATAGGCCTATCAAGTAACATTAATCGTATCAGTTGATGATCAACAACATCATAATTGGTATTGTTACATAGCTAGAGAGAGTAATTAAGGACTAACCTGCATAGCTGCCCAATCAGGATAGACATGAACATTTGTTTGATCCTATATTCACATCACACACATTAAAAGGGAATTAAGAAACCAGAAACACTGATTTGACTCCAAAACAAGAACATTGACTTGGTTTGAAACTGTCAACATACCGCAGGTAAAGTTTGTTTATCTACTTTGGTTGGCTTTGATTCCTCACTGTTTCCCATGGTTTTATAGTTTCCCAGTCAATAACAATTGGCTCTTTCTGCAAAAACCAAATCAACGAATCTTGTCGTGTGAGAGAACAGAGAGAGGGAGAGAAAGGGGTAGAAACGTCTTTCTACCTTCCATCCTATGCTCAGAAAACTTTCAGGAAGACAAAGGGAATCAACAAAGCAGATAATAATGGACAATTTTACCCCTGAAACAATCTCATGCACAAACAAAGGCTCTGTTCTTCTCACCGCTTTTGTTGTTTATGTTCAAATTCAAAACCCTAAAGTCTTAAACGAATTCAACTAAATGCAAAAGAAAAAACGACATAAATATACGATGGAAATGTTAACAGAACAAAAGGCAAAATCTATTCACAAATCCGACGAATCATTCCAGAAATAAAATTACCAATGAATATATGGATTTGTAATGGAAAGTCTTCGACCAAATATAATCGCTTTGTACAATCAAAGCTATGCAGTTACCTCAAAGAATCCGAAAAGCTCTTACTAGCTAGCTCCGAAATCCAAATCGTGAAATCGAAACTTAAACCGCAATTAAATTAAACGCATTTCATTTCTCTCTCTGTCTTTCTCTCTCTGAAAAAAAAAACAGAGCGAAAAAGAGTTCAGTTTTTTTTTAGGGAAGGAGGGAGACGAGAGGGAGAGAGAGAAGAAAAACGGAGCGCCAAGACGATGACCACGTCATCAGACACGTGTCATGCGAATATATTACAGCGTAAACTACGGTGGTGTTTGATGAGTTGGCCCATCGGGTTTCGTGCCAGCCATTTGTGATTTTCCTTCTCATCACATCCCTACCGTACACGTGGTCGATTCCGAGTCGCTCTACGCATCCCTCATGTGACTTACGTGGTCCGTCCATTTTATTTACGATTTTAAAATTCCATATTTACCTTAGTGTATAATCCTTTTCAAATCCGTGTCATCACATCAGTGAAGTCATGTGCTAACAAACTTAACGATTCACCGTGTAATTATTTTTGGTACATACATCTACGACCAAACGAATAATTACTTATGGGCATTTTGATATATTAGAAAATTAAGAAACTTAAAACTGGAATAGAGAGAGACATGGAACATGGCGGTAAATACAAACGAAGAAAAGACCTTTGACTATTAGTATCTCCGACGCGGAGAGCACTTCTGTCCACCCAACTCAAGATCTTGACCGTCCATCTTTCCCACCGATTCAATATCTTCAATAGTTGCCACGAGACGACCCACGTGTATGGCCACGTTTTTGCCATCATGGAAGTCAATTGGAAAAAAACACTTTTTATATATATTAAAAAGAGGAAATCAGGACCCACAACTCCCGACACATGTTTCGGATCCAACGGCTGGGATAAATAAATGATCCAACGGATGATAACAAGCCACGTCAGTTGAGCATTGGCATCTAGAGGCTTAAAGGGGCCAACGAGGCTTTTGCGTTGGCGTAAAAGAGCTTCTATTAACGAAGTGGTCCCACGTTACGAAATGCGACTCACATGGATGTATATACGTGTCCGTTATTGATTTGATGATGCCAAAAAATATTGTCTGTACTTTATAGTATATTTTTGGTATACAGTACACAGAGAGCAGAGCATCATATATACTCGTGGACTCGTAAAGTCTCGTATAATTCTACTGAGTTTTTCGGTGACGTAATCTAAGGTATAGACCACGTCAGATTTGAAAATTCGACGGTGATGCAACTTTAACGCCCTCAATTAAGAAAAAAACGTGTGTAAATACTAAATAGCGCGAATCATCTGACGTGGCTATCAATATTGTAGTGGATTATTATTGCTACGTGGGGTCCAAGTCCGAAAAGGAGATTTAAATCGAACGGTTCAAACGTGTCCCCGACAAAATGACGTGTCCGTCTGGTAAGCGGATAGTCTTCCTTACGCATTTATGTGGACCCCCATGTGACGAGGACTCGAATCCTCTACACGATTTCCCGAAACTACCCTTATGACTTTTCACTAATCCCGTCGACGTACCACTCACTCTCTTGCCGCATTGTTTGAATTAGAACTTTGAGCTTTTGAATGTTTCACACACCAAACAATTAGCCTTATGACATTTGTCACAGTTGCAAGCCTAATCTCAGACGCTAAGCCCAGTTTTAGTTTTCCCGTGAAATAAGGCCCAAATCCTTTAACTTACTTTGTGAAAGAAAGCATAGTTTATTAGTGCAAAAGAGAGAGTTAAAATCCAACCAAATTTACAGATCAAGACACTTTTAAGAACTTACTTTTCCTGCTCTGTAGTCAAATTATACATAAAGAGAGTTATAAAGACTCTAATGGAGATCGACAAGAGAGAGAGAGAGAGAGAGATCAGTGAAGGTCTGTGGATCGTTTAATAGTAAGCTCGGCTCGGAGATGGAGAATGCCATTGATGAAGTAAAGACTGTCGTCGGCGATAAACGAAGTCCAAGGTATCCCGAACAGGTTTCTGTAACCAACCGCTTTGCCTCCGGTGAAGGTGTAGTTCCCTTTGTATTTGCTAGTGAACTCCTGCTCCGGTTTCTGTCTAACTGCGAATTCATAGTCCACGCCAAAGCTCACAGCTCCTTTCTCTTGCATCCCAAGGAACAGCCCAAAGCAGTGGAAGGAGCTTTGTTGGTCCATGTTGCAGTGCGCCGAGAGGAAGAACCCTTGGCCTCCTAAGTGGAAGGCCTGAGAATACACTCTCCCTGAAGGGAACAATCCTGCGCATTCCTCTCGCTTCAAGTCAAGGTACACTACACATTGCGGCCGCGGAAGCTCAAACTCCACCACTTTCACAGGTCTGTATTTGTATGCCCTCTCTATGAAACGCCGGTTCATGGAGTCTGATCCTTCACCTGCTAGGATGCGTTGCCTGTGCGGTGCTTCTGCTTTGAAGAAGAGCGCTTCTAGGACTTGCTTCGATGCTACTTCATGCTCAAAGTCGCTGCAAGTTAGTACCTTCTTCAGTTTTCTACACGTCATGTATGGGAAACGGATGTAGAGCGCAAGGCGTGAGCCCAGAATCTCTCTACGTTCTTCCAATGAACTGTACTGTCCCCTTGCCCATTTCAAGACGAAATCATAAACAGCGTCCTCTGATGCAATTTGGAGATCATCGCTCGATAGTATCGCCTCGATTCCAGCCAATGGTAAGGCCATAACCTCCTCCTGAAACCTGTACAAAAATGGTATAATTACATGAATACAATAACCTTTAACAAACACTCAAAGTAAATGCATTTCAAACGATTAGAATCTTACTTGGTGATATCCTTGTAGCGGGAGGCAAGGAAGTGCTTTGCTGCATCGGTCAGAGGGTTCACTGCTTCAGCCATCAAAACACTGGAGGGAAGCTCGAGATAGAGCAAAGCGGAATCAGGGGTCATAGGCATATTGCGGAGAAGTCTGCTGCAATACCTCATGCAGGAAGCAACCTCAAACTTGTCAGCAGCCATGAGGACATCTAGTAAAGCAGGTGCTGTTGTGACAGTTAGAGAGTTGCTATACATAAAGTTTAAAAGCTCCATCAAAGCACCTTCCTCTGCCATACACATAAAAGCAGACCACACGAAAAAAATCAACATTGTCTGTCGACTCTCTTAACACTGACTAAGTTTCATGGATATACAAAATCAAAGACAGTAGCTGACAAAAGCAGAAATGAAGCAAAAGCTTGACTTAATTTTGCCGTACCTTGTGCATTAATTCTAAGGGTTACATGTCTTTGTTCTGATTCCCTCATTCCATTAGAAAACAGCTACAAGAAAGAAGCAAGGGATATTGTTACGTGCAGGAGCAAACAATAAGGATGTAGAAGAAAGAAAGAGCGAGAAAAGGCGTTGGTACCTTGTAGAAAAAAGGGCTTTTTGCAGCCAAGATAGGAGAACTAATATGTAATTCTTTAACTCTAACAACAGTAGAATGGTCCATTCCCCAGTTTGGCTCACTAGATGCATCGTCGTCACCTGGAAACCATTTTTCAACAAAGTTATAAAATTTTAGACAAGTTCGCAAATCCAAACCAAATCACTCGATAGAAAATGTGAAATTTATAATCTCAAATACCTGATTGAGCCTCTTCCACCATTGCCTCTCCTTCGTCTTCAGGATTATCACCACCAGGACAATCATCCATATCAGGTTGGTTGTTATCGGTTATAATCTGCTCCTCCGCACATGCCACAATGTCTGAAATCGTACCTGGAAACAATAAAACTCATATGAGAAGAGAGGAGAAACAAAAAGCCAAAAAGCCCTAATCCAAGCAGAAAATCAGTTCTAATAATTCACAAACGCAACGAAATTCGAGATTGCGATCGATCAGAGAAATGACGATTCCTAATTCGCTATCAAATCATTGTTACTAGAGATCAAAAACCGTACCGCCATTGACATCCTCTCTTCTCCTCTTCCGATGACGAGCCCAATCGGCAATACTCGTACAGCCTTCACCATCAGACCTGGAATCCGAAGGCCCACCCATGATCTCGATCCGGAGCAAACGGTCGGAGAAGTTACTGTCATTGAAAGCGAAACCAAAATCACCTTCGGAGGAATTCGAACCATGTCGAGAGAAATTGGAATCCATCTCCGTCTTAGGGTCAAACAGATCGGTATTGTTGGAACCTCTCATCCTCCTTTTGCGAAACCCTTCTTCCGTCTTCTCTCCGGTAGCAGGAGAATCAGGGGAAAAAGGGGTCAAATTCAAAAAAGGAGATTCGAGGAACGAAATAACGAACGAACCCTAGAAATGTTTTTTGTTAACTCCCAAAAAAGAGGATGAGAGGAGAGCGGGTCGAAGGTGGAAAGAGAAAGTTGAACGGTTATGGTTACAGGTCGGTGACGATTAAACAAAGCAAAGTCTAATAAAAGATAACCGGTTCGTTCTTTTTAATATAACGGTTTGCATGTCAAGAAATATATCTATGATTAATTTGGTTAAATATCATGATTTTATTTTTAATTGGTGTAGTTTTCTTACAAGTTGTTAGTTCGAATTACATTATATTTGGTTAATAGTTTTTTTCTTTTTGGTTTAACTTTGCGGTATAGTCATGTTATCAAATTAAGAACAAGCAAAAAAGTCAACAGAAAGGAGCTAAAATGGAAAGAAATCCTCGTAAGAAATTTCAAAAGGGAGAAAAAAATATGAGTTTTATTTGTGTTGATATGGTAATAGGCAAAATTAGGATTGTAAACTGGTTGGAAACCGCCAAATTTGGTGAGAAGACAACTCGGTCAACAAACGGCAACACCTAAACTTGTTAAACATTCGTTGGGAACTTGGAATCAAAATTCTCGTTTAAAGTTTCTATTAGCGAAATCAATTAGTTCAACGTTTTACAGACTCTATTAAATTTATTTTGGTCGAATTAAGCTTGGCAATGGTTTTCACTTTATCACTTAAGTATTCAATAACCCATTTTGATAATTTTCACGTTTTGATTAGGTGAGATGCCCATCTATGTTCTACTTCTAAGTTCTAACTAAAATGTGTTCATTTTGAGTTTTTGACATATTAAAGAGAACAGCAAATTAAATACTGCAATGCCGGTTGAAGGGAAAAAAACACTTAAAATTTTTAGATAGATAAGCAGACAACAACACTTATGACTTAAAGTACTCTTAAACTAACGACCTAACATAATAAAACGACAAACGTAGTTTCGAATCTACACGAAATTAAACAACAAGTCCTTTATTCACCAAACATTTTAAGTTAGTATTAATTTAAGATAAGCAAAGGGTATCAACTTTGTAGAGAGTGTGTTTTATGTGCTCCCTTATATAAATTAGCATCGTGAGTTCTAATTAATTATACCGAGATCCAAATACACAATAAACAGCATTGATATCATATTTTGAAACTGGCCCACAACATCTTCCAATATCAAACAACATTCATGGCGAATTGGCGCGTCGAATTTAAAGCATCAAGCACAAGCACCTACAAATAAACACATCAAACTGAATTAAAAAGTCAACAGAGAAGATAGTTTGAATTCAAACTTGTTTGTCAAAGAGTTGTCGAACTTTATTCACAAACCAAAAGGCAAAACCTCAAACTAAAAAAAACACGTGTAAATAGAACTTTTAACGTTTATACAGAGAAAGAGAGACGAGAGAAAAGAAAAGGAGCTCCCTTCAATCCAAACGAAGAGAAGAGAAGGACATATGATATAGAGAGAGTGAAGAAAGAAATCTAAGAGGCCATGCAAATCCCCTTAAAGTGCGCATTCTCCAAGCTCTTATTAAGCTACGCACTCTCAAAGGGAAATCCATGAACAATTAGATTTCTGTTTTTATTTCCTTAAATCTTGTCCTCCTCGTTTTGGACGAAGGGAGCTCCTTTTGTTACACTTGATGACTTGAACAACTAGTGTCCACAAAGAGTTTGATATCTATTTGCCACATAAGGAAAAGAAAAAGATATGCATCGAAAGGTTTTGAGATTGTGATGGTCTGATGGATTGATGAAGCTATAATGATGTGAAGAAGATGATTATCAAAAGTGGTTTATTTATAGATGAAAGAGCAAAAAAAGCCCTAGTTCTACTTGTATGGATGATTATGGGAAAGAGGTTATCGAAAAATTGGAAACACATAGTATAACAAAAAAAAATGGCAATAAATATTGTCATTAATTAGAGACTGGACATAATCTTGTTGAATAGATTCTCTTTTAATATACAGACAAGGAAAGAGAACAAAAAAATTAGAACGTTCAACTGTACAAAAACACTAAAACAGAAACAATGAAAAGAAAAATTGTCAATAAAAAGTTAATTTCCTTTTAAAAAAATTATTTGAGTATCATAAAATGGAAGATGTTTGTAATTAAATTTGAGAAGATTCAAATCCGATAAAATGTGAATGAACAACTGATATTTGATTTTTTTATTTAAGAGCAATAACAAAATTAACTCTATATTTAATATTAAAATTAAAATTTAACAAGCATTAAGCACAGACCAGAGAATTACTTCCACAAACATGAGACAATATATTTTATCAAATGGCTCAAGCTTGAACTAAATGACTCTGACTCGACTCTGGTTTCAAAGAACGTAAACGTCGACTCTCTACACGTGCTTCCATTAGCTTATCCTTCAGACTACGACTTTCCTCTCTCACATTCACATTCCTCGGAACAATCTTTGAAAAAGTTTTAGACTTTCTTAGAATCTGATGATCATCATCAACGTACTTCGGACTAGACTCTGGATGAATCTTGTCTCCTTCCGACGACATTGACAGATTAAGAACAGAGCTCTTCATAAGCTGCAACTTGTTATCTCTTCTTGTTCGCCTCTCGAGTTCCTTCAAACAAACCCTTTGATGCATAGAATTAGCTGAATCATCCTCATGTTGTGCTCTATAGTCACTTCCTTTCCTCGAATGTGATCTTCTCTTCTCCTTGAAACCTAACTCATCGCAGAGATTCTCCACAGCAACGCGTTCCTTTCTCTCCTTCTCAAGATCTTTCAAAGCTTTCGTTAAACAATGCTTTGCTTCACAAAGCTCTCGCGTTAGTTTCCGATGCAAACTCTCTGACTGCTTTCTAAATCTCTTCTCATCATCTAACTCTTCCTTCATAGATTGAAACACATCTCTTAGCTCTTCTTCTTCTTCTTCCCTTTTCTTCTTCCTATCGCTCTGCTTCTCCCGTTGCTGCACCTCCTTGATCTCGGCTCTACATTCGTCCAACTCCATCTTTAGAGCTCTAACCAAAGACACGTTAGCAGCGTTCTGCTCTTCGAGACTCCATATCCGGTTTAGCACCTTGAGAAGCTTTGTAGAGGAACCCAAACCATAGCTCGCTGACTTAACCAACGAAGAACCGGTTTGACTAAACGCTGGTTTACGCACCATAACCTAAAGCCAAACACACACCAAATCAAGCTCAAAAACGTAGGTTATTACATTTAGAGTGAACAAAGAGCAAAAGACTTAGTTTTTTTTACCTCACTGCTGCTGCAACTTGCAGGAGAGATTGGTTGCAACAAATCGACATTTCTATGATCATCAGTTGCTGCGATTTGCCTCCTCAAGCTTCCCCTGCTTGATGGCTGCAAATTTCAAAAACTCAGTCTTTGTAAATGATTCATTTCTTCCACAAAGTTAAGACTTTTCCGGTGGAAATTAAGAAAAGATGAAAAATTTCCGGTGGAATTTCGTCTAGGGCCATTACAAAGACTAAAACCCTACATAAACCCGCCAAGAACATTTAAGCGAATTAAAAAAGTCAAAATTGTTTTAGCAAAATAAATAAAAAATGCCAAAATTGTTCACCTGATGGTCGTGAAACGGACTACCGGAAGGTGAATAAACGTCTGAATCTCGCCGTCGAGATAGTCTCGGCTCAATTCTCTGCCGGAATTGTTCAGCTTCCCACAAATTGGCGCACAATTTACGGACGGAAACATCGGAATTCGCCAAAAACTCCTTCGTCTCGACGGCGGAGGAGAAAGCTCCGACTCGCGACGGTGACGACGGAGAAAACCCGAGACGCCACGTGGGTGGAGGAGTAGAAGGACTAGCTCTTCTACCCACGAAGAAATCTCGTCTCAGCTTTTTCTCCATTACTTCTTCTTCACACTCTCTCTCCATCTCACTTACTCGCTCTGTTTTTCTGTTTTGTCTCTCTCTCGGACCCTTTACGACTGAGTGACTTCTTCAGAAGAGGAATGTCGAATTTCTGATGCTGCTGAATTAATGAAAATTGGGATATTATAGTTGTTGTGTCTTGTTGGAGCCTACAGTTCTGTCTCGACTCAAGAGTCGTCTCTTTGTTTCTCTCTTCCTTTCCTTAAATTCTTTGATCACTATGGCTTATCCTTAAAATCCTCCATCTTTCTTTACCATTTATACAAAAACAAAAAAACGTGATTTGATTTTTAGTTAATTAGTACAGACATAAGCATGATTGTTTATTGTATGATTAAGTCATATACTACAAAATTCTTTGTTTTCTTAATAGTGTAAATGTTTCCTACAAAATTATTGTATGATTGTTCTCTCCCGACAAATTCTACGAGTTAACTCTGACTTTTTCTTCTTCCCAACAAAGCCATAGATTTTTCTTTACTGCAAGGGGAAATATCTCTCTCAGATACTTCAGAGTCAGTGGCAGAGAATGCGTGTGAGTTATAAAATGTGAAATATTTTTCCCCATTTCGAGTTTACATTGAATAGTTACAGTAGGAAAAATGATAGCTTCTAATTTCATTTGTTTTTTTTTTGTTTCATGACTGATTTAAAACAGTCAGAAAATTCTTTTTGTATATCTTATAGTGTTTCAAACAACTTTTGAATGTTTGAATAATCACAGTGTTTTTTGTTGTGTTCTATAAATTCTGAATGTGTCAAATGCAAACCTATACTCCAAATGGGTAACTTTTGATGGATATGCAAGTGGGTGGATTAAAGCGAATTCTGCTAGTGAATTTGGGGATTGAGAGTAGGCTAATAGAGTGATTATGAGGCTAAAATGGCAGCTAATAAACGATTATTATATAAATCATTCGTATCAGAAAATAGATGTGTCAAATGCAAACCTATACTCCAAATGGGTAACTTTTGATGGATATGCAAGTGGGTGGATTAAAGCGAATTCTGCTAGTGAATTTGGGGATTGAGAGTAGGCTAATAGAGTGATTATGAGGCTAAAATGGCAGCTAATAAACGATTATTATATAAATCATTCGTATCAGAAAATAGCCATGCTTCAAGATTCCTGGTCCTTCCTTCAAATTTCAATGCTAGTCTACGGCTCTAAGGCTTATTATGACCAACACTATCACCATTTCCTCTTCCCTTTTTTTTTTTTTTTTTTTTTTGGTTTAAACCAACGATAAGGCGAGAGTGAGACTAGATCATGACTTATTCTCTCTTGCTTACACATGTTAATTTTTGTTTATTGTTGTTTTTGTAATGAGAAAGCACATAAGATATGATGGAGATGACTGTAAATGAGCGTTGGGACGTGAACCAGGACCACAAGGGAGGGACGAATATTTGGCGGCTAATAGACAAAGGAACGTGACGATGAGAAAAAGAAATTGAAGAGTGAGATTTGGCATGAAAAGGATGACTTATGTCCGCACGAACCACACACTCATTGCCTCTCTATCTTTCTCTTAACTCTACCAAGGTAATTAAATGTAATAAAAGTAAACATGAAATTTACTTTGTATTATGGTCCCCACCCCTCCCTATAGTATGAGACTATGAGCTCACATTCTCGTTACTCACCATACAAGTCATAATCGTCATGGGTGTAGATAATTAATTTTGACGTTTAGCGGCGTATATTTATTTGTTTTTATACTTAACGTGATTACTAACTTTAATATGGCCATTTGAATTTGTGAACACTAAAATTACTAACGGGCCGAGAATTGAATGAGACTTAACACACCAAATTCCCTACAGAAACCTCTGGCCTGAATTTCACCATGATTGAATCTTCTAGGATTTGTAAATCTCTTGAAGTTTTTGAGTGAGATGATATCTCAAGAGGAAATGCGAGTTGGTCAAAAGACGGAGGAATTCATGAAAATGGGGAAAGATGAGATCTACCCACATGAATAAACGACAACAATGAAAATTTCGATTTACAAATGTAAACAAAAAGGCAATTTTACGAATTCTCGGACTGGGGATACAAGAGCGAACGTATTAGGTTTCTGGTGTGGTGGCTACTACAATACGGCTTCAGTTTCACTCTCAGACATAAGTTTGGTTGCGTGCTTTCTACGGTTAAGCTTGCGGCGTCCATTTTGAGTCCTCTTCTTCTGTGACAAACTCTTCTCTAGCATTTTGACCCGGCCCGTTAATTCCGATATGACTTCCAGTTGTTCTTTGCCTGCTTTTACCAACGTCTCCATCGTTTCCTTGAACCGTTTGTTCTCTTCTATCAGCTTTTTGGTTTCTTCTGATACTTCATGTTCAATGACTACTGTCTCTGAAGGCTCTTCTTTCACAATGACTTCTGTCTCTTGAGGCTGTTCTTTCACAATGACTTCTGCCTCTGGAAGCTGTTCTTTCACAATGACTTCTGACTCTGGAGACTGCGCTTTCTCTTCTTGTGGCTCATCAGAAGTCTCTTCGCCTATGCCTTTGGAGTGATCGCACGAGTTGTCAACGTTAGTCTCCTCCTGGCTCGCTGTTTCAGGGTCCATTGCAGTCGTTTCCGTTTCACTAGTACACGATGGTAAATCTTGTGAAAGAAGCTGCGTTTCACCGTCAGTCACTTCTACAGGTGGCTCGTAAAGCTCCACAACTTTCTCCGAAGGTAATTCAGTACCACTGTCTCCCTTTTCCTCTTCACTCTCAGACCTGTTGGCCACATCTTCAGAGACTCCGGTGGCATTTTCCGAGCCTTCAAAACCTGGTCCACGAGTCTCCTCGACCATAACTTTGTCTTCCTCAGGCTTCATCATTGTGTCTTCATTTCCATCAGCTGCTAACTTATTGATTGGTAGAACGGCCTCAACCTCTCCAGTTTTCTCTGGTATGGTTGTTGAAGTAGCAACCACCTCACACATGCTCGCTTCACTAGCTGGCTTAAGATCTGTCGCTAAGGTCTCAGACAATCTAGTTCCTTCTTCTGCTTCTGCCACCAGCTGTTCATCTGCTAGATTCATGAGAAGAGTTGGCTGTTCCTCGGGAGAAGGAGGAAGAGTTTTCTCTGTATTCGAGTCAGATACCATTTCGTTCTCTTCTTCAAGCTGATTGTGGGAGTTCACTGGACAATCACTAGTCTCAGAGGTAACTTTCACTTGTTCCTCTACAGCCTCCTTCTCCTCGCTGCTCTTGTTCCTCAAGGAGTCAAGCTTATCCTCAATGTCTGAGAGCTCTCTAGCCAAGGATTTTCTATGCTCTCGGATACTAGGATGCAAGCCCTGCAGGAAAAACAGAAGTTTTCTAGACTGTCACCAATTATTTCAGAGAACAACAACATTTACTTAGATCATAAGTATCAATCACCATTTCTCAAGCCTTACCTGGACAGAATCTAGTTTTAACAGAAGGTGCATCACCATTTCTCCCAAAATTATGATCTCCTTTTCTTCAATGTGTTGATCGGTAGAAATACAATCTTCTACCGCCTTAACACGCCTTGTAACATCCCCCATCTGCTCGTGGACAGTAGCTATTTCCTTCAATTTCTTTAATGGCTCCCATCTTCTCACATCATATCCACGGTATCTAGATTGGATAATCCTGGCAGCTTCCTCTTCTGTTAAAGTCTTCTTTACAGGCTTTTCTCTGATCCCCGTACTCTCACAGGGCCTAAAAACCTCACAGTTTGCTCCTCCTTGCAGATTAGAATTGCTTTCAACTGATTCTCTTTCTGTTCCTGTTGCATTTAAGCTTCCATTGGAGATCTTCACCTCTTTGCTAGCTTCTTCACATTTAGCATTACGAGCCTCAGGAACATTCCTTGATTCAGCCTTTTTGGAGCTCAGCGGGGATGCGACCTTAGGGTTTAGCGATTTGGAGCCCCCATTTTTCCTCTTTGGCAATGGATCAACACGCAGACAGACAGGAGGCAACCTGGATGACTTTGGTGCAGACGAAGGCTGCTCTTTCTTTGTGTTCTCCACTGGCTCGCTCTTTGCAATCCTTTTGGTAGGCACTGTTGGTTTTGGCAGATGGTTCTCCAATAGTTTCACAGGAATACTTCTTGGTTCTTGCAGATGGTTATCCACAGGGATATTCCTCAGGGAACTTTTCTCCTCCGCAGATCTTCTGGATCTTCGCTTCCTTGCCATCTAGACCCTGCAATAACGATTTCAGCTTGCTGAAATCAAATGGGCCTTCCTTGTTTCTCCCATTCTGCAACCTTTGCCTGTCTTGATTCTGAATCAAGGACTTCATGGTGCTCTCGTCAAATGGAAAAAAGCCATTCCGAAACTTGGGATCACTTTTCTGTACCTTCATATTCTCAGGAGCCTTAACATCAGCAGTAGGCTTGTCATGGCTCCCTGGCCCAATAGAACCTCCATGCTCCTGAGTCCTAGCATTCTCATGAGGAATCCACAGAATCGGGTACGGACAGGCGGGCTGACGAACAGGAAGTACAGCCTCTCCTTGGTTTCCTCTCTCGGTCTCCGGCTCATGCTCTTCAATCACAACGCCTCTGTCATTCTTCGGGTAACACATCTGGGGAGAAAAATTCGCACACTGATGCTTCCCAGACACATCCTTCTCAGAATCATACTTAGGTCGATAACAACCTGGAAATGGCTGATGAGCATAAAACGGAGGAGCGTGAAATGGAGTAGCATGAGACGCATGAGGCTGGAACCCGGGATGGTTCATGCAGCAAGGATGATACGGTACTTGTGGGGGATAGCAAGGAGGCCAGTAAGCATTGTTGTACACAGGAGGAAAGTTGCTATGGATGCAGCTCCCATAGCACGGTGATGGAGTAGGACAATGCTCACATGGCACAGGATGGTTCCCAAACCCTTGGTGGTGATAGTGTCCTTGTGGTCTCGTCTGGCCTGGTTGTGACGAGTTGTTGTACATTGGCATCATCTTCAATCAACTTGGAGAAAACCGGTTCCGATACACGGAAATGAGGCTGCAGAAAATTCCAATTCCATAAATCAGCAGAAGAATACGATTACTAGTTAATAATATACACACAAATGCTAGCTAAGAACTTCCGATTGAAATCAAATTTCAAAATGATCGAACACCAAATCATTCAGATTTACCCAATTTACTCGCGCTAGCTCCCAAAACGAAAATGATACAATTGCATAGAACACCGAAATTTGAATTCTAGTAGACCCTTTCTCAAAATAAGAATCAGAATGGAAAGCGATGGAACTTACAGAAACGGAATCGAGGCGCAAAGAAACCAATCCACACAAATTCTCACGATGACTCAGTTCCTGCGAATTGCGAAGCTCTCTGAACAAACCAAAAATGCAGACTTTCTGATTTAGTTTCTTTTCTGATTCAGATGATCGCGGTTTCTTCACTATGGATAGTGAAAAATCTGAAGACATTTTTCTTAATTATATAGAGAGACGACAATGATTTGGAGGGAAAAGATGTTTCTTCAGCTCTCCAGATCTTTCTCTCTCGCCTTCAACAACTTGTCCTTTTGAAGAATCTGGAATTTTCTCCTCGTTTCTTAAACTAACACGTGATATAAGAAAAATCGCTTGGAAGAATAAAGATGGGTCATGTAATTTAGGCCCATTAAGTTAGATGGGTATCAATAATGGGCTTTTTCGCGACAAATAGGTATATCTCTAGTTCGTCTTCTTCAATGTCGGTCTCCGTCTCTGATACCTTCTGAAAAATCACAAAACCTCTCCGCCTCCGCCGATTCTGAGCTCGCATCGCTTATTTTAGCTTCCCATCTTCTCTTCCTCGTTCTAGGTTTTTGATTCAAATATGGGAAGGGCGAAGAAACCTCAAAAGTTTGCTGTCATGAAGAAGACGATAAGCCACAAAGCTATAAAGCAGTAAGCAAAACGATCCTTCTTCCTTGAAATTTGATATTTTTAGCGTTTGTTTTGTTTTTGAGGTTCTTAATTCCGTTTTATTTCTGTTTAGATACAAAGAGGAGGTTCTGAATCCAAACAAGAAGGACCTCACTGAACTTCCGAGAAATGTGTAAGCTTAGCTTAAACCTTTACTCCAAGTTGTGAATTTTTGTGTTTGTTTAGGATTAAGATTTGATTTTGTGTTTTTGGGTTATTTTTGGATCAGTCCGAATGTTCCTGCAGGGATGTTCTTCTCTCACAACTCTAGTATTGGTCCTCCTTACCGAGTTTTGGTTGATACTAACTTCATCAACTTCTCAATCCAGAATAAGGTGTATATATATATATATATTCAATTCCTTTCTCTACCACATAGCTATAATCAGAACGTGTAGTGTTATTGTCTTCGTGGACCTGATGGGAATCTCGTTTTTGTTATATCTATAGATTGATCTTGAGAAGGGAATGCTGGACTGTTTGTACGCAAAATGTGAGTTACTTGAACTTTGTTAGGTGTCACTAGTTATGAATTTATCATTGCTCTTGTTGACATTTGATTGTTTCGGGTTTGAAGGCACCCCTATTATCACGGACTGCGTCATGGCTGAGCTAGAGAAGTTAGGTCAGAAGTATCGTGTCGCTCTAAGGTAAAACTAACCCTTTAAGATTTCGTAGGGTTTTTAGTATAATTGTTTTTGTCCTGTGGATTCTTAATTGGTTATTTTTGGCAGGATTGCGAAAGATCCACGCTTTGAAAGACTACCTTGTATACACAAAGGGACATATGCTGATGACTGTCTCGTTAACAGAGTTACTCAGGTAAATGCTTCCTTCTTGCTCTTGTCTCATGGTTCTTGGTGTATGGATCGGATCCTATCTGATATTCTTGTTCTTGTTTATATACAGCATAAGTGCTTCATAGTGGGTACTTGTGATAGAGACTTGAAGCGAAGGATTCGGAAGGTAAAGATTGTTTGATATGTCAAATACTTTTATGTTTTGTTTTAGATATCTTTAGATGTTGACTTCTTCTTTGGTTCGTTTTGTAGATTCCTGGTGTGCCGATCATGTATGTGACGCAGCGCAAGTACTCAATAGAGAGGTTGCCTGAAGCAACGATTGGTGGAGGTAATACATCTTTTGACTCTAAAAGGTGCTTTGGTACTGTTTCAATTCGTTTGTGTAACATTTGGCTTGGTTTTGTTATGGTGCAGCTCCAAGATACTGATATATGAACAAGCTCTGAAGCCTGAGCTAGTGTCCGGTTCAAGCTCTGAATCTTGAGCCATTTTTGTTCTGTGTTGGTTAAATTGCTGTTTGTCTAATACGAGGTTGACTAATAAGTTGTACGAAATCTTTTTATTATGGTTTTGACATTGATCTAAAATATTACATAGTTTTCGTTAATGACAAACTATAACCATGCCTTGTTTGACTTCGTCCATCTATGTGGGAATTAAGATAATTACACGAAAAAAACAGTGTTGTTAAAACAAAAGAGACGTGGTATCATATTGAAATGTCGATATAGTTTTGTGTTTTCAAGAGACGTAACCAGCTTTGAGCTTTTGAGTTTTCTGTTTGACGAAGAAGGCAGATAGGACACTTTTGGTCCGAACAGGGGCTCGAATTATCTCTCGTCGTGGGTTGTCAAGTGACTTGTGTGCCGTCATGAGTTTAGGAACCTCAACATCCTGAAGAACAAGAAAAACTCGTCTCATCAAACATCTCGATCACATAAAGTCATAAACGCATCTTACTAATCTAATCTAATCGAATTAACTACTAAAAATAGTGAGATGTTTGTTTTATGTACCTTGTGTGCAACACCGTATGTCTGCCTTGTGCTGGTGGATGTTGCAGGAACACTAACACCTGAGACCTGAGAACCACCGACCAAAGGCTTCTTGGTTGTTATGTTTTCTTCATCACCTGCATGAGTTTCAATGTATCATCAATGTACTAGATTGAAGAAATGCTATGTTTTTGACTCTTGTTCATCTCACTGTTTCTCGTACCTAAGAGATGGAACACTCCAGATGTCTTTGCGAAAGCTTTTGAATCTCTGGAGCTGCACAATAAATAGTATGTGTTAGTTTGTTTATTTATCAAGAAAGTGCGAAACAGTAGTAAGGCTTTTAAGTGGACTCACCTTGGTGTACCAGTGTTTGTTCCTTTTAAGGTCGACTTAGTCTCTGATGAGCCTAAATGCCAGGAGAGTGATTTCGATGCAGGGGCATCTAAGTGAGTCAAACCAAACATTACTCAACAGTTTTCAAATTTTCACAAGAAGTAGTAAAAGATGAGGACGACACTGCACCTGAAGGTTGAAGACGGGATATGGCTTGATAATGATTCTGTCTTGTGTCAGTTCGTCTGAGAGGACTAAAGTGTACTCGCTTGTTAACAGAATCTAACAAGAGCCATAAATGAAAAAAAAAAAGATTCAGATTTCAGTGATGGATTTAACAGAACGGCTAAAGAAAAAACTCTTACTGGGAAGAATGTAATGCTTGTGATGCATTGGGATCACTGCTAATAGCTGTTGCTGTCTAAGACCTTCTTTGTCTATATACGTCCGGCATGTAAGCAGTTGCTGATGATACACAAACTTTAAAGTAAGAATGTATACAAAAGGTAAGATCAAAAAGAGAGGAGTGTGACAGTTTTTTGTTACCTGGTTAACACAAGAAGCTCTCAACTCCATAGTTGATATATCTGAATTTTGCTGATCAAAAAGATCAGTAAGCTTTGAAGCTACAGTTCCCAAGTGATCAACAGCATTAACCAGAGCCTTCACAGTGTAGTCCTTTAGATTGTCCAACACCCTTAACAGAAAGGTAACACATACATCAATCAAAGCTACGGAATTCAAAGATGATTAGTAGTTTAAAACAAAGATTATACATTTGCTTTTGTTCGCTGTGTAGATAAGACTTCTCACAGTAATCAGCAGCTGAGTAAAGTTGAGGCCTCAAGTTCTTGAGCTCCTGTTACGTAAGATTAGTTACATAAAAGTGTAAGCCAAAACAATCCAAGAAGATGAAACTCTGCATCAGAAAGCTAAATGGTAGATCAAAAGTCAAAACTAATAGTCAACCATTTGGCTGCATCTATAACTGACCCAGATGCAATCTTGAAGAACTGTGATAACACTAACCGACAATCATCATCTCGGTCCCATCTATATAACTACACACTTAATTCCACAAATTTACAGCGAAGAGCACCTAATTTTTTACCATGGACCTCAACGGCTATAGGCTACAACGAGATCATGGATCTAGCTCAAACTCAATTATTGTGATCGTAGATGCTATTTTCTGTAATCTAATTACACAGAAACAAAAAGGAAAAAATCCGGTGAGCGACGAGTAAGAGAGAGAAAGATTGGAATTTTAAGGAACCTGTAATGCCTTAATGAAGCTTTTGCTGCGTTCCATGGAAGCCTCGTCGAAGGTCATTGCCGGATTATCCGTTCCCGAATTCTCCATTTCCATTTTAGCTTCTTCTTCTTCTCTTCTCTCCGGTGATGTATAAATCTTAAAACCGTGCGAATTAAACGATCAGACGGTAACGATTTGTGTATAAATTACGGCACACCGTATTCCGATTACTGTGTGAATGTTTGTTCGGATTTGTGATGTGAGGTTTAGCTTTCTGGTGAGACTGCTAAGCTAACTTGAGAGAGAAAGAGAGAGAGAGAGAGAGAAGAAGGTGAGTGAAGTAGAAGCGATTCCAAGGACTCAAATGGCATTTTTCCTTTCTGAGTAACAACGAATATAGAAAACGACTTTGGGAAAGACGCACTATGCTTTTTGTCATTTATTTAAATAACATATTCAGACTAATAACCCCAAATTTATCAATACGACCAATTAAACCAAACTTATAGCTGGCTTGATTGTGAATTAATACAGCAGAAATTGAGAGTACACTTAATTAATATTATTGTCTACTACTCCTATACATTGAAAAATCAATTTGTAATTCCAAAAATTGCTAAAAAAAAGGTTCACATGTCCTGCATAGGCTTTTATTGCGGTAGTTGATAACACATTAAATAGTTAAAATGTTTGTGGTGAGATTCTATGCAAGCATTTAATTAACCACAACTTATAACGGAGGTGGATCTAGGAAATGAAAAATGACGGAAATAACCTTGCAAAAAGACCAGTCAACGGTACTGTATTTGCACGAAAAGAAACGCTGGCGGACACGTCAGCAGTAACCAGCTTCGCAGCCTGAGATCCACACGTGTGGCTTAGCTGTCGAAACGGACCTGATTATTTGCACGTGCTAAGGCCCATTGTTTCCATCATGGTTTACTGGCCGAAAATCATTGGCCCCAACCCAACAACTTACTCTTGGAAATCATTTCTGCGATCTTCTTTTCAATTGTCCAATGATTCAGGTGATTTACAATGTGGTTCGAGGTTTAAAAATAGTACTCCAACATGTGTAATTGTATATAGGTTTTTTTCTTGATTACACGCATAAAACGGTTTTAAGTGATTCCTTTAATTTTGTTTTATTTCATTCTTCTTCGTCTATATTACACACACCAAACTTTATTCACACCGCATTTTTAACTCTATCTATAACACACAAAGAGACTATACACAAACACAACACTAATATGCATCCGGCGATGATGATGATGATGAATCTCCGAACTCAAAATACGTAGGCTTCGGTGTGGAAGTGCAGCTAATGGCTTCAACAAGCTCTTGAACAGTGAGCATCTGAAACTTGGGAGGCGAGTTAATGGCTATGTTGTCGACTTTGTGCTCATAAATCTTCCCATCCTTGTCGAATTTATACTCTGAAGTGCCGTCGAATCGACCACGAGTCTCCCAAGGACCACGAGGAATCCCATGAACAGTCCATCGAATCATCAGCGTGTTTTCCGTCGGTTGCCAAACACTGACGATGTCCACGCAGAGTGCTCTGAAGAAGATCCTTCCGTGGAAACGTAACGCCCAAAATATCGATTTGTAGTTATCAATCCCCATGAAAGTGTTCATAGGGTCTCTAAACACAATATCATCCCTGTTACATCAAATCAAACAAGAAGAGCTAATCAAGAACAGATCAAACACACAAACAGTACCCTGAAGCAGAAGATAGCTAATCAAGAAGAGTTCAATAGATTCTCAGTTGTTTGATCTCTGTGACGAAGAAAGGAAGTAATATTGGAAATGAAGAACAAAGACGAATCCCCAAACCTGTAAATGTCAAAATTGGGCTCTTTGTAGAACAAAGAAGGAAACTCTTCTCTGATACAACGAACGGCGTGACCCATATTGACGTAGTAGCTCTGCTTGTTTTCTTCTTCCTCTCTGCTAACTTTGCAGTCTTCTTTGACCGGAGCCGAGAATTTCCCGTACAATCTCGATTTCCGATTCTTCACAACACCAGGCAAATCTCTCGCATCAATCGCGGAGACGGTAGCCTTCCGCCTCGTAAACAGAGGATTTGCATTCGAATTCGAATCGGAGAAGATTCTCGCCGAGACGGTGGGTATCTCCGGCGAACGAACAAGGAATGCCATCGGATTATGCAAAAGCGGGAAGGAAATTAAGGATTTAAGCTAGGGCAGACATGTTTTCGATTATCAGATTTCCTCGGAGACGAACAAAAAAGGAATAGCAAAAGGGATTAGCAGAGGAATATGCCTGCTTCGTTGGATTGAGAAGAAGACGACGAGAAGGCGCGACGCGAGGATAGGTCAGGAAAAATCTCTGCGGATAAAGTTTCTCTCCTCATGGATAACGATAACCGGACTTGTCATCGTCAACGATTAAGACCGTCGAAATTTCTGAAAATGTTGACGAAAATGAATTATCATATGACGGTCCATTAATGGTTAGGGCTTCAGGTGCCTAAAGTAAAGCCCATTACTGAAATTGCACCAATTAGAAATAGTTTGATTAGATTTTTAGATTTTTTGTTAGGCACACAGTTTCAGTAATTTCAAATCAAGATTACAAAGTTATTCAAATTTCAAACAAAAGGTATACTCTGTAAACTTCACTAAAAAGGTGTATATTTTATTTGGGTGGTGTCATTTACAATTCATTCACACACAGTGTCAAATTCGAATAAAATACACCTGAGTACAAAATAAATAAATATGAATTTTATGATCATGCGATAAGTTACAACAATCTAAAATTCAAACTAATACACCTCTTCCATAATTAAGAAGAAAGTTTACTCCACAAACGAAGCATCAACAAAAGTACAAAAACCAATCAAACTGATCTGTGCATTAGGTTTTTGATTTCTCAGCCTTTTATTAGCCATGAGTGTTCACAGCTTCCCAAAGCAAATTCTTCACAACAGGATTAGTCAAATCTCTAGCTTGCATCGCCGCATTCCTCAAAGTCCTAATCGTCCACACATTAGCCTCCCACCACGAAAGACTCCTGTACGGGAGATTATGCTTCTTACAAAGCTCCTGAACTACCGGCGAAACTCCCCGGAGATGGCAACGCGGCAGCCGAGGGAACAGATGATGCTCCAGCTGAAACTGCAACCCACCGAAGAACCAATCCATATGCGATCTGCACGATATGTCAAGCGTACCGGCGGTTTGCTTCTCGAACCAATCGTTTCCGTTTGGCGGACCGGTGTAAACGTCGGCCGCGAAATGGTTTAGACAGAATTGGACGTGTTGAATCGCCGTGACGGCGAAGCTCACGAACACGAAAACGACCCTCTCTTGCCAATTTGGTAGAAATGATACCAGCAGAGGGAACCATGTCCAGAAAACGAGAATTCCGGCGATGTTCAAGGCTCGATCGGGGACGTGACGGTTAGAGAACAGCAATAGGAATGTTTGGATGAAGAGATTGATTCTTCCGACGCACATCACCGGATAAAACGACCAGTGTTGGTAGCTGACTAAGAATCGAGCCAGAGGATCGAATGTCAGTTTCCGGCCGTAGAAGCGTGACGTCATCGATTTGAAGAATTTGGCGGAGACGGCGAAGACTGGGATGTGTTGGAGATCTGGATCGTGATCGAGGCTGTTACAGGCGATGTGGTGAGCGTTGTGCGTCCATTTCCACCACGCGATTGAGATTCCGGTGAGGCAGTTGCCGGAGAGAAGCTGGATGATTTTGTTACACGGTTTGTTGGTTGCGACGTTGTAGTGGCCGGAGTCGTGGCCGACGTAAGCGCTCTGGATCCAGAGGAGACCGAGGAATACGGCGGAGATTAAGTGGGCCCAGACGCTGGTGCACGCAACGACGCCGTAGAAGACCGCTGCGAGCATGACTCCGACGCACGTGAGGGTGTAGAGAGTCACGTGTTCTTTTTTGTCGAAGAGTCCGCGTTTCGATAACTCAGCGGCTAATCGCCGGTAGTCACGTGACACTTCGGACACGTGGTGGTCCTTCACGTGGTAACCGTTATGGAGCTTCTCGAGGTGGTGCCATGCGGTTCCGGGGTGGTAAGCGATGAAGGCGTCGGTGACGTCTTGACCGGCGAGGTTGATGATCGCTTCTTCGCCTCCGGGATGAGATTTAACCCAGTGGGAAACGTCGTAGACTTTGCCTTGAATCGAGATCCATATATCTCCGGGTTGGTTGTGCTTTTTCAGATCCTCGTTTGTAATGTATCGCTTCTTCGTTTGCTCCGCCATTGTTTGAACTTTTGAGGAAGCTTCAATGCTCGAAACCCAAAATCCAGAAATTGACAAAACCCAGTTTTGAGGAAAGGTGAAAAACCTTTCTCTGGATTTTGAAATTCACAGATTTTGAATCGAATTGTTTTTTTGTAGACTCTTTGTCTTCCTTATATTCTGGTTTCCTTTTGTTTGCTGGTTTGGAGTCTTTGACACATGTTGTTTATTTTTCGGAGCGATTTACGTGGTGAAGCGTGTGAAAATCAACTGGTTTTCATACGTTACGATAACTCTATTATTGGAAATGTTGATTGATAGTAAAAAAACTTCATTGACAGAGATGCAATAAGGTTGTTTGTCCCACATGTTCTTTTGTCAGTCTGTCGTTAATTAGTTGATGTTGGTCAATCAGTTTCTCTTAATGTTTGACTTTAAAACCACTTTTAGATTATCCTCAAAGGGGGCATCTTCATTAATGGTTTTAAAGTATCTCCAAGTTTCACATTTAATATACTTCCAGATGTTGGCTAAAGAAGTTAAATTCTGGCACTAAACTGTAACGGCAGATATTTTCGAATAAGAGAAATTGGACGTACTCAATTGGATGGGCTTTTATCTTAACGAATGGGCGATATGCGCGTATGAGTTAACTTAACTATATCAATTTGAAACTTGAAAGCCCAAATATCCCGTTTTGCCGGCGTCGGATTTCTATGCAGTCTCCTCCGTATAACTTTTTCGAATTTCCAAGTCTCCATGAGTAGAGTGTTTGAGTTATCTAGGAGGAGGAGGAGGAGGTATAAAGATGGATTGGAACAACAGCCGGAGTCCGGAGACACTTTCAGTGGAAGCTGCTAACTCCTTGATGAATTCAAATAAGTTTTGATGCTTGCATCGCTAAGGGATATTTATTTTGTCTGTATGCAGACAGATTCATGGACATTGGGTGCAGACATCGCGACAGCTAATGTTTTGTTAACACTCCAAAGAAAGACACAAGTTCATCTCATTTAACTTTGGTCTTAAAAAAAAAACAGAACATAATCACTTCAGTCTTAAAAAACAGAACATAAAAACTTTGGTCTTAAAAAAACAGAACATGAACACTTTGGTCTTTAAAAAAACAAAAAACAAAACATGAACACTTTGGTCTTAAAAAAAAACAGAACATGAACTCTTAGGTCTTAAAACAAAACAGAACATGAACACTTTGGTCTAAAAAAGAACAGAACATGAACACTTTGGTCTTAAAAAAAACAGAACATAAATACTTCGGTTTTAAAACAAAACAGAAAATGAACACTTTGATCTCGAAAAAAAACCGTGTCGAGTTAATAACTAGTATTTCCAATTCCTTTTAAACCGCATATTACTCAGGTTAACACTCCAATTCATTTAACTTCGGCCTTCAAATACAGAACATGAACACTTTGATCTAAAAGAGACAGAACATAAACACTTCGGTCTTAAAAACACAGAAAATGAAACACACCTGTCTTAAAACAAAACAGAACATGAACACTTAACTTTGGTCTTACTGTTTTAAAACAGAACATAAAAACATGAACATAAACACTTCTGTCTTAAAACAAAACAGAACATAAAAACTTTCCAATTCCTTTTTAACCGCATTACTCAGGTTAATTTAAAATTTACGTTCTTTATCCATACAATATTTTTAACCGTCCTCTTGATTTTAATTTTATTCGCCACAAAATCATCAATATTTTCAATTTATACCAACATACTGTTTTAGCGTCCTGAGAGAATGTTACAGATCTACACGGAAGAACTAAAATAAAGGAATTGTGGGGAAGATGATTGTTGAGCTATTCAATTAACATTGAATCACAACTGCCCATCTGCCCCAAATTGTTTTCTGCAGGGAAATCTTTCGTGCAAAGCGTAATTGATCGCAATGAGCCGATACACACAATCCCTGCATCAATTTCTGTTTTGTTTGAAGAAAATGGAAAACAAAACATCGAAGTTTAGATTGGTACAAATGTTCACGAAGGAATTGACCTAATGAGAATTGTGGGGAAGATGATTGTTGAGCTATTCAATTGACATTGAATCACAACTGCCCATCTGCCCCAAATCGAATTTTGCAGAGAAATCTTTCGTGCAAAGCGCAATTGATCGCACTAAGCCGATACACACAATCTCTGCTTTTCTAACTTCAAACAAGCAAACAAAAAAACTCAAATCTCATATCAAATTATACACCAAGAACTCGTGACGATCCGCGGAGAAAAACAGATCATCGATGATCTCTTGGAGACTAAATCTGCGAAGGTTAATTAAAATTGTTAGAGAAGCCTCATTTCATGAGCATTTTGCTTCACTGCTGGGTCCTTCGCTTTTCAATAATCAAACAAAAATTAATCAGAATTGTAATCGAAAACCCAATCCATAAGGGATGAAAAACCGAAATCCGGAATTGAAACCACAGACCACGGAAAAATCCACCAATCTCCGATATGTATTTCCGAAGGTAAACTTGGCTTGAGTACGCATTGATTAGAGCGCATCACCCATAGGTCCTTCGTTACATAAATTTGCAAAACAAAAAAAAAACGAATTCGATGCTCAGCGAATACGAACCATAATATAATCGGATTATCATCTCGCGATGCGATCTATTAAACTTTCCGAAATTAACTCTTCATCGCATCTCAGCAAATTAAATCACACCGTAATCAAACTAAATAATACTCCTATGATACGAGTAAGCTAGAAAGATAAACAAAATCGGATCGAAGAAAAAACGGCTACAAACCCTAAAAGAGGTGTGGAAGACGAAGTGTCTTTAGATGAGTTTATATAGATCGTGTATTAGGGCTAATGCGATCTATCATAGCCGTTGGAGTCGGGATTAAATATCAACGGATGTGGATTAGGCCCAAAGTTATCCTGTAAACGAGGCCCAATACTATCGGGCCTTGACAAGAGACTCAATAGAATCCTCGATGACCCGACCCGTCCAATTAGTTGATCCGACATCTTAAATCATGAAAACATTTTGCAAAATCCACCTTTGATGTAACTTGGATCTACCTTACGCGATAAAATTGAAATTCAATTCAATCTTACAGAGGAAGATTCTTTGTCTCTTTTGATAAATTCTCGGGGGAGGAATCTGCGACTCTGTCGGTTTTTCAGCGTTGTTACACGAGCTGCTCCGTGTGTGTGTGCGTGTGAGAGAGAGATTTAGAGAGCTATGTGGAGTTCGATTGCGAATTTGAAGGAGAATTTGAACAAGATCGCGCTCGATGTGCACGACGATGACGACGACGAAGAAGAAGATCTCACCAATTATGGTTCTACCAACGGAGTTGGTCATGTCCCTGACTCTGATCGGAGGAATTCTAACGGATTTAGGTACTCCAGGTCCGTATCGAGGTCTCCGATGGCCAATGGAGTCGAATCGCCTGTTAATAACGAGGTATTGGTCATTTTGGAATCGTCTTCTTCCTCCGTTTGTATATTGGGAATGTTGCTTAATCAGCTTGTGTCTAAGTTGGGTTTTGTGTGTTAAAACTCTGAGGAATGGTTTGCTTTGTAGATTGAGAGATATAAAGCAGAGATCAACAAGCTTCAGGAATCAGAATCTGAAATCAAAGCTCTATCGAAAAATTATGCAGCTCTGTTAAAAGAAAAAGAGGTGAACAAATGTGTTTGAGTTTTGCATTTCGCTTTCCAAATACTGACGTTCATGTTTTTCTATACATTGGTTTCGTGCTCTTTCCTCACATAGATACCACTTGTTTTACAGGATCAGATTTCCAGATTGAACAATGAGAATGGCTCATTGAAGCAAAATCTGACTTCAACTAATACCGCTCTTAAAGAGGCTAGAACAGATCTTTCCAGGGCATCAAACAATAATGCTATCATTGTAATGGTATGTTGTATTGGATGAAACTGATGCTTCTCGTGATAACGAGGTTAAGGTTTCAAGCATTAGACTAACTTATAGTCTTCTTCAGGGAAACAGTGATCATTCACCCAACAGGTCACAAAAATCCCCAACAAACTGGAAAAGTCGAAACCATATGTACAATGGCAATGCCTCGAAACAAAACGGGATAGACAACGATACTGAGTCACATAGAAAGGAAAAGGTATCTCGATTGTTTAATTTACCATTTTCTTAAGATAAAAAAATTTGTTTGTTAGATACAAATATTATGGTGTTACGTATACCTTTTTCTCTGTAATGAAAGTGCCATAGATTACTCTGGTATTGCAAAAATCTAAGCAACAATCTGAATGTCTTTTAGGAGTTTGCAGATATGCTTGAAGAGAGAACGAGGTCAATGGCATCTGCTCAGGCTAGAGAGCTTGAGAAAGAGCGAGAAAAATTAGAAAAATTGCAGATTTCACTACAAGGTATATAGCAGCACTAGTAGCTTGGCTGTTTCTTTCTGTTTCTTATCTAGTATTCTCTCACTCACCTTGCTTTTATCAGAGGAGCGGAAACAAAATCAGTCTTTCAAGGAGGAACTCCAGTCTTTGAGGTTAGATAAGGAAAAAGTAAGTTTGTGGTGACTTAGGCATTGCCATTTCTTACATTACAGTTTTTTAATCTGATTAATGAGCAGACATTATTCCAACTGTGTGCAGACGATCATGGAGATTAGTAAAGTACGTAGTGAATTGGATGCAAAATTAGCTGAAATCAAACAACTGCATATGAAGCTGAATGGTCGGGAGCAGCACGCTGCTGGAATTTCCATAGAAAATCTAAAAGAGGTTAACAAAGCTCTGGAGAAGGAAAATAATGAGCTTAAGGTTTATTGCTGTACAGAATATTTATTTTCTTGACACGGAATTTTTCATTTCTAGTTTTTCTCTGAGCTTCGGACTCTGAAACTGATCTACATTTTTCTCTGTTGTGTAGTTGAAACGAAGTGAACTAGAGGCTGCTTTGGAAGCAAGCTGGAGATCAACAAGTAGCAAACTCTTCCCAGAGGGCACAAAGGTTCTTTAATTCTAACTTTTGATCCACTTGTTCCTTTAACCAAAAGAAAGTAAAATTTGTGGACAAGCATTTATTGTTTCTTCTGCTTTTCTCATGTATAATTAGGAGAAGTCTGAAAGCTTCCTTGGGAAAGAAGATATGGAGAAAACTTTACAGAGGCTGGAAAAAGATTTGGAGGAAGCACGAAGAGAAAAGGATAAGGCAAGGCAAGAACTGAAGCGGCTCAAACAACATCTGTTAGAAAAGGTTATTTATCTCAATGCTAATTTCCTACAAACTCTATGATACAAAGCTTGTTCAGAATCTTTACCTGCAATATTTTGCAACGTTAACCCATTGTCCTATGATTGTAATTCTTAAGATAAGCTTCTCTTCTTGGTATATTTTACAGGAAACTGAGGAGTCTGAGAAAATGGATGAAGATAGTAGATTGATTGAAGAACTCCGCCAGACGAATGAATATCAAAGGTCTCATATACTGAGTTTAGAAAAAACTCTGAAGCAGGCGATGGCTAATCAGGAGGAATTCAAGTCGAGCAATGACCATGAAATCCGGAAGTCGAAGGGTATAATTGAAGACTTAAATCAAAAGCTTTCAAATTGTCTGAGAACAATAGATTCCAAAAATGTGGAACTTGTAAATCTTCAAACTGCTCTTGGCCAGTACTATGCTGAGATTGAAGCTAAGGTTGGTATTACTAATCATAATGAAATTTGAAGTTTTCCTCTTTTGAGGTGTAACCTTGATTCATTATGTATTCCGGTTCTTAAATGTTTTGTAGGAGCATTTTGAACGAGAACTTGCAGTGGCTAAAGAAGAGGCGATAAAACTCTCAGCACATTTGCAAGTAAAGTCTCTAATTATATCCTTTGTCAACTATATAATATGTCATACGGATTTCAATTAATGTCATTCTTCTGTTTCTTAAGGATGTTAACGAGCGGTTAGAGTCATCAAAGAAAGATAAGGAGGAAGTCATATCTAAGCTGTTACACGCCGAGAATATTGCAGCAGAATGGAAAAACAGAGTAAGCAAGGTTGAAGAAGACAACGCAAAAGTAAGACGTGTTCTTGAGCAGAGCATGACTAGGCTCAATAGAATGTCAGTAGACTCCGATCATCTCGTTGATAGGTGGGCCAATAACTTTTATTTACATGCTGTACCAACAGTAATATTGTTCATTCAAACTCTGATCTTCATGTCATATTTTATTTCTTCAGGCGTATTGTTATCAAGTTACTGGTTACATTCTTCCAAAAGAATCACAGTAAAGAGGTAAGATTTGTGGAACTAAAAATTTAAAAATCTTTTTTGTTCTACTTAGCCTCTCAATCAACTATATTTCTCTTAATATATTTTCGTAGGTATTGGACTTAATGGTGCGAATGCTGGGATTCTCAGAGGAAGATAAACAGCGAATAGGATTGGCACAACAAGGAGCCGCCGGCAAAGGTGTTGTTAGAGGCGTATTAGGCTTCCCGGGCCGCTTAGTCGGTGGCATCTTAGGTGGTGGTGGTGGTGGTGGTTCGCCGGATTCACATCCTAATATAGCTTCAGATAATCAGGTACCAGCAGTGGCTTCATTCAAAAAATATAAAAAGAAACTCTGAAAATAAAAGATCATTTGATTGATTTTTCTTGTCTATTTTCTCTGGCTCAGTCTTTTGCAGATATGTGGGTTGATTTTCTTCTTAAAGACGCGGAAGAGCGAGAGAGAAGAGAAGCAGAAGAAGCAGCAATCAAAAACCAAGAGAAGACTAGTACTACGATGCAGAGACCAAGTTATGACCAATCTGATTCGGAGTTTTCAACGGTGCCTCTTACATCATCGGATAGTAATCAAAGGCTCTCGAGATTACTCGCTTGACCCTGATATGGGTATGTGTATACATATACACGTTTTATAGGAATCTTAACTCTGAATCTCTTGCTTTTTCCCTTGTAATTATCTCTCTGTCTCTCAACTTTATTCCATTGATTCTTTTTTTTCTTCTATATATACAGAAGTTTGAGGAAAATAAAAATAATCTGAAGCTGTTTTCTTACGATGTATGCTATGAACGAGAAGACTGAATAGATATAATGACGCACATTTTATATTTGGTAAATTTATACTGGAATTAGGACTGAAATTAGGCCCAAAAATCGAATAAATAGATCTGAATTTTGTTTTCACAGGTTGAGCTTTGAATAGGTCAAGTTAATACACAGAAGTTCAAAACGAAACATATCATGAACTAAAGTATTCTCCATGATTAAGCAGAAACAAACAAAAAGGCAAATCGTTTTCGAATTAACAAAAAAAAAAGGAACTGTAGTCAAAATGTGATAAAAAGACATGTGGGCCATTACCGGCAAAATATGACCACCAATTTCACATGGTCAAAAGATTTAAACGAAAAATTAAGCAAACCAAAAAACACACATACATCTCTGTTTTAACCCAACTTCGCCTTGAGAGAAGCAATGGGAATCTTAGAAATAACCATTTCATCAAACACCAAGTACTGTTTCTGCAACTCCTTCATCGCTTTCTCTGCCAATGGATCAACCTTGTCCTCATGTTTCTCATACATCAATGGCACTGTGTGCAACACCACGAAGCATATGTACACCAGTGTCAGGAAATTGCACCAGTTCCCCACCACCGATATGATCCATAGACCCACAACAACCTGATAACATTATCAATCAGATATGAAACTAACTTCTCATACGAACTTGACTGCTTTCTAGATTGTTTCAGTACCAAAGATTGAACATACCATCAAGAACTTCTTCAGGTCCCTTCCTAAAGCAATGCTTCGTAGGATAACGAACGCTTGGTTTACTTCATTTCTCAAGGAAGAAGCAATCACAACGAAAGCCTCCTCAGGAACATGGATTTCTGGAATTTTAGGTGAAGTCCTGCAACAACAAAGGTTTTGAGAAACCAAACGAAGAACAAACATCTAGTAATTAACATGATGATCAAAGGCTCTAAAACTTACTTGTTAATAAATGTGTGGACATTGGACCACAAAAACAAGCCTCCAAGAGCGAGTATCGAAACGTGACACAAAAGACTCAACAAATGATACTCAACGAGCTCAAACAACACCCAAATAGCAGTTGCGACGCCAAGAACAGCAGCTGACAGTTTTTTATCCCTCCACAAGAACACATCAGCAGCTGCAAAGAGCCATTGGACAAGAAGAATTAAAGCAACCACATGAGAAAAGGACTAGCAAACAAACCAAAACATACAGGCAGAGATTCAAATTCATCAAAGCTTAGAATCCAAAAAACATAATATAAGCCAAGCATTCTTCAAAATGGTGTAGCAAAATTACTTCAACATGTAATCGTCTATTCATCTTATTCTAATCAACATAATCCCTACAAATTCCAGTCTTCGTGAATCACATGAGGTTCCATTTCGCACCGGGAACAAATCTTAGGTGCAACAAAGTATTTTGAACAGGATAGTCACCGAACAATTAAACGCAATTCGCTTCTAAAACTAATTTTATACATCATATCATCAGAAATCCGATCCTGTACGAGTAACTAGACCTTCATATTGCAGATCAAGCATCAACGCATGAGAAAATGAGGATCAAAACCAGAGAAAATGTACTAGAAAGAGGAGATGAGAGATTAAAAAGAGGTAAAACCCGTACGTTTTCCACCACCGAGAACTTTGTGAACAGGCTTCTCTCTTCCAAAGAGACGATAGATCTTCGCTTTCACAGCCGAAGGCGAATCCGGTTTCTCGTACTCGGATTCAGACGACGACGACGAATCGTGATGGTGAATCTTCTCGGCAATCTTCTCCATCAGAGATTCCTCCGCCGGCACAGATTTCTCGATTTCTTCCGCCATTGGTTTTTCAATTGAAATTCTACAGAGTAAACTCAAATTATCCCAACGTGGAGAAAGAGAGGAGGAAAATGCAAAGAGAAATAATAGGTTTACACGACGCTTTATAACCACGAACCTGAGGTTTGGGACCCGAGCGTGTGTCCGGAGAATATTTTGAAATAGGTTTGTTAACGGCGTTAGTATTTTGGTGAACGGACGTTAAAGTTTGGTTGACGGAGATGTAGAGACTCGAACGTGTAGGCAACCAAAAGGTGGGAAACGCTGATGGTGCGTTGGGCGTCATACCTTTCCATTAACTGACACCACGAGTGGATTCAGGACACGTGTCCTTGTCGGATTGCGAAATGGACGGCTCAAACATAATGCTGGTTATGAAGCTTCAAACGACGCCGTCGCTTGGCTTTCGTCAGCGATGAATAAAACTCTCTCCCTCAATCAGCGGCTTCCGATCAAATATAATTGTGAAGTTACATAATCGAATAATCCTAAATACATACAATCTGAAAAGAAAGAGTAATTATAAAGTCTTTTCTTTAGCCAAAAACATGTGCAGCCTCGTCTAGACTCTAGATCGAATGTTAAAAATATTAATGGGGAAGGTAAAGTACATGGGGGTCCCAGTGATTAACCTATAAACAAGGTTTTAATAATCAAAATCAGATTGAGTTTAGTTACTTCATTACAAAGACATATATACCACTTAGTTCCAACAACCAACACCACAATGGCACAATATATAGCCGAGAAATGAAAGCGAGTTCGTGGACTAGTCCAAGTCAATTAACACATTCACACAGTCACACTCCTCGTGACATAACAAATATTTCAAAAACACAAATAATCCATATGTTCACAAATCACACTACTCAACCTCTATAGTATTTATGACTAACGTGCGCCTTAAGATAAAAAAAAAAACACACTACCATCAGCCAAAAACTTTAGGTCACGTAGAGAGAATGCAGAATTGCTTGAAACCAAACGCTTCTAAAAATCCAGGTATGTTGCGATCGACGTATATGAAACGTAACAATCACAACTATGTTAATTCAATTTACATTTTTGAAGATAAAAGTGTATACGCTTTAAACAAACATTCTTTTTTCTTTTCCTCGACAAACTCACGTATATTATTAATTATGCGGAAACATTTATTGCTTCAGCAGTTAACCACAAGAGAGAAAGCAAGATTCTTACCATGGCCATGGGTTTGTCGTTTAAAACCATAATCCATATTTTTAAATCAACCTTTTTATATTTGAACCAACGAGTCTACGACGGTAACTTGGTCAACTACTTGCGGGAAAAAAATAAAACTACACTATCTTAAGTCTTCTTGTTCCCAACTTTAGAAACATCAATATTTCCAACATTTAAAAGACTTAACTAAAAGTAAGTATTGGTGAAAAAACAAACGAAAAGTAAGTCAGACTGTTCAAACTCAAACCCTTTATTAATGTCACAAAACAAAACACGACCGCATATTTGATTTCGAACCGCTCATATTGATAGGAAAAAAAGAAATAGTAACGTCTACAGATTACTGATTAGGATAATATATGGGAAGCAAATCATTCAAATTGGATTAAATTTCGATGGTATTAATGCCAAACTCCACTTTTGACGGAAAGTTTAATTACAAATCAGTAAAGTTGTAATGAAACGGAGCAAAAATAATAATTCTCACCCTAATTAGGCGAAGGGATCTATGTGATTATTATATCATCTTCTGTTTCTCCTCCGATCGGCGGCGTACTGCGAGAGCGGCACAACTTCCGACAAAGGTGTCGAGAGAGGCGTAGATGTCGGCGTCGGAAGCGGCGAGTTCCGGCAGACAGGACAAGATCCGTTTAGTTTAAGCCACGCGTCAAGACAACAAAGATGGAAGTAGTGTTTACACTCCGGCATCATCCTCAGCATCTCCGCTTCTTTATACTCACACAAGCAGATCGAACACGTCGTATCTCCTCCGCCGCCAAATCCATAGGAAGACGCGGCGGATGTTTCCTTGGAAAAGTGGAACTTAGGGTAGGAGTTTATGACGGCTTGATCGAGACCAACGACGACGTCACCTGCTTCGAGATCGTTGTCTTCTTCGGCGACAAAGATTATGCGGGGGAGTATAACGCTTCCGCCACGATCACCGGTAGATTCAACGGCGGTCGTGCGGCGGCGAGAGTCACGGCAACAGATGTAGGAGGATAAAAGAACGGTGGAGAGGAGGACGAGGAAACCAAGAGCTATGGCTATGGAGTAGCCAAAGCCTAGAGTTGTGAGGTAAGAGTGGGTGGGAGCGTGTGGCGGCGACGGTGGAAGAGGAGGGTGGAAGAGGAAGACGGCGGAGGAGGAGGAGGCGGTTGACATTTGATGGTTAAGAAAGAAAATGGGTCCATGTGGTAGAGAGAGAGTGAAAGAAAGTGTGATAGAGATTTTAATTTTTTAATTTTCTGAAAATTATTTTTAAATTAATTAGTTAGGAGAAGAGAGAGTGAGAGGTGGGTGGAAATTGCAGATGATGCATTTAATACAATTTTGGAAACTGAAATTTGCATTTATTAATAAGGTTCTTGTCAAGGTTTTATTAATTAAGTGGCCCAACCCCAAGGAATATTGTTTGTTTATTTTTGTTTATAATTTTAAATTTCCTTATTTTTGAATGTGTTCGAGCCTTGTAACATTGACTGTTTAACAATAGTATTTGTCAATTTCGTATCAGACGGGTCCAAACAGAAAAGAATCATGCTCATTCGCTGTCCATTTCGTTGAAGTTTGTTCTGATTCGCTTTGTGTGTGATTCAAGGCTTCTCAATTCCATTCCTAAACGTTCTTGCTTCTTGGGAATTCGTAATAAAGACCCAATGTTTGAAAACTGCTAGTTAATACATAAACTAATCACGAGGTTGGACAAGTAAATTTGAAATAATTCAAACAATTACTAATAGTTTAACTAGCAAAAATGCATGAGTTCGAAATTCTAGGAAACATACTCGTATATATATCACCATCATGCTGACCTAATAATGACAAAAAAGTTTTGTAACAAAGCCAAGTTAACACAATGCTCAAAAACGTTAACTAATATCCTAATTACGTATACCTTTGGAAACCGAAACCTCAAAGATCGATTTTTTTCTTGCACTCAACATCTTGAATCGCTTGTCGCGTGACGTTAACAGCCATCGTGCAGTTCATTTTAACCGTGACGTTCTTCTTTACCATCCCCAATATCTTCACTTTACCACTAACCCTAGTGTAACTCCACACGTTGACAAGACCCGACAACATTACTTCTCGAGCCAAACCAGGATCCGACAGTAACCGATCCGTCATTATATCAACCGTCATGTTCATCCTCACCGTCCGATGAGCTCTCGCCTTCCCCGGCGGTCCACGTGCTTCTCCCACCACGGTTCCTTTGTAATATATATCCGTTGTGGTGTTCGAGTACCTAAACGACGCCGTGTTCGGATTCTTGACAGACACGTCGACGATCAACGAGATGTTTGTGCCTAACAGTTGGATCTGAGTCCCGATGGTTGAGTCTAGGCCGTTGACTGTTACGCCGTTCAGTTTTATGATCGGGTCTTTGACTCGGAACACCGTGAAGATCAAAGTCAACACGATCGTGACTAGTATCAGAGATGTGGCAGTGACGCAGATTAAGCATTTGATTCCGTTTCTTCGACGACCGAGAGCGTTCTTGTTGTGGGAGAGGGACTCGTTGCTTACCGGAAGTACGGTGGCCGGAGCTAGCGGATGAGCATCTGAATTAGTCATGGCGTTTTGATTTTCTTGTAGGTGTAATTAATTACTTATGGGTTATGCGTCATTTATATAAACCAAACATAGAAATGGAGAATGTTGACTTTTATATTCAAGAGAAAACAGGAAAATAAGGAAAGAAAGTAAAAGAGAGTTAATGTCATTGGCCTAACGACTAACAAAATTCAATAATTGCAGTGGAAAAATGGGAATGGTAGTAAATTGGGTCTGATTTTAACGGTCATGGGCGGGAGAAATGTAGACGCTGCATATGCTTATTTCACCAATTAGATTTCGCCAGCTCATTAGAACTTGGACTTTTGGCTCAAACGTCCGAATATTCGAGAAAACTTGTTTGGTGTAAAGTGTAAACAGTTTTATACAAGATGAAAAAAAAAAATTCCAAAATGTGGCCACTGGCCAGTCTCGTTAGTTGTATGAATTAAGATCCAGTTTGCTCCTAATAACCTTTCTAAATTACGGTTAGCTCGTAACAACTTACATCCATGCATACATTTACCCCCTTTTGTTACTTTGTGTAAAGTGTAAACTCAATTACTATTTGATTATTTTTATATATTTTTCATAATAACAATGGATTCTCGACCAAATTAAAGTTCACACTATTGTGGTTTATATCTCTCGACATCATGACAGAAACTAGATACATGCATTTTATAAAATAATAAATAAACCAAACCACGGAAACATACATCATACTATTATTTGCGAAGTCAGAATTTCGAATGGAGGCACCACGTTAACTTTCAGCCGCGGAATTACCGAGATGCCCTTAATAAAAATCTATTATTAAATCTTGAAAATTTCCGTTTTTTAGTTATTTTGTTTCTGAATTAACGCAAAAAAATTATAGAATTTATCCTAATCAAATTAAATTATTTATTTTAAAAAGATACTGTATAATGTTTTTGTGTTTTTATAATATCTTCTTTTTATATATTTTTATTATTAACTAGATTAAGGCCCGCGTATACGCGGGTATATTTTAAGATTTTATAATAAAAGCATGGAAAATATTAAACAAAATTTGATCATTTTTAAACGTAAACAAAATAATATTGAAAACCCGATAAAAATATTTAAATAAAATAAAATTGGTAATACTTTTACATTTTTATTATAATTGATTTTTCTTTTGAATTTATGATATGACAAAATGAATTAATTTGTTTTAATATTATTTTTATCCAATACATAAACACTTACACATGTCTAAATCTGATCAACTGATTAATTAATCAAACTTTTATTATTCCATTCAAGAGATTTTAATTGATGAAATCTTTATTTCAATTTTTTTTACCTAACAAAAATTGAAAATCAAACTATTTAAAATTAGAATATCGATTATAATTTTTTAATTTTAGTTAATTGCTTGAATATTATTTTGTTAGTTTTCTATTTATATTTTTTTTTCTCAATTTTTTTTTGCCTCATACCATTATAAATAATATATATTGATATTTTTCCTTTTCGAAATGCATTTTTTTCCTTTTCTTAATAGATGTAACAAAAGAATTTAAATTATTTGTTTTCTGTTTTTTTATTACTTTTAATGGATTTATTATTTTTTCATTTTAATTATTTTTATCTGATTTTCTAATTTTTATTTAGTCTTATACATATTAATTTTTTATTTTTTATTCTATGACACATGTTACGATCTTCATACTTTCATAATTTTTTTTTTCTAAAACAAATGTCACAATTTTGTGAGTTATAAAAATCATATGTATCGCAAAACTGTCAAAAACATGATTTTTAAATTGGAGAAATAGAATCAAAGGGATTCTGATGAATTTGCTTTGATGAATTTATGATTGAGAAACTTTGACTCTCTTTTATAGGGATTCAAGTAACCTATTCAGTTATATGAAATTTAGTTTACATAACATTATTTATTTCATTATACAAATATGATTTTATTTATTACATTATTTTGATTTTATTATTTGTTTGGATAATATTAATTTGATTACATAACATTATACAAATAGATTTTATTTATTACATTATTTTGATTTTATTATTTGTTTGGATAATATTAATTTGATGAATGGAAAACCTTTCTCTATTAGGATATGACAAATATATTTTTATTTCTTTTAACTGTAATGGATTAATTTTTTTAAAAAAATTCCTTTATCTAAAAGCATCCAACTTTATATAATAAAAAATTTGATGAATGAGAAACCTTTTTCTGTTTGGATATGGCAAATATTATTTTTTCCTTTTTGATATAATAGATTAAATTAAATTTCGTTTTTTTTAATTAACATTTATTCTGGAATTTTTTTTTAAGTTCTCTTTTTTTCTAAGACACGTGTCACGATCTTAACGGACATAAACTTAAAAGTGACACATGTCGCGATCCTGAATTTTATAAAAATCCTACGTGTCGCAACCACGTCGTGCGCATCCAGCTTTATATAATAAGATCAGTTTACTCTTAAAAATTAAGCTTCTTAAGTTTATTCTAAAAAAAATTCTTATCAATTTAAAAATATCTTCATTGCCACTAATTTATAAGAATATATTATCTGAAAACCTAGCGTTAATAACCGACCAAACTAATATATATATATATATAGATAGCTATAACCTAACAAGAACCTCTTCTTCGTTCGTATTTCTTCGTATGTTAATTTTTATACTATATCTTCTTCCTTTTGTTCTTGCTTTCATGTATCATGCTATATTGTTCTTTTTCAGTATCTTAATTATTGTTCATGAAGATTCTTAAAGATCCGTAACTACATCTTTGTTTCTTTTGAATTCAGTGTCTACGCTTCAACTTTTTTCAAATCATGGTTTCGTCACCAAAGGAATCTGAAAGTTCTGAGAGGGACATCTTCGAAAGATACAAAAAAAAGTATCTACAATTCTCATATTTTTAAACAACTTAAACATCATAAAACCAAAGCTCTAATAAGGTTCGTCCCTAACATGATCTGCTATGTTAATAATCTTTTTAAATCAGAATCAGAGAAAAAAACTTTACAAATACGATGAGGCTACATTAAGTTTTTTCAGCTTTTATGGGCTTTGTTATATTCATAAATTCATTGATTGATATAACTAACTTTATTAGAAACAGGACATGGAGGACTGAGCAGAACCCTAATCTCTCAATGACGTGGAATCTAACAAGGAAGAAGCTAGAAGACCAATGAATATTGCAGAGAAAAATTAAAGACCTTCTATGTGATTCTGTAAGATTTGAACTTTTGATCAACAAACATAAAATATCAGAGCAATATAACTATAAAAAGGAGAGAAAATTTACCAGACGAAATAAGAGAAAAATCTAACATACCAGGTTCAGAATTTGGAGGATGGCATGATAAAGCTGGAATATTTCCTATCGAAGGAGTTGATGCTATCGGAAAAACACATATGAAGGTTAGTGCGAAATCTCTTAGTATTTGCAAAGTGATTGGTATTTAACATTTATTAGTATGCAAAGTGATTTTCATGAATGGAGCCACCACGTTAACTCTCAGCCGCGGAATTACCAAGATGCCCTTAATGAAAATCTATTATTAAATCTTCTGAATTTCTTTTTTAATTATTTCACAATTTCGTTTTTTATATAAAAGTTCATTATTTCCTTATTAATTTCCTTATTAAATATTGATAATTATCCTTTTCTTTTTTCCTCGATTTATATTTATCACTTAAATAAATATCCTAACTATCATATTACCGCACCACTTTTCTGGAAGAAATCAAATAATTAGGTATTTTAAAAAAACTCTAGATTTTACAACCGACTTAGTCCTATTTAACAAGCAAAATAAACAGAATTTCGTTTCTTCTTTTTCGTGTTCTAAATTCTTCGATTCCATATTTCATCTTTTGTCATGTAGGTTTATAGTTATTGCTAGATCTTAGTTGTATTAGATCTAATGTTTAACTGATTATTCGTTATTTTCTGGAAATTTTATTCAAAGAATCGCATCTAACTTCTACTTCTTTTACCTTTATAACAGTAAATTCCAGGTTTGTTAGCTAATTGAGTCAAAGAAATCAACTATGGTACCAACTCAAAAAAAATGCATTGACAAAAATTAGTGGTATGTACATCTTTCGTTTTTATTTTCAACTTAAATCTTATGAAACCCTAATTTGAATAAACTTATCTAAAAAGATTTTGTAAAATGTGGGTTTAGGTGTGCGGATTGGGGGGGGAGGGGGTTGTTATTTGGTAGTGGTGTTACAATGTGGGGTTTGGGTTATTTAGGGGGTGGTGTTACACTGTGGGTTTGGGTTTAGGGTGTAGGGTTTATATTGATGGGGTAGGGTTTAGTTTTTGGTGTATTTTAAAAAAACTTGAATTATTACAGAAGAATTTCATAATAAAAAAATCATTTATTTGAAATTTATATCTACTTTCAAAATTACATTCACAAATAGAAAAAAAAACTAAAACAACTAAAGAAAATCCAGAATTGAAAGATAACAAAACTAATAAATTTTTAAAAGACCTCAACTATATAAAGATAGAATCTATTTCAAAAATATTGAAAATTTTAACTATCGAAATGAATTGGTAGGTGATATGCAAGACACAAACAAGACATAATAGATACATAAGTAAAAGAAAAGAAAACAGTGAAAAAGAAGATGAAAAATTTAGAAAAGAAAAAGAAAAGTCGAACATGAGGAAAAAGAAAGGAAAGAAGAAATAATGGAATGTGAAGAAAATTCCAAAACAAATGAAGAATATTACGTAGAAGAACAAGAAAGAGAAGATAAAAATAAGACACCTCAAGATTACAAAAATAAGAAGTTTGCGAAAACAAAAACGATGAATACAATAAAAAGTTGTACTACTTATATTATTTAAATCTTTAATTAATAATTGTATTTAAAAAATATTGTACCCGCACAAGGTGCGGGACAACCACCTTGTAACCAGTAAAAATCCTTAGCAATCCAACAACAACATCAACATAAAAGTCCTTAACAATCCAATTTAAAAAAAAAAAACATAATAGAAATCTCCGATCCGATCGTCTTTGTTTATGGATTGTACGTTATTGATAATTATATTATAATTTTAAAGTAAGACATGGCGGAGATTAAAAGAAGTCGCGGAGGGAAGGGAGCTTGATCTCACCCTGAGTCGAGATAGGAAGGGTGATGTCACCAATAACAGGGATGTCGAAGGTTAATCCAATGTCGAGTTGATAGTCAATGTCCCAGTCCGCGCCAACGTCCGACATAAGACTAACCGCAATGCCATAAGCCACCTTAACCGGTACGTCCAAAACCGTCGTGCCGCCTCCAACCAACGAACCCGGGTCCTGTATGGTCCCCGACGCAATCGTCCTATATAAGCAACCACAAGCATGCTTTATTAGCACATGATGAACATACATCACACATGACGCGTGCGCAATCTTACATAAACAAATATTGTTACGATAACGCGTATAAATAACGAACGCACAATTATAAAGTTATATGTCATCGAAAGATACACCATTTGTGAGAAAACCACACTTGGTCATTTCGGTGATGACCCTTAGGCAGACAAATTACTAACAAAATAACGAAATTGTCGACAAACTATAAAATATTATGTAGATCATTAGATCGAATACATAATGCAAATAATCCTTTTTTACAGATTCTCAAAGTTCCCACATTAAAGAAATGTGACACAAATATTAGAGTAGATCCGGAATACGCACGGATTATATCTTCATTTTTTTCTTTGAAACCAGTTTTTTTTGGCTAGATAGGTTAGGTACACCGTACACGTGAACAAATTTCATTTGATTCGTCCGATGAAGGGGTTGGTGTAAATCAGACGGTACACAAAAAAAAGAAAGAAGAATGAGAAGAGAACCTTGCGTTACTCTTGAGGATGAATGAGATCTGGCAAATAGGGATCGATTGAGAGTAAGGATTCTTGACGGAAACCTTGGCGTGATAATCGACTCCTTGACGTGACACGCCTTTGAAATCGACGTCATCTATGGTGGCTTCCGGCGTCGGAATGTTTGTCAGCTTCTCCGCAATGAAACCTTTGGCTTTATCCAAAAAGCTTGAGATCGATGATCCCTTTTCTTCTACCTCCTTTTGCTCCGCTGATGCCATTCTGCTCTCTCTCTCTCTTTTTTCTTCTTCTTGCTGTTGATCTTCCGATTACTTACTTCCAAATGATCAGATCTCTCTCTATCTCCTTTATGGCCTTGTTGAATATCTATATATATATATATATATATATTTGTTTTCTTTTAAGGATAGTTAATACCTTAATTGCCGGAGCGTGACATTATTCTATAGTTTTTTGGTAAAAAGTAAAAACTGATAAGGTACAATTGACCTTTTTTTATTACAAAAATGGAATAAAATACAAACACCATCCATTATGCATATCCTAAGGAAAGATCCGCTTCTTTTGTTTTGGATGGGACCATCATGGTCATGACGTGCATTCTTACTTGTTTGATTGGTCCAATCTTCTTTTAAATGAAATTTATATGATATTGTACAAAATTATAGCAGTTAATCTACTAATTTGTAAGTACTGTTAATGAATTAGCAATTGTTTATTAATTATGACTGGATTCTTTCTTTTTGTTATAAACTTATAATATATAGATACTTACACTTTTATAAAATTTTAAACTACGTGTTGGCCAGTCTTACAACCAAACTATTGTTTTTGGCAAATAATCCAAAGAATAAGTCAAAACATATTTTTGCTAATTTAGAAACATGGCGTGAGAAAATATGCTTTGACTAATTCTTATACAGTATTGAGTAGTGACATACATACTGTATATGATTAATTACAAAGCTTTTTATTCGTTGCAGTATACGAAACGTTGAACGTTTGAATTGATGTTATACACAAACAAATTGGTAAAATATATATATAATTAGGTGAAATGATTAGAGAGGAACTGCATTTGGCGAAGAAGAGGAGTTAGGGTCTGCATAAGCTCCTCACAAGGATGGTTATGGATTCCTTCGTAAATTGTCTCCACAATGCTCGTTTCCTTGGACAGTCTCTGAACTTGCTTCTTCACGGCACACATGTGTTGTGTGCATCTATAACAGCTCCTTTTGATTTATCTCATTTCCAAGTTCCGATTTCATGTGGTCATAAGTGTCACGTACGTGTGAAAGAAAAACAAATCAAAAACAACTTTCTAGAGATTATTACCTGGGATACAAGCTATTCTTAACGGATTTCTGACCATACTTTCTCCATCTATAACCATCATCAAGTATATCTTCATCACTCTTTGTGCGGAAAGCAAACCTCGGATTTTTCGTTGCCTTCTTTTTCGTATGATGATGAGAAGAATCGTGGCCATCCATTGAAGACGAGATGTGGTGAATTAACGTAACGGATGTGATTTTCTTATCAAGATCCACACACCCACCCTTTTTTTTAGAAAGAATCCTACATGTGAGTTGTATAAAAAGGTTGAGGAATTAGCCAACTACATTCAACTACTTCAATTTAGATCAACAACAAAAAAATTCCTTCACGTAATCTCACACGTGTATATGACTAAAAAACCAATGACATAGGTTTGGTCTAGTTATTACAGTCACGTCCTTCCACACACATACTTACCATGTGTATGTCTTAAAAACTCAAACCAATGAAATAAGAATGAATCTCAGCAGCTGTCGTAGAATTTTCAAAATCTTTCTTCAAATGTAATTGGGCCTATTACTTTTAAAGGCCCATAAATGATAAACAAAAGGACATTTATAGCCCATAATAAAGTTGGGTTAATTATGCCTATTGAGTGAGAGTCTTCTTCTTTCACATCAACCTCGAAGATGAAAAATGCGCTTTCCTCCGTTTACCGGCGCCGGAAGTTATTTTATCTTCTCGATCGTCCATTACTTCTCCGCCGTTTCTCAGCTGAATCTGATCCATTGGCAGAGATTAAACCGGATTTTGAAGAATCTTTGGAGCATCTTCGAAACATTCCGCAACATGATTGGGAGTCCAGCGAACACCTTGGTTCGCTCATTTCATCTTACTCTTCTTCTTCTCCTCGAGTGTTCTCGCAAATCACGCGGCGTTTGGGTTCGTACTCATTGGCAGTGTCTTTCTTCGATTACCTGAACGAGAAATCTCAGTCTCTGAAACACCGCGATGAGTCTCTCTCCGTCACGTTTCAGTCAGTTATCGAATTCGCTTGCAAAGAAACTGACTCGCGGTTTAAGCTTCTACAGCTCTACGAGGCTGCTAAAGAGAAGAAAGTTTCGCTTACGTTCAATGCCGCCAAGTTCCTGATCAGCTGGTTTGGACGTCTTGGAATGGTGAATGAGTCTGTTCTCTTATACGAAGAACTCGATCCGAGCGTGAAGAACACGCACGTGCGTAACGTTTTCATCGATACGCTTCTGAAAGGTGGTCTTGTGGATGATGCGTTGAAGGTGCTCGACGAAATGCTTGAAAAAGAATCAATTTTTCCGCCAAATGAATCAACGGTGGATATTGTTTTCCACGGCTGGGTTTCGAAGAGAAGGCGTGTGACAGACGAGGAGATTACACAGCTGGTTTTGAGATTCGGCGATCGTGGCTTGTCCCCAAACCGTGTTTGGATGAAACGTTTAATCACTGCACTGTGTAACAATGGTCAAACCAATGTAGCTTGGGAAACTTTGAGGAAGATGATGAAGACGAAAGCTACCCTGGAAGTGTCTCCCTTCAATGCGCTTTTGACATCGTTGGGACGGAATATGGATATTGGTCAAATGAAAGCTGTGGTTGCAGAGATGGACGAAATGGGGATTCAAGCTGATTCAACAACTCTGGGGATTCTCATTAACACTTTGTGTAAGTCATTGAGAGTCGACGAGGCCTTGAAAGTATTTGAACAGATGCGTGATGATGGAAGTGTGATCAAAGCTGATGAGATCCATTTCAATACCCTTATCAACAGCCTCTGCAAGGTAGGGAGATTAAAAGAAGCAGAGGAGTTGTTGGAGAAGATGAAAATGGGAGAAGACTGTGTGCCTAATACAAGTACTTACAATTGCTTGGTCGATGGGTATTGCAGAGGTGGACAGCTTGACGTGGCCGAATCAGCTGTGTCTCGAATGAAGGAAGAAGGGATTAAACCGGATGTGGTTACTCTTAATACAATGATTAAGGGAATGTGTAAGCATCGCGGAGTGAGCAGTGCGGTTTCTTTCTTAATGGATATGGAAAGGGAAGGCTTGGAAAGGAATGTGGTTACTTATATGACAATATAATGCTTACTGCAAAGTCAATAACATTGAGAAGGCGATGCATTGGTTTGACCAAATGGTTGAAGCTGGATGCTCTCCTGACGCCAAGATATATTACGCTTTGATCTCTGGTTTGTGCCAAGCTAGACGAGACCAAGACGCGCTTAAAATGTTGGAGAAGCTGAAAGGAGCAGGATTCTCTCTTGACTTGAGGGCTTATAACATGCTCATTGGGCTGTTTTGTGATAAGAACAAGGCAGATGAAGTCTATGAGATGTTAACCGATATGGAAGGAGCAGGTATGAAGCCTGATTCAGTCACTTACAACACTCTCACTTCCTATTTCGGCAAACTCAAGGACTTTGAAAGTGTTCATAAGATGATGGAGAAGATGAGGGAAGATGGTTTTTCTCCAAATGTTGTGACATATGGTGCTATAATCCAAGCTTATTGCTCTTCTGGGGAAATGAATGAAGCGTTGAAGCTCTTCAATGACATGGGATCTCACTCGAAGGTCTTCCCAAACACAGTGATATACAACATTCTCATTAACGCCTTGTGCAAGCTCGGGAACTTGGAACAAGCGCTCGCTCTGAAAGAAGATATGATGAAGAAAAGGGTGAGACCAAACGTGGAAACGTACAATACTTTGTTTAAGATTCTTAAGGACAAGAACAAAGTGCTTGAACTAATGGATGAGATGGTTGAACATTCCTGTGAACCAAATCACGTAACCATGGAGGTTCTAATGAAGCTGCTCCCAGAAATTGGTGAATCCAAGTTGCTGAAGAAGTTCTTGAAGGGTTACTCTGTCGCTTCTCCAACCGACAAGGATGTACCTTTGTCTTAAACAAATGATGATGATTTGTGTTTGTGTCATATTTATGCAAATTCATCATTTTTTTTATCGCAAATTTTAAAGCTAAATGCCCTTTTCCATAGATTCATTACAGATGTCTACAGTGTGATAACGCCCATAAATCTTAATATGTTTTGCAATAACCTCGAACAATATAGTAAAACAGAAGAAGTATAAAATAAAGCGATTATGTAAAGCAGTCGGTTTGTACCACCACATTTGAAACAAATAGCACAAAAATGTAATGTAAAATGTAAACCACAGAAGTACGATAGTCAGTTTTCACGGTTTTGTCTGAACCGGTTATTGAACCACACACTCAACAAGTCTGGAACGAGACGGAGATGTTACCGCCACGGGCATCATTCTTAAAAAGTCCAATCGTCTTAACTGTCTCCATCGTCTCATCCTGGTAATGTTCAATTGTCTCTCCATTTGCTGCTGATGATAAAATGTACGGTATAGCTCCATAATGTTTTCTTCGCGCCTCCTGAAATCAGCTGCTTGTGATGCTATCCACAGGGCCATTTCAAGAACCATGTCATGCATCTTTACACCATATCCAGATTCATTCTCTATCAAGAAACCCATTATAACCAAATCACAGATCATATTATAACCCTTGATCTCGGCTATCTTTCTATCTTCATCTTTAATCATTCCCTCGCCTATCCAACAGTCTACCAAATCTTGTTTGCTTATATATACTTTTTGGGGTAACAGAGCACAATACAGGAAGCAAGCCTTGATATTCTCAGCAGGCAAATTATCGTAGGCAAGCTTCAAAATGGGAATTTCTCTGCCTGAAAATTCCGCGGTGGATGAAACCAAAACATGCACTTCACGATGCCATTCCCGCGCAGTCCTTTTGCGTGACATGGACTTGCCAATGAGATTGAGAGCAATGGGTAAACCACCACATCTTCTAGCAACAATTCTTGCAAGGTGGGGTATGTCTGGATGACTTTTTAACGTGGCTTCTCCTACTGTCTTCTGAAACAAATCCCATGCTTCTTCTGGGCTCAAACATGTAATCTCTACTACATCATCAACCCAATGCATTCCACATGCTTCCAGAGAACTAGCGGTGAATACAATTACGGATCCTGTTCTTCTGCTGGGATATGGAATTCCGATCTCCTCAAGATCAACTCCCCTGTGTATGCCATCCAATAACAACACAAAGCCCCTACTCTCTAAGACACTCGATATTTTTTCTGCCTTACGCTCTTTAGTTAATCTTTCCCATCCTAGGCCTAATATTTTGCAGATTTCCTCTTGTATACTCTCGACCTCGTCAGACGCCACAGCAACGGATAAGATCACAAGACCAGATAGATCCCCAATTTCTTCGAACTTATTTTTAATCCGAGTAAGTAGGGAGGTTTTTCCGACTCCAGCCACACCAAAAAGACCCAAAGTCCGACATTCATTTTCCGCAAGGCATTTCCATACCTTTTCAAGCAACATTTCTCTAGAAACGATTTTTTGAAGTGGGGGCATGTTTTTCACGTGAGACAAGGGAGCTCTCTCAACCAACACTTTAAAAACTCCATTAGATCTCAGAGCTTCAACTTCTTCCAACTTCATGCACACATTTCCATTATATATGTGCGTCGATGGAGATATCTGGGAAAAATCATCACACTTGGACAATTTATGACGTTCTGAGATGCTATCATCAAGGAGAGTACTGGCCTCCGATGCAATCTTTTCGGCACTCGAAACCCATTCTTTGACTTCAGGTTGCGTTTGTACACCTCTGTCATTTTCTTTCGACACCCTTTTCAACAACTCAATTATCATTGCATTGAGGTTTTCCACTTCCATTTCCAAAGCCTCCAGAATTTTCTCCAGGCCGTGTGAATACTCCTCTTTCAAACACAAAAAACAAAAAAGTGATAAGATGAAATATTTTGCGTTTTTTCAAGTTTCATTTCATATAAAATCTTAGGAAGAGACTGCTATAGTCTTGGGAAACGAGTTCAACTAATAGAATCACTACGGTCCAGAATACATAAATACAATATATATACTACTATTTCTTTGTTAATAACATAAAATCATATCAATATAATCCTTGTGCAAGAGATTAGATACTCACGAGTTAAATTCTCAGTGTCACTGTCATCATCAAGCTTCTTTGTGTTCAAGGAGGTTCCACTTGATGCCGCTTTGTTGATTCCAGCATTGACTAAATTCAGCAAATACAAAAGAGAGAACCAAAACAATTCTTGTTAGATAATAATCATAACTAAGACCATCCATGTTGAACAAAAAAAGTTTCAAGAGAAAGAAAAAAGGTAATCGAGGCTTAATCAACTGATACATTAACAGAGAACATAACACTAACACAAGTCAATTGGCAAAATCCAGCAAATGATTACTGCTGAAAACGGAATTTAAGTCACAACAAAGGAGACGCTTAGCACAAATCCCTTCTAATAAATCACAATAATCCTCTGGCGACGAAGGCAAACAACCCTAATTTTGGAAACTATATACACCCAAAAGAACCAAACATGTCAATGGATAAAAACAACAATACTTAACACAATTAGACCATGTGGATTCAGCTTGACTTAGCTCGTAATCATTTGATAAATTTCTTCCTACTTTTGAGAAGGAAATGCGAGGAAAAGTATAAGAGAAAATGGAAAGATCCGACTGAATAGAGTTGAAACTCTGATCGATTTGAAGATCCGCCTCGCTACCGACCACCCATCGACTAGAGTTGTAATCATTCGATTGCTTCACGACTGTGGAAATCTGAGACAGAAATCGTGAAGCAATCGAATGATTACAACAGAGCATGATCCAAGTATCATCCATCGGCAATACGGAATCGCCTTCAGAATCACCTTCGGATCCGAACTCTTTGCTATCGGAATTTAACCAGGTGAAAAAAACTTATTTGATTGCGGTTTATCCCACAAAACCGCAGAACCGTCACGGTTCAGGATGATAAATAGGGTAAAGATGACATTTCCCCTTGTCTTTGAGTCGACTCTTTGAAACTACATTATGTGCCTATTAATGTAGAATGTTTAATACCTCTTCTCCATTGACATGTTTTGAGTGCATAATCCATTAATGAGTAAAACCAGCTGATGATACCTCTTCAAATCTCTCGCGTGTCTTTAATGTCTTTAAAGTTTAATCATTAATGGATTATGCACTCAAAATATATTTTATACTCTTAGAAATTGCAAGGATGATCCATATGCAAATAGGATTCAGGATATATATCATGGCGCACAAAGTGTTATGATAAGTTTGATACGCTTTAGTGAAGTTTATTGTCAAAACATGTGTTGATAATGGTTCTAAACAAAAAAGATAAATATCTCAGACCAATCTCTACTCTTCAAGCTCTCTACTCGAACTCGAAATACCCGAATCAGAAAATAAATCAGTAAGAGATGAGACAAATTAGAAACAAATTAAGAGAATATTACCCATATTGCGCTTGGGAAGCAAGAGTATCACGCTGTGCTAGCTCAGCCACCAATTGAAAATCTTCTGAAGACGAGAGAGACTGGTAACTTGACTCTCAACTTCTTGAAAACGTTTACGACACAATGGTATGTTTTCCCATCGTGCTTAGGGTTTGAGAGGAAAGCAGATCTTTGTGCAGCACATTGACACCTTTGATTGGCTTGCTTTAGATGAATTAGTCCACTGCAAGTCTGCAACCTATGAGATAAAAGTTACAACTTGGTCTACATTTTTAAAATGTATATGTATATTCATTAAATATCACAATCCATTAGTTTTAATACAATTTATAAGCTTGTCGTGACCGATCATCGGTTGCTTATTCGAACAGATCATCATGTATTGTATAGTTTACACGAGTTTAAATAATATATAAACAAGTCGTGACCCATCGTTTGGTTATTGGAACAGATCATTTTATATCATAATAACACAAGTGACCAAATAACAAATCATTGAGTTAGGGAGTCTTTGGCCATTTCGTTACTACAACAAATCTCCAAGCTAATTAGGGTTCTTGATTGCCATCCTTGATTTGATGAAGCTAATAAAGAGGTTTCCATACTTTTTTTTTTTTTTTTTGGTATCAAGGTTTCCATACATGATTCTTATTACTTATTAGCTCCTAAGCTTAACATAAATAAATAAATAAATTATCTTCTCTACATCAATGGCACAACAGCTTTTACAAATTGAACTGCATCGGTCTAGTTCTCTATACAAATTTGGTTTCAGGAACGCAGTCGTACTCAATTTTTAAACACGAGTCTTAAAAGCCTTATGTGTAAAAATTTCATCAAGACTAATGGGTAGAATTTAAACCTCACGAATCAATGTCTCTAATGTTTCACATGCATGTATACATAATACAAGGTTAGAGGAAAGTTGAATGATTACGCAAATTTCGTCCAAATGCGATTCCGGCCAATATTTTAATATCTATAAGCAGTACATTTATTTAAAAATCTTCTTTGATATGTAAACTCTCTACGATTGGAGCTTTATGTTATTTGATATCAAACCGTTTAGACCGGTTTGGTTATTAACCCTACATCCTTTTACTATTTTACCCTTTCCATTTTAAGATTTGGGCCATGAATGTTTACATGGTTTCTGGTTTTTTTTTTGGTTTTTGGTTTTTGATTTTTTGCACAAAATATTTTTGAAAGAAAACAACTCAAAACTCATGAATTGTGGTTTTTGGTTTCTTTTTAGAAAATGATAAAAACTGTTAAAAACTAGTTTCCCTAGATTTTAGGAAATCTATTTGTTCAAAAACTTGATTGGCTAATGAAGTGGTTTTTGGAGAAACAAAATCCAAAATCTATTTCAAAATCTGCAAACAATCAAGGAAACGTCTCTTCTCGATAAACCGGGAAACGTCTTTTCAGTTTTCAGTTTTCCCCCAAATCGATGTCCCATAGTCTTCTACAATGCGTTCGATTTTCGTGGAATGCTCGATTTTTGTTTGGGTGAGGATGCTCTTGATTCGTAGTTCCGGCGATGTTTTAACTGGAAATCTTTCCGGGCTTCGATTTTCTAGAAACACACTAAACACAAATCGCCGGAACTACGAATCAAGAACATATTCTCGTCCTCCTAATCAGCTCAACTTCTCCCTCATTTCTGCGTTTTTATCAAGTAAATCTTAGATATCGATTCCATAAATACTATTTTGAATACTTGATTCCCAATGTGCTTCTTTTCTTTATATTATACAGAACTTTACAAGGAACTGGATGGTCGTCGCTTGGAATTGAAGCTTGTTTAAGCTCAAGCTTGTGCTCACGCAGGTAAATGTTAACAACTTATCTATAAGGGTTATCTTGACTTCGAAACTTTCGACACCAAACTACATGAAAGTAACAGCCAAGAATGGCAATTTGATATTAGCTACTAGCTTCTTGGAAATGAATGATATTGCACTGAAACTTTCAACAGCAAAATACATTAAAATAACAACGACAGGGACAACATGATGTTATGGTTGCACAATAATGCAAATTGAGCTGCATACTACAAACTACGGGCGTTATAAATTGTAGTTGTAGCTAAGATTGATTTCCGCTGAGAGTTGACTTCTGTTTTTTTATAGAGAATACAAACCTTCATTTGTGTAAACTATATAACATGTTGATCTGTTTAGTTTTGTAATCGGTAGGTAAAGACAAGTTTCTATGTTATTCATATTCGTGGATAATGACGTGCAATATATTTATGTAGAAGATCAATTTGCAATTATTATTCATACACGGAGACATCAATCGCTATAATTTAATGCAACTAAACCAAGTTGAACGTGCAAGTTTCAAAGTCAACACAATATGTTCTTGCATAGAGATCTGCTTCCCTCTTGCTGCTCCCCAATTCCTACATTCCAATTTTAAAACTTGCTCTTTCTGAAACCTGAGCACAATGGCTGAAATTGTCTCGGCTATTTGTGCATGTTGTCAATGTCTTCAACCAGTTTTTAAATGCTTGGGTAAACATGCAGGTTACATTTCCAAGTTTGATGATAATCTTAACGTGTTGAGGAGTGACCTGGAGTATCTTGAAGCAAAAAGAGCTGATGTGGTACGCAGGGTTGATGATGTAGAACTCAAGGGTGGGCAACCGCTAGATGAAGTGAAGACGTGGTGTTCAAAAGTCGAAACCGTTGAAACCAACACCAATCTCCTGGTTGCTAAAGCTTCCGCTGTACAGTTAAGGCGGTCAACATGTGGGTATTGCTCCTTCAAGACCATTTCAACCTACCGTTGTGGCAAAAAGATTCCCAAAATGTTGATTGAAGTTAAGAATCTCTTGTCAAAAGATTTTAAAGAGGTGGCTGCGCCAACCCTTCCTTCCGCGGAAGAAGAAGAACCTGTCCAGCAAACATTTGGTCTTGATGCAAAGCTTCATAGCACATGGGAACTTCTTATGCAAGATGATATAAGAATGTTGGGTCTGTATGGCATGGGTGGAGTGGGTAAAACCACACTTCTCACTCTAATATGCAACAAGTTCGTTGAACTCAAGGGTGATTTTGATGTTGTCATTTGGGTTGAAGTGTCTAAAGATGTAGATGTCGGGAAGATTCAAGATGATATCGGCAAAAGATTAGGCCTTTGTGACGAGGGTTGGTGCAGAAACTCACAAAGGGAGAAAAAGAGGGAAATACGGAGGGTTCTAAACGATTGGAAACCCCGTTTCGTGCTGTTACTTGATGACTTATGGGAGCGAGTGAGTTTATCAGATATCGGAATTCCATTGCAGGGTACAAAATACAAAATCGTGTTCACTACTCGCTCTAACAATGTCTGTCTAAGGATGAAGGCAAATGAGAACATAGAAGTTGAATGTTTGGGGGAAGAAGATGCATTGAAATTGTTAAAGCAAAATGCCAGAAGAGACGCGTTAACTGGTGAGAGGCTTGATCTCGCAGAAAAGATTGCGAAAAAGTGTCATGGCTTACCCCTTGCGCTTGAAGTCATTGGCAAGTGTCTGTCAACCAGAAAGACTGAAAAGGAATGGGGTCAAGTGCTCGACACTTTGGGTTGTGCTCCAGATGTATTGGAAGGTATGGAAAACGAAATGTTTGGTGTTTTGAAAGTAAGCTACGATTATCTAGAGAAAGAGGATGCACAGTCGTGTTTTCAGTATTGTGCTTTATTTCCCAAGGCATATAATATCAACCGAGAGGAGCTGGTAGAGTATTGGATCGGTGAGGGTATCATTGAGGTAAGACGCGGAAGAGACATAGCAAAGAGTCAAGGTGTTGAGATCATCAATACTCTTGTTGGGGCAGGCTTGTTATTGAAGGATGATGAGTCTGGTCAGAAAGTGTATATGCATAATATGATCCATGAGATGGCCTTGTGGATGGTATCTGCAGTTAGGGAGGGAAGAAGGTTTCTTGTGAAGACGGACGCTGGGTTAACGAATCTGCCATATGAAACGGACTGGATAACCGTGACGAAGATGTCGCTGATGAACAATGAGATTGCGAGCATTGCTGACACTCCTCTATTTCCCAATCCGGATCGTCTTGTAACCTTGTTCCTTCAGAATAATAAGTTGGTAGATATTGTTGGTCGATTCTTTCAGGTCCTCACGACTCTGGTGGTTTTGGATCTATCTCACAACCCTGGTATCACTGAGTTGCCCGGCGATATAAAATGGTTGGTATCTTTGCGGTATCTCAACTTGTTAGGGACGAGGATAAACAGTTTGCAAGGTATACAAGATTTGATCGAACTGATTCACTTGGATTTGGAGTCCACATCCAATCTTCCAACTCTCAGCTCGATTTCAGGATTACTAAAGTTGCAGGTGTTGAGATTTTATCGTTCCGCTCCTTTAGATCGTACGTTACTGGAGAAGTTGAAGCTTTTGGAGGGTTTAAAACTTCTGACCATCACTATCGAAGCTGATGTTGAAGTATTTAAAGCTTTTCTAGGAAGCAAACTGGCAGAGCGTACACAAGGTTTATATCTCGACAGACTTGAAGTATCAGAAGAATCATTTGCAGCCACCATTGGTGCTTTGGGTAGTCTTTCCAAACTTGGAATGACAGACTGTAATATCATAGAGTCAGAGACGGAATGGGAAGGAAACAGAAGGAGCCTGCAGTATTCTCCATCTACGTCTCAAATCACTCCAAGCAATAAATGGTTCAAGAACCTCTCAGCTGTGGTGCTAGTCTCATGCGCACGTCTAAGGGATTTGACTTGGCTGATATATGCTGAAAATCTCGAGTCCCTAAGCGTCGAAACCTCTCCAAAGATGGAAGAATTAATTAGTGCAGAGAAAGCTAGGGGTGTCGATTTGGAGCCTTTTAGGAAGCTAGAAGTCCTCCACTTAGATTATTTGGGTGAGCTGAAGAGCATCTATTGGAGTCCACTCTCTTTTCCAAGGCTGCAGAAAGTCCGCATAACAAACTGCCCGGCGCTACGTAAGCTTCCACTAAACTCCACGAGTGTAAACAGAATTGATGATCTTCGCATCGAAGTGGAGGAAGCATGGCTACGAAGAGTTGAGTGGGAGAGTGGAGCTGAAGAGCGGTTTCGTCCTGCTATCCGCCCTGTTTCTGATTCTTAGCTTCACCCGGTATATATATATATATATATATATCTTCTTATGTTTCCATTATGGTTTGGTCCTGCTATATTCACTTTTGTCTACATTTTGTTCTCTATCATGTTTTAGGTGTAGTAAACATGCAAGCTCGCAAAATACCTGGTGCGACTCGATGCAATGCAGAGTTCTTTTTTATTTCTTCTTCACGCTCAAATTGTTTCAGTGTCGTTAATCTTTTTTAATTGGTGTTTTGTAATAATAATACATTTGCGAGTGACTGAAAACATTTGATGGTTGGGGTCCATTTCTTGTTCCAAATTATCATATTAGTGTTTGTTGTGTGAGATGTGTCTGAATTGTTTTCGACTGCCATCTTTGTCAAACTCCTCTCCACACTTCATCTCTTGGCTGTTTTCCTTCTCGTCAAGTAACAGTAGGTAATCCAATCACTGATAATGTCTTCTAGTCAATTGGTTACTCTATGTTTATCGTCTGCATAGTACTAATTAGAGTTAAAGACATAAATAAATGGCTAGCAAGTCTAAGGTACATTCTTCATTAATTAGCTGGTTTTTGAAATCTCTGCATCTTGATTAATCTTAATTATTTGTTTAAGATCGATTCTTAAGGAGAAGAACCAGGTCGAGACGGTGCTTGAACTAATGGATGAGATGGTTGAACATTCTTGTGAACCAAATCACATAACCATGGAAGTTGTAATATATTAAGCTGCTCTAGAAATTGGTGAATCGAAGATGCTGAAGAAGTTCATGTTCCTTTATCATGAGTGAGGGATAGGATTTGTTTATGTGATCGCAATTTTAAAGTTAAATGCATGCCTTTCCGATGGGTGCGTTCGTTACAGTATCCTATATTAGTTTCAGAAGGAAAGTTTCTTTTAAAATGTATTTACTGTTATAAAAATCCAGTTTAAAATTTACATCATCATTCTTCCTCAGGCTAGTTTAGTGTCCCCGACTCCCCGTTAATCTCCACGGCTGGGTCTCAGAAGTTGCTTAAACAGAGCAATCTTAGGAACATTCCAATGCTCCACGTGTCTGCATAAACGACCAAGTTTTCCAAAGTTGAAAGAGATATTATGCATAATGCATTTGATATTTATGAGCTCATAGGTAATACTTTACCTGCAAATTTTCCCGGAATCAGTGTCGAAATAATACTCCGTGTAACCAGTTGCTGTAAAAAAAAAGTAGATTTGATTTCTCATGAATTTGGATAAGGAGACATAAAAGTTTTGTTCTGTTGTCTTGATCAATCATTGAAGACTTTACCGTAAAAGTTTCAAACGTTATCCAAAACGTTCTGCCTAATTTTTACACATGTGATAGATACCTGAAAGAATGGGTTTCCATGGAAACGACATGACACAGCTAAATTTCCAGTGTCCGACTCCTTTATCCTGCAAAACCATGACGGAGCTCCGGCGATGAATATATAAAAGACGATAGTTTTTCTCAAGATCATCACTTTACAGTTGAACTTACCTCGAAATTCTCCCACTTCATGAGCTTCATATTCGATTTCTCGATCAGGGATCCGAAATTAGTACAGTTCCTTTTGAAACGAGCAAGACCCTTGAAAGAACCAGCAGGATCCGCGAATTCACACTTCTCCTCATAAACCTCCGGCGTCAAGTTCCCTGAAATCATCACAATTCACAAATAAGCAAAATCCCAGATTCCGATTTAGACAAAAAGAAATGTTTTTTCACTGACCTGTGACGAAATACGATCGCTTAAAGTCTTGTTTGATCGAGTCGACGACAGCTACACGAACGGCTCGTCCCGAACAATCAACCGGAACCTCAAACCCTGTCACACTCGGAGGAGGAGGAGACGCCGGTGATCGGAAAGCGGAAGCAGCGATTCCGAGTAGCTCGGATCCGTACCAAGCGATTTTGAGTAGAACATTCTCCGGCTCAGCTCCTCCTTTACTCGTCTGTGGCTCGTTAGTAGAATTCTGTCCTCCTCTGCAACTCACTCCAGTTTGTTCGAATCGGCGACAACGCCGAGAAAATGAACGGCCATAATCGCCGGAGTAGCTGGGGTTGACGGTGGTGATTGAATGAAAGGAGAGAGACGATACCATTTTTTGGCTTTTAAAAAATGTGATTCATCAATGAAACGCGATCTCTTTTTTGTACTTGTATCCAATTTGTGGTTAACAGAGACCACACGAAAATAGTGATAGTAACAACACAACACAACACGAGCACAAATCTGATTCGCTAAACAATGAATCAAATATATTTTAATGGTTTCAGAAGAAGAATCTCTACAGACCAAAAAGAAAAAATAATGATTTGAAACAAAATTTTAGTCTTTTTTCTTCTTCTGGTGCACTTTCTTGGTTTTGATCAGCTAATCATGTCGATGGCACCTGGTAAAACCCGAAACTTTCTAGGTAGAAATCCAAGATGTTCTCCATCAGACTGAACATAGATACTTCCACTCTCTGAAATCTCTTCAACTTCGATACTTTGTACACTACAAGAAAAAAAAACTTAAGGTGGTGACTTTTCAAGAACTAAAGACATTTACAGAAGAAAGTGTTTAAGTGAAGATTCTGACCTTCTTGAGCTCACATTTTTAACCGAGAGATGCGTCCCATTGTATAGCTTATGAAGTTTCACTACGAAATCATACCATTTAAAGTCTTGAAGAACCACAACCTGCATAGAAGTGTATGCAAGGTCAAAAAGCTTTCACATTTACAAAATCTAACCTAAACGAATTGTTGTCAAACCTCAAGATTTCCATTTCCAGGGAGGGCGTTGGGAGTGATTTTCATTCCTCCACCAAAGTATTTAGCGTTTCCAACGCAGAGAGCGGTGACTTGAGGGTACATTTCCCATTCACCTCCATTGACCTGAGAATATAACAACACAAATGCTCTCAAGTTACTTGCTATGGTATGAAGAAATGACTTTGCAGTAATGTAACTGCTTACCCTGATTCTCATATCTCGGTTATGATGACCCATAAAACCTTGTAAGGCACCAATCACATAGCACAAGTTTCCAAATTTCTTGTACTTTGATGCGTAAAAACCTGCCTTTGCACTCCTGCGAGCAATGACGATCAACAAAAGGAGAGATTTAAAACCGCCAGTCAATCAGACAATAACATATAGAATTTGCATGACATCCTTACAAATGAACATCAGCAACGTTAATGAAGTAATGCAAATCCTTTCCTTCCTGGTCAATCACACCAACATCAACCCGTGACCGTATCCCTGAAAAAATTGCAGGTTATGTCATATTATATGTTGCCAAGTCCTAATTCCTCGTATGGACTCAGTGACATTACCTTTAGCAATGCGCTCCACCGCTTCACAAGGATCATTTTTCCTAACAAAACGCATAACAAACTCAAAGATTGGCTCAACATAACAAATCACATGAAACAGAAGTTGCAGAAACTAACCAACCAAATGTTCTAGCAAAGTCCGAGCCAGTACCTAAGGGAATCAGCTGCGAAAAGGAACTGTAATCTGTAACTTCGCAAGAGATATACACAAGGCCAAGTATAAAAAGTAAAGTTGAAGCTACTCACACCAAGTGCAGCCGAATGAGTAGCTTCGCTGTTGAGGTTACCGACAGGTTTCCCCTCCCAGAAGAAACCATTTACAACCTGTGAATCAATTTGATAGAATGAGTGTGGAGCTAAGATTCTCAAGAGCTCAGTTCTAGCAACCAAATACTTTCAAAAAATTCCTACCTCATGCAGTGTTCCATCACCTCCTACCGCAATCACAGCATCTGCGCCATTCCTAATAGCCTGAAAGAAGCAGCAAATGATCAGAGAATTTTGGAATCCGCCATCAAAGTCATGTATAGTATTACTTTCATTGCCGCATTACCTCTCTTGTAATGCCAATGGCATCAGAAGGACCTGATGTTAATGATTCGCATATCTGGAGTAAGCAAACAAGAAGCAGTTATAGGCTTTAAAGGAGAGAGCATCACTAACATAGTCATACGAAATAGGTAACCGAATCAAAAAACTCACATTACAGTCTTTACCAAGACGAGATCGTAGATAAGGAAGCAACTTCTTCCATTCCTTAGCTGTTCTACCATTCGCACCTTATTCAACAAGATAAACCAAGTCAAATTCTATCTCTAGACAACCATTTCGTGATTGATTCTAATTTGTAAAAACATCATTTTTAAATCGAATTAGTCATTTGTTCGTCTAGTGAGTAAGTTGGAAAAACATACCTTGAGGGTTTACGACGAAAACAAGATCACGGAGGCGGGAGGGGGAGACGGAGGCGAAACCACCACCACCACCGCCGCGAATGGTGATGCGATCAGATGAGAGATTGGAGGAAATACGGTGATGAGGTTTAAGGAACGAAGGTTGTTTGGGTGTGTAAGGAAAAACTGAAATGCAGCAATTGTATCGTAGCATTGTATTGGCCGCGATTCGGCTCCGGGAGACATCATCGCCGTTATCAGTTCATCAGCCTGAGTTTCAGACAGAGGACTTTCTTGGGCCGATTTCTTCCCTGGAAGTCCATATTGGGCTTTAAAACCTTATGGCCCATTAGTCCTTGTCGGAATTCTGAGTCGATGGAGTGTGTGGGGTCCATACTTTTGCCGACCGGTGTGTTTATTGTGGGGCTCCAAGATCACCACAGCTGTCATATGGACTTTTTGGCTCATTTACTCAAATAATTAATTCGTTACTTTTAAAAATTTGATGTCTTAATCACGCATTGTCCTCCTTAATATACTCCTGGAACTGAATTATATTTAGTCAAAAACAGGAGTCGGCAGAACGTGGAATTCTATATACAACTTGTAGCCGTTAGATTTGGCTTTATAAAATAAACAAGACTTAAGCTAATGACTTTTTTATAATCCCACGAAATCGTCTTGTTTTGGCCTTTCGATAAAGATAAATAGCCGTCCACTTTATTGTAAAGAGTTTTTAATTTCAAGCACAGAGTGACTGAGCTTGGGAAAAAATAATCGTAACCACCATTCATTATCGTACACGTGTAAGTTTATCAGTGTTCTATATGTGACAGGCGGTGACTTGATCCTTTTAAACTGACGTCGGAACTCTGCCATATATTTTTCTCAGCCCAATCGACCTCAAAATTCGATAGAAGCTCATTTCCACGAGACTTTCCTTGTAATTTCTTCATTTCCTGCAACTTAAAACGGTAAGATTCATTTCCATATATCTGTCTGTTTTTGTGTTCTGTCTGTTCTTCTGAAAATCGAATTCTGCAGATTAAGTTTTAGGGTTAAGAGTTTTTTAGCTCGATGTAGAGTTTGTGTCGATCTTGCTCATGTGGGTTTACTTGCTGGTTGAATTTTGTGTGGATAATTAGTTTCTAGGGCTCTCCGAATTTCAAAAGATCGAAACTTTACTAGAAAATGGATAATTTTGTTTTAGCTTTAAGATCTCAAAAGTTGTCAGCTTTTTTTGAGACCCTTAAGTTGGATTGTTCCTCTATTGGCCCTCCTATGTAGCAATAACCCGTAAGATACCCTGAATTGAAATCAACATGATTCTTACAAAATTATGATCTCTTCAATTTTCAGTGTCTAGCAAAATGAGCAAAGCACAAGATCCGCCACGAGGTTTCTTCCCATTTGGGAATCCCTTTCGGATGTTATCTCCAAAGGGCTCAGAGTTATCTCCATGGCTACTTTCTCTATTGAACGGCTTTGAGTCACTTTTAGCAGCGAGACTAAAGAAACTCATGCCTAAGAACAAAGACGACATCCTCACTTTATCGTGGATGAAGCTAGCGATGGAGTCACTCTGCGAGACTCACAACAACATAAACACACTCATCACTGATCTCCACCTTCCTGTCTCTAACTGGGAAGGGAAATGGGTTGATGTTTACCTCGACATAAGTGTCAAGTTACTAGATCTCTGCAACGCCTTCAGCTCCGAGCTCACGCGTCTCAGCCAGGGAGATCTCTTCCTCAAATGTGCTCTGCACAATTTGAAATCAGATTCCGGTGAGAAGTATCTCCAGGCTCGGTCTTCGCTTGATAGCTGGAGGCAGCATGTTAATGCAAACAACCCTAGGATTGAAAACTGCCGTGCGGTTCTCGACAGTCTTGTGAAGTCTCTGAGCTTGCCTAAAGTCAAGAACTCGCCTAAAGGGAAGGTTCTTATGCGTGCTTTTTACGGTGTCAAGGTTCAAACGGTTTACATCTGCAGTGTTTTCACCGCGGCATGGTCTGATTTCCCCAAGGATCTTTTCGATTTACCTGTCTCTGTAAAACCATTGTGGGCTAAGGAGTTTACAGATATGCAGAGTCTTGTGAATGGTGAGATTAGAGATATGTTGTCTTCCGGTAGAAGCACTGTTCTCAAAGAGCTTGAGAGCGTTGATGCTAGTGTGGAGAAGCTATACCCGTTGATTCAAGATGGTGTTGCTCCTGTGGAAGTTGAGAGCTTTGAGGGTTATGTAACGGAATTGGGGAGTGAAGCTGAGAAATTGTCTCAAGGGTTAGATCGGTTACTGGAGGAAGTTGACAGTTTCTTCAAAATGACTTTGAGTGGACGAGATGTGTTGCTCTGTAATCTTAGGTCAAGTGATTCATTCTCTGGCAAAGCAATTGGTGAAGATTTAGATTGTCAGTGAGGTAAACAAACAATTACATAAGGTAGCTTTAGGTCTTGAAAGTGTTTCCCTTTTTGTTTGCTTGAGTCCATCTGTTGAGCTTAGTCTCTTCGGTTTTGTGTGTGTTGGTCTTGTCTGTATTGAAATCGATTCTGCAATATAATATAAAAATCCATAAGGCATCTGTTTGGCTTGAAAAAATCAAAGCTTTCTTAGTAAATGTCTAATCTTTCTGCAACAATTTCAATCAAAAGGATCAAATCAGATCAGAAAGAGTATATGCTTTGATTCATAGATAGGTGCAATTAGTAGTAACAAATGAAAGTTGCAATATTAAGCTAACGAGTGACGCTGCTTTTTGTGACCATACACGTATGTAATCTTGCATGTTCTTTTGGTTTCACGGATCACTTGAGAGATCTTTAACAGTTGAAAAAAGCTTCTTTCTTTTCACATGGATTAAGTGTCTTAAAGAGAGAGAGAACCTTCAAGTTCAACAAAAGCCTTTCTTCTTGGTGTCTCTCTCTCTGTTTCTTTGTCTGATTCATTGCATCATGTCTGGAGAATCAAGCTCTGGTTCTACGGATCACTGCATCAAAGTTGTGCCGACACACGGAGGACGCTATATTCAATACAACGTTTACGGACAGCTCTTTGAAGTTTCCAGAAAGTATGTCCCTCCTATCCGTCCCATTGGCAGAGGCGCTTGCGGTATCGTCTGGTAAGATTCTTCTTCTGATAAACTTTATCAAAGCCTTCTTCTTTTTGAATGTTCGTTCATAGGCTCTTGAATTCGTGAGTTTCAGTGCTGCTGTGAACTCAGTGACTGGAGAGAAAGTGGCAATCAAGAAGATCGGTAATGCTTTCGATAACATTATCGATGCTAAGAGAGCTCTGCGCGAGATTAAGCTTCTCAGGCACATGGATCATGAGAACGTAAATACATTCTTCATCATTTCTCTAATCAAAGTTCTGCTAGATCTGTTAATCTGATCTTGTAGCATTGGTTTTGATCTTTTAGGTAATAACCATCAAAGATATTGTAAGACCACCGCAACGAGACATCTTCAACGATGTCTACATTGTGTATGAGTTAATGGACACTGATCTTCAGAGAATCCTCCGTTCCAACCAAACCTTAAGCCATGATCAATGCCGTGTAAGTCTGATCTCATCTTCAAGAACTATATATGGAACTCCCTGATCTGATCTTTAGTTCTTTTATTGAATTGACTTGTGTGTGTGTGTGTGGTTTTACAGTTCTTTGTGTACCAGCTCTTAAGAGGGCTAAAGTACGTGCACTCGGCCAACATATTACATCGTGATCTAAGGCCAAGCAACGTGCTGCTTAACTCAAAACACGAGCTAAAGATCGGTGACTTCGGACTGGCGAGAACAACTTCAGACACAGACTTCATGACTGAATACGTCGTCACTCGTTGGTACAGAGCTCCTGAGTTGCTTCTTAACTGCTCAGAGTACACAGCAGCTATTGATATTTGGTCTGTTGGTTGCATACTCGGCGAAATCATGACCGGACAACCTCTGTTCCCTGGGAAAGACTATGTTCATCAGCTTAGGCTTATCACAGAGGTAAAGTTAAAGTACAAAAGATTTAACACTTTTGTCTGAAAACTGAAATTGAAAAATCCATTTTCTTGAAATGATTAGCTTGTAGGCTCTCCGGACAACTCCAGTCTCGGTTTCCTTCGCAGTGACAACGCAAGAAGATACGTGAGGCAACTTCCTCGATACCCGAAACAACAGTTTGCTGCTAGATTCCCGAATATGCCCCCTACTGCTATAGACTTGCTTGAGAGAATGCTCATCTTTGATCCAAACCGTCGCATCTCAGGTAACAACACACACACACAAATCCTTAAAGTTAAAAAATTCATGCAGTGTGCTTTGGCTTATCAATTGGGTTTGGTGTGTGCAGTGGATGAAGCTCTTGGTCACGCTTACTTATCACCACACCACGATGTGAGCAAAGAGCCGGTGTGTTCGACTCCTTTCAGCTTCGATTTCGAGCATCCTTCTTGCACTGAAGAACACATTAAGGAGCTTATCTACAAGGAGTCTGTCAAATTCAATCCTGACCATTGAGAGAAACAAAAAACATGTTTGATGATTCCCTTTTAAGTCTGTTTTATCTCAACTCAAGTTCCTTTTACAGTCTTTTGAATCTAAACTCATTTTGTTTTGGTTGAATAAATTGCTATGATAATGATGTTACACACCTGTTTATTTATATCTAAGCTACTTGTTGATATAGAGGTTTTGGATTTTGGATTCTTTTTAGTACATACATTATATGTTGATCATTGCATTAATCTCCAAACATTAGTTAAACTGAAAAAGAAACATCCTATAAATGAACTGTAAATTGGCTCGTCACGTCGTCAAAACAAAAAAATTGGCTCGTCACCAATCCGGTTTAATCCAAATTGAACCGAAATAAAATCAATTCGTTTTCATTTGACAAGAACCGAAACTGAAACCATACTGAATTGAACCGATTCGGAACCCTCTGCGTGGGTTAAAGAGGTTCGAGTCTGTTGAAATAATGAGCTTTACTGGAATTGATTCGGAATCGCCGCTTTACAATTCGATTTCATATATTCACCTCCGCGGCTAAATCTCCGGCGGAGAGCTTGAAGCAAATCAAGGTGATCTCTTTCGTTTCCCGGTCTGTGCAGTTCAACTTCAAATTGTCGTCTGCCAAAGACAATGAAACAAGGGTATGTTTGTATTTTGATTCGTTCTTCGGTTTTGGAAGCTCCGAAACCAACTCATCCTCACCTTGATGTTCCTCTGATTCTCTCTGTTCTTTTTCCTTGCTTGGGTATTTGAAAGTCTCGTGAATGACGAGGACATGATCAGTCGCTTGCCTGAAGAACTGATTCTGCATATTCTGTCCTTCCTTCCAACCCAAGGTGCGGTAGCCACAAGTGCTCTGGCTAAGCAATGGAGGTCTCGTTGGAAGATGGTGCCTGTGCTCGACTTTGATTACGAAAGTGATTGTCAGAGTGGAGACGAGACATTCCCAGAGATGGTCTGCAGGGTTCTGCTTTCGCATGAAGCTCCCGTGCTAGAGCGTCTGCGTGTCAGGGTTTTGTTCGAGGAATGCGGTGCTACGGCTATCGGGACGTGGGTCGGTATCGCATACGCACGCCATGTGCGTGAGCTGTATCTCGACGTTTCCTCTGCTAAAGAGTCGTATTTCAAATTTCCTAGAAGCCTCTACAAGTGCGAAACGCTAGAGACCTTGAAGCTCCGGAATCGTGTCCTTGTACATGTCCCTTGTGCTTCCGCTGCTTGTCTCAAGTCTCTTAGAAACTTGCATCTTTCTTATGTGGACTACGAAGACGAGGCGTCATCCCTTGGTAACCTTTTAGCCGGTTGCCCTAAGCTGGAAAATTTGGAAGTGTCTCGACGATATTCAAGGGATGTGGAGACTTTGATCGCGGTTCCATCTTTGCAGAGGCTGAGAATTGATGATTTAAATCACTGGCACGGGCTTGGAGGCGGCTATGTGATTAATTCTCCTGTTTGAACTACTTGGAGCTCAAGTACTTTGACTCTCAGTTTTGCGTGATCAAGAATGCAACGGAGCTGGTGGAGGCCAAAATTAGTCATGTCTCCAACATAGTTAACGACAACATTGTGGGATCTCTCACATCAGCCAAACGTCTTTGCTTGAATTTGTCACTCGAGAAAGTAAGGTTTCCTTGCAGTTAATTGTTTTTTTTTTAATATTTTTTTCTGTATTTGATATTGCCTCATGTGTATATGCAGATTACATTTCCTATGAGTAGTATCTTCTATCAGTTGGTATATTTGGAGCTAGGGTTAGCTAGTGCCGGCTGGCGGAATTTACTTGTGCTCATGCTCGATAGGTCTCCGAAATTACAAGTCCTCAAGCTCAACGGTGTAAGCATTGCAAGTAACTAGCTATCTTTGTCCAGCTCTGTTTCGGTTCAAGACTTTTAATGTTTCTCCCTCGTTGTTTGTCTCAGCGTTGGCGTTATGATCGCATAGATGATTTGGACGAAGAGGAATGGAGTCAACCGAAGAATGTTGCTGAATGTTTGTTGTTCAGTCTCGAGACATTTGTGTGGAAATGCCGCAGAGAGCGACTAGAAGAGGGGAAAGAGGTGGCCGAATACATACTGAGAAATGCATGTCGTTTGAAGAGAGCAACGGTTTCCATACAAGGCCTTAACTCGGAAGAGAGGCTTGATTTGCTTGAGGAGATGGAATGTGTGGTCAGGGCCTCGACTTCTTCTTGCCAGCTTCTTCTGCTCGACTGATCACAAAGAAGTGTTCGACCCTTTTTGACTTGCTTCGACGTTTCCTCAGCCACGAGAGCTCCCTGTACAATGTCGATGAATTGACTTTCTTTGTACTAATTTCTTCAATTATATGGTTCAAGATGATCATCTTTGATAACAGAGCACCAAGTCTTGGTCTTCTTTAGTTCGTTTAATAGAATTATTATATAAACCAAGTGCTTGGAATCTATCTATGATTAAATTAAGTTGAAGAATCAACGGTGATGTTAATGTGCCTAAGACTGTTGTCTCTGACCCACACGTAATAGATTATTCATCCTCAAAGAAAAATCTTATAAACCAAATACCAATATCCTATCTCGACGATAAACCATGTTAAACCACGCGCCAAGATTCGTTATTGCACCAAAACAACGATCACCACACAGCCGTTGGATTCGCGCGTGAAAGTACTACACTTTCTCGTGGCGCGTAAGTGACTTTAGACTGAGCGAAGAGAAAAAAGAAAGAAAATAAAAGTCACACTTCCGGCAAAGACGAAAATTCTCTGCAACGATGAGCTTCTTCACACTAACTAAAATAGTTTAAACCTCTTAATTCTCACCTAAAAATTTTCAACCTTTGATCAAATGGCGGAGATTTCGATTATGGGTTTAAGAACTCTCGTCTTCTTCTTCTTCTCATTTGCTGTATCAATCTGTAATTCTCTTGACGATTATGGGTTGGACGACGATAATGGAAGGTTCTTCACTGTCTCGAGCTTCAGGTACCCAAAATCCGAAGTCAGGCCTTACGATACTCGTTACATCAGAGGTCTGTTAATCTGCTCACTTGCTTATCCGATAATTAGAAATCTGAATTATGCTCTCTGATTCTCTTTTTGTTTATTCCGGTACAGTTGATTTGCCTCCATGGTTCTCTTCGTTGAATGTAGCTATGGAATCTGATGTAGACATCGTAAGTACAATTGCCTACAGATTTCATTTCTCTCCAAATTTCAATTTCATTGATTGAGTTTTTGGATTTTGCTTTTGGATTTTTCTGGGTAGACTGCAAAGAGCATTTTGAAGATATCGAAAAGTCTGCTTCCAGTTATATGCTTCAGAGACGGTAGTCCTCCTCTGCCTGATGCCTCATCCAATGCTCTCAAAGGTTTAGGTACGATTTAGGTAAACAAAAATAAACATGCTTGATGCTTCTTTGTCTGGTTAAAGAGCTCACATTTTAGGGAATTAAGAAAGCTTGTTTTTGCTTTTGAATGTTTTCTAGAGCTAGGACGGCTTTTCAATGGATCTTTTGAAGGATCTCAAGATGTTGAGATTGCAGAACAGTGTTACCCTATGCAGAAGAATATATCCTTGAGGTTGACCAATGAACAGGTAGGCTTTTCAAATTACCCAAAAACTTTGTTGTGTGTTAGGACATTTTAAGGAAAAATGAGTTTCTTGTTTTGATGTTGTTGCTTTCAGATATCTCCTGGAGCTTGGTATATTGGTCTTTTTAACGGAATTGGGGTTACTAGGACTCAGGGGAAGATGGTATGTGTGTTAACATTTTGCTTTCATTCTTTCCTTTCTTAGTTAGATCTCTGATGCATACTCGGATACTTCACAGATTGTTCGCTCCTCGGCGTTTTCGTTTAGTGCCAACATTAGTGTGGAAGGTTGTAAAACCGCTACCATGTGGGGACCTTCCTGCAACCAGACTATTTATCCGCTTTCATGTTCTCGGTTTGACAGCCAGACAGGAAGTGTTGTTTCTTGCACAGACGCTGTTCCTAGCTCTTGTCTCACCGGTGCTGAAACAAAGACGTATGCTTTAGATGTAGATGGAATAGCTGAGCAGTTAGTTATAATGGCGTCCAATGTGAAAGTTGATTCCAATGGAACTGATCTCATGTGTTACGCCCGTTTTGGAGCTATTGCTTCAGAGACTCTACATGATTACGCTGGCGATATACACAAAGTTCCTTTAGTTATTAACAAACCGAAAGCTGGTCGGTGGTACATCGTTGCTAGTTCTCACCGGCTTGTACAGGGCGCAAATTCTAGCTCTAAGGTCTGCTTCTCGATAGATGTTAAAGTCTTGGGGTGTCCCCAGGGCAAAGCAGGACCAAATTGTGGCCAGCAAATCTACACGCTTCAGGTAATTTACTCTCAAAGCTCTTGAAGTTGAGCTCTTTTGCTTATGAGAATGTTGAAGACTGTACATTTTGTGCAGGCAGTTATGAGGAGAGGATCGTTGACACCTTTTGAATCATATTACTTCCCGGTCAATGAAGCTTCACCTTCAGGGTCAAGCACAGAATTTCCCCTGGAACCGATTTTCAGCAACGTTTCTTCCTCTATTCCAGAGTTAGATACAAGCACATGGACTTATTTTCTCATGAACATCCCTCAAGGAGGTGCTGGTGGGCATATTCACTTCAGATTAACACCAGCTTCCACGATACAGTACGAAGTATATCTTAGATTTGGTGGATTGCCCACTGTTGATGACCGGGATTATTACTATGTGAATCGAACAAGTGCCAGCCGCTCAATGTTCTTCTCGTTGTACAACTCTAGCCAAGAGAAAGTTGATTTCTACATCTTGTATGCTCGAGAAGGAACATGGTCATTAGGGTTGAGGCAGCTCAATGACTCTACTGCTCCTGCTCCTTCAAGAGGTCCACCTACTCTAGTATCTCTGTCTCTTGAAAGATGTCCGAGAAGGTGTTCGTCTCATGGGGGTTGCCGATATGCTTTTGACGCTAGTGGATTGACATCCTACAGGTTCCTTCTACTTCTGACTCATTCGAAACTTGTAAACATATGGTTGAGTAGATTGTTTTAAATGTTTTCCAACTCTTGTGTTGTATTTCAGCTTTTGTGCTTGTGACCGAACCCATGGAGGCTTTGACTGTGGCATTGAAATTGTATCACACAGAGGTATCTTAATCTTAATCTACCAGTGGTTGTAAACTTGTAACTTCAACAACTTTTCGATGTACTCATTTATGTGCTTTAAACCTGATGCAGGACATATCATTCAGTCTGTTGCTCTCATCGCATCAAATGCAGCGGCTCTGTTGCCAGCTTACTGGGCTCTTCGGCAGCGCGTAATCTTCTTCGTTTACACTTTTAATTCAGTGCTCTGTTTATTTATCTTTCCCAACTAAAAACTGATAGCTCATGCTCTAAACAGGAGTATCCCGAGTGGGTTCTGTTCACATCTAGCGGAATCTCGAGCGCTCTGTATCATGCATGCGATGTAGGCACCTGGTGTGTGTTAACTTACAACGTGTTACAGGTACGGGTTAGTTGTTATCTGCATCATTGTCATCTTCTCTGTGACATTTTACAAAATGGTAGATTGTTTTGCATCAGTTCATGGATTTCTGGCTCTCTTTCATGGCGGTGGTTGGCACCTTTGTGTACTTATCCACGGCTGATGAAGCAGTTAAGAGGACAATACACACAGTTGTAGCCATCCTCACAGCTTTATTGGCTTTAACTAAGGCAACAAGGTATCTGAACTGTTGAACTGAATGGTTATTCTAATTAGCACCTTGAAACAATATGTAAACTCGTTACATTTGGTTGCTATCGATTTGCAGGGCGTCAAATATTATCATTGTATTAGCAATCGGGTCACTCGGTCTCCTCATCGGTTTTTTGGTAGAGTTTGTTACCAAGTATAGATCATATTGCGGATCGGCTGGATTTTCATTGAACATGCTCGACAGGTAACATAAGGAAGCCATTCTGTTTCCTGAAATCTTGAACATTATTCACCACGATGTGACAATTCATAACTTATCTGATTTCTTTCATGTTTGTGTGGCAGGCCACGAGCAGTCAAAGAATGGTTTAGTAATTTAGTCAAGACGCTTAAGAAACGGTTTCGTTGGAGCTTTGTGGCAGCTGGTCTGGTAGCCTTTACCATGGCAGCTATAAGTTTTAAAGTGGAAACCAGTTCAAGCTACTGGATTTGGCACAGGTGAGTCGATTTGAAGTGTTTCATATACAAGTGATATAACAGTTCGTATCATATTCTTAAGAGTGATATATGAAACTATGTGCAGCATTTGGCATTTCACCATCTACACATCTTCCTTCTTCTTCCTCTGTTCAAAGATTCCAATTGTACATAACGAGAACCAAACCCACCAGGGAGCTGATAACTACGAGTTAACAAGGCAAGACTCGCTACCAAGAAACTAATAAAAGCTTAAAGATAGAGAGACTTTTTACAGATTTTTCCTATACCTTCTCCTATATACCAAACAGAGAATGTTTTAGAACAGGATAAGACCTGGTGATGGGTACATATTCAGGGTCTCTTACGTAGAGTCTTTCGATTTGGGATCCGGACCTCACTGCCAACTCTTGTGTCTGCAGTCATGTATGTTTATATACACATAGTCACAGGAAAAGACCACTTGAGATGTTGTCTAGTTGTATCATTCTGTGAGGCTATCTTTTGGTTTACTGTGGCTTTGACATTACTTGAACATTCTTTCACTTCGAAATATCTTTTGTCTTCATGATTATAGTTGCTAGACTGACTAGTCCCCAAGCCAACTGCAACCTGGAGTTTTGGAACTATTGCAATTTCTCCTCTCTGTTTTACGTATTAGAGCCGCTTGGTCCCAATGGCCTTCAGAGATGTAAGCTTTTGACAAGAGAGAGTAGTTCACAGGTTTGCTAGGTTCAGTTTCAAGAAGCTTCTTTGCGCCCCATTTCATGGATTCTCTCTTCTCATGGATGTTACATGCTGCTGTGAAAGCTGCCACAGCATCTGTGCATGGTTCTACAGAGATTGACCTTAAAACATCAAAGGCCTCGTCGATGAAACCTGCTCGACCAAGAAGATCGATCAGACATGTGTAGTGTTCTTCCTCTGGCTCTATCTTGTAAACCTCAGTCATTAGTTTGAAGCAGCGAACCCCTTCTTGAACTAATCCTCCATGGCTACAAGCAGAGAGAACCTTTAAGAAAACGATCTTGTCTGGGTGAAGTCTCTGCAACATACTCCCAAACATTCTCAAGCTCTCTTCTGCGAATCCATGAAAAGCTAAAGCTCCGATTACTGAAGTCCATGTAACAAGATCAGGTTCTCGAATCAAACGAAAACAGAGAAGTGCTTCAGATAAATTTCCAGTCTTGGAGTAAGCACTGATCAGAGAATTAGCCACAGACAGAAACTCTGCAAAGCCAAATTTAGAAACAATGGCATGGACTTGCTTAATCTCCTGAACCGCAGAGAACTCAGCGCAGGAACTTGAAACACTTGCAAAGGTAAGCTCATCTGGTTTCAGATTCTCACGAAGCATCTCACCAAGAAGTCTCATAGCTTCTCTTCCTTCTCCGTTTTGTCCATAACCAACAATCATCGCGTTCCAAGACACTACATTTCTCACAACCATCGATTCGAAACACTCGCGAGCGGCTCTCGTATGGTTACTCTTGGCATACATATTGACCAACGCAGTCGCCACTGGAATATCAAAGTGAAATGAGAGCTTGAAGACAATGGCGTGAATCTGCCTCCCTTGTTCGATCAGGCACGCACTGAGAAGGCTAGAGAAAGTGAAATCGTCACCTGAGAATCCATTCTCTGATCTCATTAGCTTGAGCAAACCAAAAGCTCCATCGACCATACCGTTAAGAACATGAGACGAGATCAAAGCGTTCCATAACACTAAATCTCTACACAAAACCGTCTCGAAAACTCGTCTCGCTTCAGCAATGCGACCACATTTCCCGTAGAAATCAACGAGAGTAGTGCTCAGGAAGCAATTTGAATCGAGACCTTGTTTCAGTATCAGACTGTGTAATTGGATCCCAGCTTCAACATGCGTTGAATCAGCACACAAACGAATCAGACCAATGAATGTCACATGATCCAAACTCACTTCACTGAGAAGAATCCGACTCAAATAGCAAAAGCCAAGACGAACTTTTTGCTTAGTGTCACCGTCGTCTCGGTATCGGTGAATCACCCCGTGAATCGAAATGTTCCAAGTTAAGATATTTCTCAGAGGCATTTCGTCGAAGAGCTTGCCTGCATCATCAAAATCTCTCCCATTCGTGTAAGCTTGCAAAAGCTTGTTTTGGAGGAACAGAGAATTGTAAGTCCCTCGTTTTACCATGAAACCATGATCCTGTTTCACCTCAAAGGAAGTTGCAGAGGAAGAAGAAAACGAGTTTCGGTTAGTTCGCGAGGGAATTAAACGGTTTTTAAAATGGACGGTCACGGTTGAATTTGGTCGGAACCTGAAACGCATCTCTACCGGAAGCTGAAAAGCAAAACAAAAAAAGACGGCGTTGTTGGAAAATCTCCGACTTAACTCGAGCGCTTAAGTCGACTGAATCGAGCCGTTTTGGCTTGAGCCGAGCCAAGCCGAGTTGTTCAGAGGACTATACGAAGTGTGTAACTAACTAATGACTAATTGTTGACTGACGATAGTAATGGGATAGTATAATAATCCTCTCCCATCATTTGCATTAATTCTATCATTAACAACAACAATCATCATGTAAATTTACTGTAACCCTCTATCGTCTTCTACTACTGCTAATATAAATTTAATCATAATGTTCCTTTTTTTACAAGATAATCCCACTGTTCTATAAATCACGATATACCACGCTTTGCTCTTGTACAAGTATGGAACTCAAATCATTTCTGCATTACATAGAAAATTCAGTTATGAGTATTTTTTTTTATTTGGCGCCATACTGCTTCGTAGTCTCTCTTAACTCTTGCACACGGTCTCATGAAATTGCAACATCTTTTGCTCTCTAAATCTCTCTCTATAATATCCTTTTTCTAATAGTTATTTTTTATTTTACAGATTTTCATTTGATGGAGAGTTGCCGCCATTTTGGTCTAGATCATATATTGATTCCCTTAAAACAATTGTTATGTTGGTCTAGGCAAGATATTAATTCCCCTCAAATATGAAATTACTAGATTTATCCCATTTAACTATATGAATATGAACATTTGTTTTCGACATTTTAAATGGATATGGATTCTTATTTTTGGCCCATTTGAATGAATATACTTCTCAAATGATTAGTTTTTATAGGAGAAAAAGTGGTTTTCATATAAGTTTATTGCCGGTTTATTAGGGCTTCCATTGGTTTTATTCTAAACCGAGTCTAGTTGAATTTATGTTTATAGGCCTTCTTTTATTAGACTTTTCTAAAACCTCAAAAAAATTCCAAAAAACTAATTAGAAAAATATTTTATCAAAAAGAAAAAAGATCTTCCATAAGAGCACATTTAAAAACTTTCATACATTTGTTTCTCAAAATTTGGTTGAAATATTTTTTAATTTATTTTTCATTTCAGAATTTTTTAAAGTTATAAGATAGAGATGGTTTAACGTTGTTTCCAATGTATTGTTTCTTTTTATTTTAAAATAGAATTGGATTTCTATCAATCGTAGAATTATATTTTCTAAAACGGAAAAGAATATTCTTCAATATATTCCTTTTTGTAGTCATTAATTTCTCTTTGAAAAAATTGGAGTAGATAACAATTGCTTCATACTTGGAAATAAAGACTGGCATTACCCTGTTTATTGTCACAAATGGAATGAATTTTAAAGAAATTTTAACCTCAAATGTTATTCAGAGTGGGAATTTAGAGTAGGGTTGAAAATATCTTAAATGTTTGCAAATTTGTTTTTGACCCAATCAGTGGGTTAACAATTAACCAGAGTTAGTACGTCATACGACAGCTAATACATATTTGATGGTCTGTATCGGCTTCACTCCCTTTCCAATGAGTCTTCGTATATAACCGTCGTTGCTTCTTTTCAACAAATCACATTTCTCTACATTTCTTAATTACCACCTACCAGCAAAAATTCAGGAGAATTTTAATATTGAAAGGTTAGTGACTTCGCAATATTATACTCTTATCCCTTCAGATTTTTATTTTCGATAATATTTCGTCTCCGATTTTCGTGTTTTCGACATTGTTTAACCCTAATTTGTGGGGAAAATGTTTTGGATTTTGAGGAATAAGGGTCTGTATCTGTAGAAAAATTGATTTGTGACCCTAAACTTATTCTTGTGTCACCATCCATCGAAACCCAAACCTCGAGAGAGAGAGAAATGGCGGGTCAATGGAAGTGGGGTTTCGCGGAAAGGAACCAAAAACGCCTTAGAATTTTTTTTCGATTTTTTGTGTGTTCCCGCTTTAAAAAAAATGCTCTATTTCCGCCATGGAATCTCTGGGTTCATAATTGTAAGTTAATGATTGTTGAGTTGCTAGATCTGCTTGGGAATTTTTGTTTTTTGGGGATCCTCGTTATCGTCGTCGAAATTTTCTAGGTTTTCTGTTTTGTTGCGTGTGATTTGCTTGTGCTCCAGATATGAAATTGGATCTTTAAATGGTTGCAGGGTTCGTTGTCCGTCTTCAATGGCCGGGTGGTCGATGGTAGCCGGCGAGGAAGCCGTCGATTTTGGCAACACTCTGAAGAATCTCGTAGCGAGTAGGTCTCCTGACGGCGTTTACTCCCCAGATTCTGCTGGGTCGGATTTTGAAAAGACGATTAAGGAACTCGTCTCCTTGTTCCGGCGCGTACTCAAATGTTTCCTGGTCGAGTTTTGCTCGGGGGATATTCACCGACCTCTCCCTCCGGTGACCAGCGACGGTGGAGAAGTCGATTTGTTCAACCTTTTCGTAAACGTGAGCCACAGGGGCGGCTTTGATGCCGTTTCTGATAAAAAGGGTTTATGGGATAAAGTTGCTCAGGAGTCTGGATTAGGGTCGAAGAACTCAACATCTGCGAAAATGATCTATGTCAAGTATCTTGATGCTCTTGGTCGATGGTTGAACAAGGTTATTGCAGGTGATGGATATGCTAGTAGCGTGGAGTTGAGTGGAATCTCGGATCATTTGATGGGCAAGCTTAGAGATTTTCTATCTGAAGTGAGAAGGAAGTATGAGCTGAAGAAAGGTAGTGCTGCAATGGAGTTAGGGGCAGAGCTCAAATGGTTTATCGCAAAGACCAAAAGAAGGTATGACAAGTACCTAATTGCGTCTGGCTCTAACGGTGCTGTGTTGGAGATTGAGGGATCGCAACCGACTGAGGAGAGACTTATGCTCCTTGATGCTGGTAACGGGGAAGGCTCTTCTCCTGCTAAGAGAAAACGGGAATGTCCTTTGGGGACGTTTAAATGGTTAATCCAGGCTGCAAAGGATCCATTTGACCCGTCTATCGGTCGCTTGCCAGATAGATCAGCTTGGGGGTTTTATGGAAGTGAAGAGCCATGGAAACAACTTCTCCTGTTCAGGGCCTCAAGAACAGTCTCTGATCCAACTTGTGAAAAGACTTGGCAGGTGAGTGTATTTAGGTTTTGTTATTTAAGAATTTGCATTTGCCGTTATGAAAATCGCTCGTAGGGTTTAGATGCAGCAACTTTCCTGATATAGTGCTTTGAAATTCATTGTCGATGTTAATTGTGATGATTGCCCTGTAGAATCATTAATTGCATTTAGTCTTTAAGCATTTTAGAGAGTTACTGGTAGCCTAGTTAATAAATGCTGGATTAGCTTTTATCATAAGAAATTTGATTCTTTAATAATGTTGGCTTCCATGAATCCCATAATGAGAATGCTTTATCACGGGGATGTATCATTTGTAGAGAGCATTTCTCTATGCTGTCTAACTAGTCTGATGGTGATGCTTAGTCTGTGTTCTCTGATTTCACCACTGCTCTTCCATGTTTATGCCATTCAAGTCTTGATAATTTTGCTCTGTGTGTTTCAGAAAATCAAGAAGATGCACCCGTGTCTCTATGACGATAGCAATGGGCCTGGTTACAATCTCAGAAAGAGAAGCTTTTGGAATGGCTATTTTGCTGATGATGAGGATAGACCATGTTCTCGAGTTGGGTCAGACTTTCAAGCTGAAGTACCCGAGTGGACAGGCATCACCACTGAAAGCGATTCCAAGTGGTTGGGCTCTCAGATATGGCCACCACCGAGCAAAGAAAACGACAACAGTCTCTGTCTTATCGAAAGAGATCCCATTGGAAGAGGAAGACAAGATCCTTGTGGCTGCCTAGCTCCAGGTTCTTTTGACTGTGTCAGGTTTCACATCATCGCAAATCAGGAGAAACTCATACTTGAACTTGGTTTGGCTTTCTACATGTGGTGTTCTGATACCATGGGAGAAGGGACTCTGCAGTATTGGACAGACTCGGAACTGGAGAAGCTGAATTCTATGATGGTTTATCCACCAACTCTTAGCCCATCTTTCTTGGAGGAGGTCAAGGCGGCTTTTCCTTCAAAGTGCCTAGCAAAGGTTGTGAGCTACTACTACAACGTGGCCCTTTTGCAGTATAGAGCAAATCAGAATAGGATCACTCATGAGGAGGCCGACAGTGATACTGATCAGTTCTACGATAAAGAACCAACCTCGGGAGCAAGCACATCTCAGGACCCCGTCCTGTTTTCGTCCAAGAAAAGACGTCAGTAGAGAGAGAGGTAGTAGCTTTTGTGAATCACCCTGTTGAGACTCAACTTGGAGCAGCTTTTCTTTCTTCCTTTTTTTTTTCTCTTTTCATCTCTTTTTTTTATGGACATCTTTTTGCCATTGATACTACATCTCTTGTCTCTTTTGAAAGCCTTGATCATAGCATCGGCTTAGTAAACAGTAAACAGTAAACTCTGGTTTTGGTTTTGGGGTAAATACTTGCTTGTAGGTTTTTCTACTTCAAGTACAGTTGATTTTCGGATTCTTTTGGTGAAACAGCAGAGGCAAATGTAATTTGCTATTTGGTTTACCTTTTTTGTTTCCTATGGAAAACAGGAAATGAGTTTATTTATTGTTCTTCAGTTTCATGATTTCGATTTTTGTTTTGTTTTTAGTATCCATGATTGATCTCAGATAGCTGAAATATATGGAATTCTTCAGGACATCCATTGATTTCGAATCTATCAGAGTTTATTGTACTTCAGTTTCATGATTTCTAATCTATCACATCACTTGAAGTTATAAACACCAACATATCGCATCATTTTTATACGTAAATTAATCTGTGGCTTATTGTGTAGTCATCATAAAAAAATTCTAAATCATTGCTGTGCCTGTGTTAGAATTAAACCAATTTATATCAACTAGATGATAATTGCAGTCATGTAATGATTTTTGACACCAAAGATCAGGATATATGTATATATTTGGAGAATATGAATTTTACTAAGATTTCAGTTGACTGAAAATATCTTTTTCCTTACAGATAAACTTTTTGCTTGAAATAGAGAGAACATAATATTGTAATAATAAGTTGGGCGAATTGTTTGCGTATTGGCCCATAAAGGGGCCCAGGAAAAAATTCACATCGTCATAGTGAATCATGAAACCCCCACGCGCATCAACATCGCGTGATTATAACTTCTGGTGGGCACTGCGAAAATCAACTGAATCCAAGAATTTGGTAATAATCTGATTTCTTTTCTTTTTGGTCTTCCCTGCAAAAAAAGACGAAAAATATTACCATTATTAAATGTTATTTGGTTTTGCTAAACCGGAGTGAGGATAGGGTTTTAATGCATGTGGACACGTAAATTATTGTCCTCACGTCTTGTACAGTCGTAAGATTATGGCTCACGTTTCTAATTAAACAATTCGTCTGGTAGGATAAGTTCTTAGAACAGCATTGTAACAAATAATCATTCAAAGTTTCCTTTCCTTCTTTCTTATAAGAAATGATAAATTAAGAGATGGTTTAGTCGCTAAATCTGTATCGTGATGTTCGGAGATGTTGTTCGTGTTTCGATGGATCTCACTTGAAATTCAACCGGAAATTTCGATTTGGATGAACACATGTGTCGTTAACTTATCGTTGACTAAATGAGACGGAAGATTACGGAAACATTTCTTTTTAAATGGTATTTAACAGTAATACTGTTTTTTTGTTTGTTAAAGAATACAATATTTCACGACAAAAAGAAGGTAAAGAAATCTGTCGCCAATAATACTTGGTTAATTAATCAAATCTTCTTCTTTTTGTAATATGGACTAGTTTTTAAGATATGAAATTAAATTATTTGTCGCTTAATTAAAAGAGTAACCTTTTGGAGAAAAAGTTTAAAAAGAGAAAAACAAAAGCAATGAAAAACAAAAGAAAAGGGTAAGAAAGGAATTGGAAAAGGACAAAATGAGTATAAGGCAATGTCCATTTCATTGATGTTTTCTTATATACATAAATACACTATTTCATTTTGGAATCTGTTTTCTCTCTCTCTCTCAAACCAGATTCTAGAAATAAGAAGAAGAAGAATTACGGAGAATCGCCATGGCTTCGCCGAGCAAACGCCGAGAAATGGATATGATGAAACTGTCGGTCAATTTTCCAGTTGATTGAATTATTTCTCGATTTGGCTCTCTTTTTTGTTTTCCTTTTCTTCTGGGTTTTTGATCTGTTTGATGAATTTCGTCTTCATATTTTTGGTGGTCTGTGATTGGATTTAGGATGATGAGTGATTACAAAGTGGATACAATCAACGACGATTTGCAAATGTTCTATGTCACCTTCCATGGACCCACTGACAGTAATTTCTCCAAACTCTCTCATACAAATCTATCGATTCTAATACCATTTTCGCTTAGAAGCTACTTGTTGAAATGCCTGAATGAAAAAAAACGAGTCTTTGTGGATTTGGTCTTCACACTAGTTTAAATCTTCAGATTCATCACCATCTCTCTCTATATTAGAAACTACATGATTGAATTCAGATTATGTATTAGGATCGTCATAGGATCAGATGAAATCTTTGTTAGAAAACGAAGTTAAGTGACTCTTTTGTTGTTGTTTTTTGTGTAAAGGTCTCTATCAGGGAGGTGTATGGAAGATAAAAGTCGAACTTCCTGAAGCTTATCCTTACAAATCTCCATCAGTAGGATTTGTTAACAAGATTTACCACCCAAATGTTGATGAATCGTAAGCCATATTTCACCATTTTCATTTGCATTGCAATATCTATTAGTGTGTGCGAGTGCTCTAAAACTCTCGGTTCATGTCTGTGGCAGTTCTGGCGCAGTTTGCTTAGATGTGATAAACCAGACATGGAGCCCAATGTTTGGTAATTCTCTTTAGTGTTATGTTTGAATGCCTTTTGATCTGATTTTACCGCATCCATTAACGTTAGTGCTCTTTGTTTTAGCAGATCTCATGAACGTTTTCGAGTCATTCCTCCCGCAACTTCTGCTATATCCAAACCCATCAGATCCATTTAATGGAGAAGCTGCTTCTCTGTTGATGCGAGATCGTGCAGCCTATGAGCAGAAAGTGAAAGGTAAACTCATATATTCTTCTTCACATTTTGGCTTCTCTCTTCTTCAACCTCTCATTGACACTTACATCTTTCAACTTTGAAGAATATTGCAAGGCATATGCAACACCTGAGGAGAATTCAGATGATGATGATGATGATGATGAAGATGAGGATGATGATAGCATGAGTGAAAATGGTTCGGACTCTGACGATGAAGACGACGAAGTTGCTGGAAAAGCCGATCCATGACTGTTACAAATTCAATCTTTCTTTGTACTTTTTCATTAGTGTCTCCAAATATAAACCATTGATGTTCAAAAACTTTCCTCTGTAAATTTGTAAAGACTTATTATTCTTTAGAAAGGATTGAAAATTTCCTTCTTCTTTACCTCAACTGTAAAAAGAATGTAACAATTTGCAATCTCATATCAATAAAACATGAAACAATCAATAACTCATTTTGTTTGTTTTATCCTCCAATATCTTTTTTTTTTTTGTTTTATACAAGAACATATCTGATATAGGATGATACTGCTGCGAGCAAACAAAAGGACCTTCTTCTAAAGGTTACTGTAAATTTTCGGTATTTTACGATCTACAGAGCAACATACCAAGAAAGGAATCATGGATCTACAGAATTCTTTAACTTAACTCTCTGCTAAACTGCTTTCAAGTGCCACATTGCAATCACATATAGAATGTACGGGCAAAAGAGGCTTTAATCCTCTCAGGAACCAAGAAGGGTCTGTCTACATATGGCTTGGCCGCCTTTTACCAGAATCCGTCCTTAACCTCTTAACCGGATTAGCCCATCCTACTGAATCACCAGCCGCACCACTGTTGTTTGGATGACTGGCTTGGTTTGGCCAGCGTTGCTGTTGTGCTAGCCTTGTTTCCCTTGAAGCTCCACCAGACACAGGACTTCTAAGGCCACGACTCATCATAGGTGGAGGTGAGACCGGGCTGCTGGATCCAGCGGCTCGGGTTTTGGGAGTAGACTTTTCTCTGTCTTTCCTCTTCTTCTTGCAGATTACTAATTCCCCTGGATGAGCCAAAATGGGAGAGTCATCGGTGTGGCTTGATGACCCGCCAAGCTTTGTTTCCTTCTGTGGTATCTGTACTCTGATCCTTGAGTTCTCGCGTTGCTGAGGTCTTTGAGGAGAGCTTGGCTCGGGTTCCGACTCATTGACCGGCTTTTGCCTCTTGCCTTGACTAATACCTGCTCCTCTTGGGGACGGAGTAGATACCAAAGTTGGTGTTGGGCCAGAGAAGGAAAGAGCGTCCCTTGCTTCCCCGAAATCTGTGTCTGGGAAAGACATTTTCAATAGATCAAAGAACAGATTGTGAACCTTCTTTGCTTCAGATCTCACCTGCAGGAAAATTTTGATCACCTTTAAACCCCATTTGGCTTATACATCAAAACACAGAATCACAAGAATTCACTTTTAATTAAGATGCAAAACTAAACCTCGTGTGAGAATGAATAAACTTGCATCGCTCCCCTTAGCATAAACTGGACGTCAGAAGCGAGTTCCATTACTCCAGCGTACTCTAGCCTTTCTACCCGGTGATCTATCTCTCGTAGTTCCAAAAGATTATTCACACCTCCAGCTGCATAACCATTCTGAATTCTCTTCCACAAATTTGTCAGCATTGGTACAATCTGCTGACCTTCCTTGTCGATTCTCCTTTGGAGCTTGCTAATCACGTTTTTGCACTGCAAAGTCAAAGGACCGGGTAAGTTCAGACCAACCAAACAAAATAGATGTACCAACACATCAACCATAGTAGAGAATGCAATGAAGTATATTCCATTTGACATAACATACCCGTTTCTGTATGATCTGGGACATTCTTGCACCAGTATTTGAAGAGCTAATAGGGCTAGTTCCATCCCATGCTTCTCTGGCAGCTTCGGCGTTATCCTCCACTGAATGCTGTGTGGCATTTAATCTACCAGATTTTGGTGATGATACGTGCAGCTTGGAAGTATTAGCTACCTTCTTTCCAGGTAAACTCCTCAGCCTCGAGGATGAATCACTCTGATCTTGTCTTGAATCAACAACTGTCCTTAACTTTGATCGATAGCTACGATCGACTTGCAATGGCTGAGCTACAGGCATATCACTTCCGTCCATTCTTTCTGCAGTTTGACGGGGTCTTAGACGAATGCTCCGTTTCCTTTTTATAGTAGGTTGCAAAACCTGTTCTTCTTCCCCTTCATCGCGGTCATGGACCCAACTCCCTGATCGTTGGAGATCTCTGTGGGAATCACCTGATGCTGCTATTTCCCCCTCTTCTAGGTCATCTGCCTGTTCAACATAATTAAAGGAACAAACGTTACACAAACAACAAAGAAGAAGAGAGGCCTGCAAGACAGATCAGGTGCCTACCAGTCTTTTTGAGACAGAACCTGGCCTAGTGTCCAGTGCAGACAAAGAGCCAAACTTTTGTGAAGAAACAGGAGATGCCATCTCTTTCGATCTATGACTTTCTGGTGAAGATCCTGAAGAACCGGCATCATCACGTGGAGGGATCTTTTTATAACTACCAGAACCCGGAGGATAATCATATCCACAGACGGGGTTCTCTCCATCAGATTCGCCCTTGTTGGTTTGGTGATCACCAAGTGTACCAGGTAGTTCATCATCATCAAATTGTTGAACGTCTCCCTCTTCTTCATTCCCAGAATCAATGATCCTTTCCTCAGAGCTTTCCTCAGAGAATCCTCCATTGTCATCTTCAATTTCTTTGTAGTTAATCTTTTTGCTCTTGGGCCGCCCCCTTTTCCTCTCACCTCCAGGCCCACCAGTTTGCACAATCAGATTACTGCTTGACAACATGTTCTTTGATGGTTTCTTAGACAAATCAGCAACGCATCCATTCACCTCTTTAGTACTAGCTCGAAGCCACTTAGGCACCTGCTCATGAGAAGTCATCTCCTCAGTCCAGTCAAACTCCTCATCCATCTGATCAAATAACTCAACTTCCTCCTCGCTTCTGGCAATCATCCTGTTCACCTCATGCAGAGAAGGTACATCATGGACGGTTTCTTGATATCTCTCTTCATCATGCAATAAAGTCTCCAGTGTCATTCTTCGCTCTTCATGGGTCGTCCTTTGGTCAAAACGCCCAGCATTAATGACTTCATCAGCCATGTCGATCTTATACTGTTGAATATTATTCCTTATGAGACCCTCTATAGATCCTATATACCGGTCCTTTCCAGCCAAGTCATCCTCTAGGTCTACTGAACCACCACTTCTAAGTTCGTCCTCCTTTTGATGGCTTGAAAGTTTTTCAACGACTGCCTCCATATAAATCACTTTTACTTCTCTTGTCTGCCCTATACGATGGGCTCTGGCAACTGCTTGTTCCTCATTCTTGGGGTTTGGATCCGGATCATATATCACAACTGTATCAGCAGTCTGAAGGTTGAGACCCCTTCCAGCTGCACGAATGCTAAGCAAGAAGATAAAGCAATCCGTATCAGGATCATTGAAATCCACAATAGCTGATTCTCGATCTTCTAAGCTGGTAGTCCCATCTATTCTTCTGTATATAAGCCTCCTCCACTGCAAATACTCTTCCAGGATATCAAGGAGTTTAGTCATTGTACTGAAGAGCAATACACGATGGCCGGTCCTCTGTAGCTTGATAAGAATTCTATCCAGAATCCACAGTTTTCCACATGACCTTACGAGAAAATCTTTGGAAAAATCGTTGAAATATGGATAATTGAGCAAAGGATGATTGCATGCTTTCCTCAACTCCATGCACCTATTATTTAGAGTTCTATATATCTTGGCTTGGTATATCGGATTCTTCTGAGCCCTGAGTTTTTCATCGTCTGGATCAACTCTAAGAGTTCCAGTAGCTTTAATCCAATCATAAACAGCACTCTGAATAGCAGACATTCTACATCTCAAAACTACGGAAACCTGCAATCCAAAAGCACTATCAGAAGAATCATCTAGACGAAAAAATTAATGGCAGAGATATAAAACAGATCCTACCTTAGGAGGAAGTGAACCTTCCACATCCTCAACACGACGTCTGAGCATGAACGGTTCTAAAATTTGATGAAGCCTGTGGATGACTATGACCTTTTTCTCAGTCTCCAGCCAGTCGTCCTCTATATTATGTGCAGGGCCTTCTCTTTGAAAGGGTTGCGCAAACCAATCATGAAATGCTTTTCGATTGTCAAAGACATCAGGAAGCAGGAGATTCAATAGTGACCAAAGCTCTTTCAGATCATTCTACAAGATATAAAGGCAAGATAAGAATCATCTATTTCACTCTCAAGATAATATGAACAAAGCACAGAATCTTGGTTTCCAGTTGTTAAGTGTCTCTGATCTATAGACTGTTACCAACCTGTAAAGGTGTTCCAGTAAGAAGTAATCTCCTCTGGCAGCGGTACCGGTCAAGATCTCGGGCCAAAACAGATTCTCTGTCTTTCATCCGTTGTGCTTCATCAATTATAATATACTTCCAGTCAACTTTTGAGAGTTTTGATCGATCATACATAATGAACTCATAAGTCGTAACGAGGACATTGAACTTCATGGCCAAAACCTCCTGCGTTAGAGAGAACCAGGGGATGTATCAATCAACACCTCCAAAACAAAATCTGGAGCAAATGCAACTTTTTTTTTTCAAATTTTACCTGAGAGAACAATTTTGAACGTTGATCCTTTGTACCAACATAGTATATGCATGAAACAGATGGCAGCCAAGTATGCAGCTCACTCTGCAGAAGAAAAAAAAACGTTAACCGTGAAATAATGTATCAGATGGAAGTCAACAAAGGCTAGCCAAAAAAAACTGATTAGTATTCCTTAAATGGATATGGCCATGTCAGCACAACTAACAGCTAGTTAAACAGGGTCAAAGTTCGGAGTTAATGGATAAAAGAGACTTTTGGGTTATTAATCTTGAGTTGAATAATTATGAGTTGCGAGAGTTGGGTCACGAATAATCCCTTGGTACTAAGCTGGTGTGAATATTATAGGAGAAATTTTCTATAAAAAAATCTAACAGAACCACACACCTTCCAATTCACCAGAACAGCATTGGGAACAATAATGAGATGCGGTCCATAATTCCCCTTAAACTCCATAAGGTAAGCAATCAGTGCCATTACCTGTACAGCGAAGACAGAAAACAATCAGCATATAATGCTTTATTGCTCGCCAAAGGCAAAAGTACAGTAAAATCCAGGAATCCCTGAAAACTGAGAGCAGATT